ATCAAACATTTCATATTTATCTATTTTAAATTCTTTTTATCATAGCTACAGCTTCTACAGTACGATGGAACTCTACAGGCACGACTGTCGCTGGCAATGCTGGCGGTACATCAGGAGTAAGCGCAGGTCTGCTCAAGGGACCTTACGTTGTGAGAATTGATTCATCAAATGCTCTCTATATTGCTGAGGTGGATAACCATCGAATACAAAAATGGATTATAGGGGACTCAATAGGTGTAACTGTTGCTGGGCAGGCAGATGGAACATCGGGTGCTTCTTCTACCACTCTTAATGCACCACCCGGTCTTGCAATCGATTCAAGCAACAATATGTACATCGTCGATAAATTCAATCAGCGAGTGATGTACTGGGCAAGTGGTGCATCATCTGGTTCGATGATCGCTGGGACAGGTAAGAAAAATGAAAGAAGTTTATTCTCTATTATACTCAGAACATGATATACTTGTTTCTGAAAAGTGCGCCATAAAATAATTATTTTATAGCTTTGATCTTCATTGAACATTCTTACTCTTATTATAAAAACAGTTCAAAAAGCTTTTCACATCTTTTAACTTTCTTACAAATTGTCCTGTAAAATGAACACGGCGGAGAAAACACGTATTTGTATTTAAAATTTAATGTTTAGGTCAGAAAAGTCGACAGATTCACTCGTCATTTATATCGATAAGTAGATCAATAGTAATTTAATATAGAGTTAGAGGGATTATTATTCCAGGGACGTATCGCTATAATTTCAAATAGCAAGATTAACAAATTCTATACTGAATGAAATCCCATTTTTTACGAGCTTTTATTTAGTATATAATTTGTCAGTCTTGCTATTTAAAATCGCAGCGATACAACTTTGGAATAATGTTGTCTCCAAGTCTGTAGAATAGTAAAAATAATGCTTCACAATTCGATAGTCTTTTTGAATAATATAAACACACGTAAATAAACAGTTCAAATATCGTATTCCTATTTCCTAACTAGATATTATTATCAGAATAAAATAAAAACAAAATGTGGTAGTAACAGCATTTTTTTATAAAACATCATTAAATTCGATCTGTCTTCAGGTTCCCCTGGAAGTGCAAACAATCAGTTTAATCGTCCTAATGCGATTGAACTTGTTTCGAGCTCGGGCACTCTGTACATCAGTGATCTAGACAATCAACGTATCATGCAATATCTTAAAGGTGCTTCGTCAGGCACTGTAGTTGCGGGTGGAAATGGAGCAGGAACGGGCAGTACACAGTTGTGGCATCCATGCGGATTTACTCTGGATTCATCGACGAATAGTTTAATAATTGCCAGTTATTATGCACATAGTGTAGTTCGTTGGGTAATAGGTGATACTAGTTGGACACTTCTTGCTGGCAGTAGTGGAGTAAGCGGATCTTCGTCAACACATTTAAATAATCCAATTGGTGTAGCAATTGATCAATATGGAAATATATATGTAGCTGATTCAGGCAATCATCGTATTCAATTTTTCTTGCCTGGTCAATCTGAGGCTACTACAATTGCGGGCGTTACTGGTTCGTCTGGCACAAGCGCTACTCAATTAAATGCACCGTTTGGAGTAACACTAGATAGTCAATTCAATTTATATGTGGCAGATAACGGTAATAACCGAGTGCAAAGATACAGAAGATGTGTGAGTATGGATGCCGATAATTATTCATATTCGGCTATGGCAACAACTGAGAGCTGACAATGAATATACTACTTACATTCTTCTTCTTCTTTTTAGTTACTTATATTTATCCACGCTAATAAATTTTCATCGTTCTTTACTTCGCTTATGTCTCGTTGAACAAAAACATGTAGCTTTTACCTTCTATCATTATTTTCATTTTATAGCAGCATATTTTATTGAAAAATAAATATTATAAGCAACATATAAAATAGTACTAAATCTTTCAATGATATATTGGATCACCATACATCAGATCGATGAATCAGCTTCTACCTCGTAAACTATGCTGACCTGTGTACAGTTTGCATATAGATTTCGATTTGCTCTTACTTACAGGATTTGGATATAATTCTTATTATTATTTGGTATCCTCACTAAATTCACATCCACACTCCTGGAGATATTAGCTCAAAAATATCTTGAAAGCACATCAGAAACATAATTTTGCCTATCAATCATTGAGAAGAAAACTGCTTGACAATTTTTTTTTAATATTTTTTTCTTTCAAGATGTTTCTACTGGTGAGAATAAAATCAAAATGAGGTTTTCGAGTGAAAAAGAATTAGATTTTCCTAAATTTTTTTAGGGTGTGGATATGGGTGGTTGATAAGTTAAATGCTCACTATCTTGAGGGTGTATGGGTGTGGGTACGCGTGTAATCTTTTTCTTTTCGTCTGCAATCCAATTAGTACCTTTATCGATCATGATTTATGAAAGTAAAATAAATATTTTACAGAGAAAATTTTGTGATTAATATTCAAAACTTACAATATATGAATAAATTCTTTCAGCTGATTTCTCAATTGTTAAAATTTTAAATTAATTGAAAAACTTAAATATTAACTTTAGTAATTAAAATAATTCCTAATTTCTTTTTTCAATATTTTATAATATATAATTTGTATTCTAAAAACAACATTAATCCCCTAATAAAAAATAATGTTGTTCTTTTGAAATAATATCGATAGAATTATTCACAATGAGAGGATCACTAAACATATATTCAACAAAACAATTCTTTTGAAGAATTGAAATAGGTTTTTTTTACGAATTATTCATCTGAACAATAACAAAATTGTGCAATGAAAGTTTTCCTTTCTAATCAAAACCAATTAGATTAATTTGGTTTTCTTTTTCATGACAGATATTTATTCAACATTTCTAAATCTATCATAAATTATTAATTCAATTTTTTCTTTCTAATAAAATGTTTCCATTTATCTATAGACCTTACATAATTTATACTTTAGAAATACATTAATTTGAAACAATAATTTATTCCAAATAAATATTAACTTTATACAGGAATTTTATGATTACTTATAATAGAAGATTAATTGATTGAGCTGAGTGTTATTGTTAATAATAATTCTATTAAATATTTTCAATTCATTTTTAAGTTTAATTATTTAATAAAAATAATTCGGAGACTTTATTCTTTTATTTTACGGTAAATAAAAACTAAAATTCCTTCGGTCTTATTTTTAAATCATTAATGTTTGAAATATTTAAAATTGATTAAAACTCTAATATATCAAATGTTTTATTTGATTAATTTGAAATAGTTTTTCAACTCATTAATCAATTAAAAAGGAAATGACAGTACCATGATCAACTAATATTCAGATTCAAATCCCTTAAGATAGTTTAACTTTATCTTTCATACGTACAATTAATAAGTTAACAGGCAAAAGTCGATTCAAATCGGTCTTTTTTATCTCTTTTCTAATATGGATATTCCTTGAAAAGTTCTGACGTAAGTCATTAATCTGGTATTTTAGAAATATTACAAATCTGGTATAAAGATAGAAAAAGGAAATAACACAGAATTAGTATAAGTAAAATACCCATTACATAGGAAATAAATCGATATGATGGTAAAAACCAGTATAAAGGAAAAAAGGATTGGAGTAGAATGAATCGATATGAAACAAAAACAAAAACCGACAAGCAAGTATATAGAAAAAAAAGGAAGCGTTTATGTACACATACGTCTTGAGGATGTGGGTGTCGGTCTAGGCATCGGTGCTCTCTTTAGATCAACGAGGGACACCTACACCAATTCGTCGCCGGTCTATTAATCAGACATAAGATGTTCTTTCTTATAGCATTACTCGAGTAGTTGTTAAGGAGATGATCAAGAGGCGACACACTACTATCCGCCAATTCAGTTTAATAGTAATGGCACGATTGATTTAAGTCATAACGAGAGCTGAACAGCAAAAAATCGGCCTGATTTTGCTTCATCCATACCAGTGAATTTTTCTAGATTTTGCGACATTACCGAACTTTGAACCTCAGTTTTTTTCATTGTTTTTTGACAGAACACAAGAAACCTCGCTGTGGCGATATTTACAAAACAAAAACACGTCATGACAGAACATCACATTACAACACGCACGTAATAATGTGTCACCATTACTCATTAGAAGAAGCGAAAAAAAAACCCAGTGATCGAAACTATAAAAGGACCAGGATTTGTATTCAAGTTTACGAAGAAACAGCTTATACTTAACATGACAGCGACGAATTCTCGTATACTTTCCATCGATGTTGAATGTGTGGCTACAAGTCATACACATGATGGTCGAGCTCCTTGTAGTGTGGCGATTGTGGATGAACAATGTCAAATTATATATACGTCATTAATAAATCCAACAGAAAAAGTTGTCAGCGATCTGTATCCGTTTACAGGTTTACGAATGAAAGATCTTCTGCAAGCACCTACTCTCGATGAAGTTTTAAAAGAAGTATAGAATCAATTGTACTTGCAACATCAACATAATGATTGTTTTATTATTTAGATTCATCCATTGTTTGATGCAACGACAACTATTGTTGGTCAAAGCCCTAAAAATGATATCGAATGGTTAAAACTTGAGAAAGATGTACACTATGCACAAATTATTGATCTTAGCGATTGGTTTAAAACAGTCAATGCTCGCTATGGGTCTATAAGGTAAACATATTTCACAGCTCATCATCTAAAACCTGTTGTTCGTCTAGTTGTTTCTCATTAGCACATGAAGCTTCGACATTATTAGGTATTGATCTGAATGCCGGAAATGGTCATCTAGCTACTCAAGATGCCAAAGCATCGATGCAATTATATTTAAAATATAAGGTTATCTACGACATTGTCCCTCTATCTGTATATCACTTTTTACTTTAGGATAATGAAAGTGGTAAAGAAACAGCTCGTCGTCTTCTACTAAAAACTCGACCTGGTATCACACCAGCCAAAGCGTGCAATTACAATTATGAAAGCGTTTGTTTAGCTGGATATTTCCCTCAAAAGTGTTCTTGCAATCGACCTTCATTTTCAGATAATTAAAACGAACTAACAATATTGCATTTTTCTAATCAGAAGAATTATTTTAAAAAAATTACAAGTCTTGAGAATCTATCAATAAATACTATATTTGTTATAATATAAAATTTTATAAACAATCGTAAGAATAATACTTAAGACAAAGAAATGTGTATATGGATGGGTTTGTATGTCAGTGTGGATGTGTTGGATGTATAGAGGGTGTGGGGTGGATGAGAAGATAACATCCACCCACACCCTTCTCGATATGAATGTTATCCGAAATTCTCCCAGAGAAGTATCATGAATTTATTTTCTATTTGCATTTGATTTACTTCATATAAATTAATTTGGCAAAATAACCATTTTGTTTTTCATTCACACCAATTCAAAATTTGTAAATACATTAGTAAAACTTGATCATCAGTGAAATATGCATATCAGCTTGTACGCGCGTGACGCGATGACGTTTTGGCCCACTTCTTTTTACTTTTCTTCAGAATGATATCAACTAAAATACTTTCTTTTTTCCAGAAACGTATATCTCTATTACCTTCATATCTCCTAAAAATATCAGCTCACAGGAGTGAATCGTTTGGGAATAAATGGAAAAATGAAGGCCGAAACGCGATGACGAAAAAGGACCAAAAAGTTGAGGGTAACGTGATTCTTCTTTATTTTTCTGCGAATGTGTACTAAATGTAAGGAAATGTTCTATGCACGGTTTGTAGCCAACAGTTTTAGGTATGCAATGAAGAAAAAATATTATTCGAATCGACTTATTATTTTGAAAACAGATCGGTTGGATTAACGTAACGCGATGATGGCCTCGTAACGCGATGATGATGACTTTTGTAGTCCTTTTTCTATGCTTCATTTTTTAATATAAACAACTCTGCGAAGGCAAGATATTATTTTTATTCTATCGCTTAGAGTATACACATGTGAAACATTGTGTTTTTTGATTTTTCTAATGCAAAAAAATTGTGAAAAAGACAAACTAGTTAGACTAATATGTATAGTAATATGCGTAAGTCGAAAAAACTTAAAATTTCAGTTAACATTTTTTTCTCGATGATTTACATATGGTTAGATAGAGCTCAAAAAACTACGTGAGAAAATGTACTTTGAATATTTTTTCCTCTTGTATAAAAATCAAAAACTTCAAAATACTGAGATCGCTCTGTTACTGAGACCGTTTTGTATAGAATGATCTAAGTATTTTGAGGTTTTTCATAAATATACAAAAAGGAAAAAAATTCACAGTACATTTTCTTACGCAGTTTTTTGAGCTCTATCTAACCATATATAAATCATCAAAAAAAAATGTTAACTGAAATTTTAAGTTTTCTCAACCTCACGTATAGATCATAGAAACGGTAGCGGATTTAGATTAGTAACTTAATTTTAATTGAACACAATATACTTATCAGACCAATCAGCTTTATTCTTATGGCAATCAGTCAGTAATCAATGAAAAGAACGATTACACATATCTTATAGTGATTTTAGCTAATAAATCATCGTCTGAATACGTTTTTTGAAATATACGGAAAAACGTAGAAAACAGTAAAAATCGTCATCGTGTTACGTAAAATTATTTCAAAACGCAATCTTTTTCAGACAAAAATGCATGTATCAAATAGCCCATGAAAAACTAGCTTTAGTTATCTATTGTTTGTAAAAAAAAAATTGAGATCAACAGGTGAAAAAAAAACAATATTCATTTTTCGTTACGCGATGACGTTATAAATAGCGTGGTTTTGATTGGGTTCGATATCCAAAAGTATAGCACATAAAAAATTTGCTATTATAGGAAAAGATACATCTATTAGCGTAGTCTTAATTAGTCTTAATCAACTTCGTATATATCAGACCGTTAGGGTATACGTGTCAGATGAACTCACGGTCCAAATAGAGAAAATTTCTGTGTCTATTAGTAATCTCTCTGTCGTCAATTATGAAATCTGATTTAAAGCACCTACTCACTAAACAAAATATGTTTTTATACACTTTCGACTATGTTCTACAAGATGGTGACAACGGTTTCTCAAAGTTTTTATTTCGAACTCTCACCACTGAAGTGACACGTTACGCGTACAAGCTGATATGTTTTTGAAGGTTTTGTTATTTGCAATGAATAAACTATTTCTGACTATTTTGTGTGTTAATGTAAATATTCAGAATGTAAAAATGTAAGAGAAGAATGACCATTTGGTTTCATATAGTCTCAACTATATATACATTAAAGAAAAAATAAAAGATTATTTTTCTTTTCATAATTCTATAATTATGACTAATAAGCTAAAACATGGAAGAAGAAAAAAGAAAGAGAAAGAAAAAGCAAATATTAATCAGGGATAATGCATGAACGTATATGATGAGTGTGTTTATAACAGTAGGAATGAATCATCAGTCCTTCTTCGCTTTAGTAAAATATATAATCTCTTTCTCTTTTGCTGTGCAAGGATGAGTGACGATGGGAGAGAGAATGTGGCTAGCGATATACTGATAACCATTTATGATAACACTCATATTCACAGCATTCCTGGCACTCTTCTTTCGTTTATCTCACCTTCATATATCAAAACTCATATCTTCAAGATGAACCAAATTCAAATAATTCTCCTTTCGCGTTTTCCTTTTTCTTTTACTTTAAAACTGAATTTTATTTTTTAAAATGAACTACAACAAATAGAAAGCATGTACAAAGAAGCAGAATAAATATTCTTTTAAAGAAGGTTTTTAAATATAAAGCATAAAAAACATCAAGCATTGAATTAAATATCCAGCCAAAGCCTTTGTTGAATGTGATACCACGGGTGTATTTGTTGTACGTGTTATTGTTGTCCTTGGTTCTTAACGAAATTAATTAAAAGAAAAGATTAAACTTTGTTGTTGCATTAACACAAAATATCTAATACTCCTCGAGAAACTCTCATTTTGAAGATTTAGATGTAAACTCTTTCTTCGTAATTAGCGAGCCAAACATGTTTCCAAACAATATGTGGCTTCTTTTACGACTGAATTCTTCCTATTTTTATAGTCTAACATACATTCCGTTGCTCATTCATGCTCTCAAAGGATTATGTACGAACTGCATGCAATTCGTGATGATTTCATCAAAGTCCTAATGAAGTATGCAGATAGAAACTAGATCGGCAAACGCACAGTCGCAGCTAGAGAAGAATAAAAATATGATTTGATACTTACTACAAGAAAGTTTTGGATAAGAAAATTTTTGAATTCGTTGATTACCCCAATCAGCAACATAAATATTTCCATAACTGTCAAAAGCCATGCCACGTGGTCTCTTCAATTTATAGGATTCCGAACCAGAAGTAATACATCCAAGTATACATCGAAAGCCAGTTGATCCTCCTCGAACAATGCGATGATTACCTTGGTCAACAATATATAAATAACCATCACCATCCATTGTCACACCAGTTGGGTTTTTAAGAGTAATGGTAGTATTTATTGATTGTTCACCTGCAACTGTAATTCCCTGTGATTCTCCTGGTGGAAACATTTGAATGCGGTGATTTCCATAATCAGCCACATACAAATTAAGACTAGCATCAACAAAAACTCCGTATGGCGAATTCAAAGTATTGGAAGTCGAACCGGATAATCCAGTTCCAGCAACAATCATCGGTGTTGTATCGTCGTCATCCAACCAATTTTTCATAATTATATGGTATTGATTGAGTGAACAGTATAAGTAGTTAAGGATGTCAATGAAAATACTATAGCATGGTGCAGCGATATCCATGACAGGAGTACTACTATTTGTATTTAGTATCCATTTTTCGATGGTACGTTTGTTCGAAGTCCCTCGTTCAATATAAAGTTCATTATCATTTTGAACAAATATTGATTGCAGAGGTAGGCCGGGTACTGTTATTGCCATGGTTAGATTAACAGAATTATTCAACCAAATATAAATGTTAGGTGTTCCTTGAGCAACAACATAAATGGAATTATTGGTTGTAATAAATATAGAATCTGGCGTCCCACTAATTATATTCTTTGCTGAAAAAATAGCCCCGAATGAATTCCAAGTTGCTGCTGGACAAAACTTTGGTTGATTAAACCAAGGACCTAAGAGAAATTTTCAAATGATTCTTAACACAGACAATCCAAGTTCATCGAAAATTTGATTTTATAGCAAATTCAAGTTTATTCACATATTCCGAAAACAATCGTCTGCAATTCACGTAAGTGACGAATCAAATAGACAACTCGACAATCTACTTATACAATAATTTATATCAATACGATATTACCATATATTATAGAGGATTAAATGGTATCGTGGTGTACTGATCTTCGTGATAGAGATGGATAAGTCGAGATCAGTTAGACTTGACCTGTATTGAATTAGATTATAAACTCAAGTCGATCAAAGACACATGAAGAGATTTTTATTGTACATCTGTATTTCTCTCGTTACACACAATGGCCTATTTAACTTCAAATTGAATATAGTAAAATAAATAGAATCGATTTCACACTAAGGTGGGTAGGACTAGGGAACTAATGGATTAAGAGGACTAACGGGATTCAGAGGGCTAAGGGGACTCAGAGGACTAAGGAGACTTGAAGAAAATGTCAAATTATGTACTGGTAGAATTGGATTTATGTTTATTGTATAGTTGAGCGGCGGTAGATAAATACGTCTTAGGTATGCATGTTCTGTAGCCATTTATATTATAGTTTCAGTGTAAAAACAAAGAATTTAAAAAAAAATGTGTGTGGTTGTGGATGTGCGTACTGTGTCTTGCTGTTATTCACACCCACACCCACACCCTCAAGTACAAGCCGCATGAATTTCATTCTATCCCTCTTGCGATGTCTCGTATATCTACAGTCTCCCCTCTGTTCCACTTTTCGTCAATAATATGAAAGATAGTTATTTAAAAACTTTACATACTTCGTGATGATGTTAGTAAAGAAACATTTGTAATTGGATCTAAAATACAAAATATTATTAAAAACTGATTTCTCATCGCATAAATGAAGTTATCTTGATCTAAAAATATTCCAATACTCACTACATGAAACTTTTGCATAAGAAAATTTTTGAATTTGTAGATTATTCGCATCAGCAACATAAATATTTCCATAACTATCAAAAGCCATATCACGTGGTAACGATAATTCATTCGCTGCTGAACCAAAAGTAGTACATCCAAGTATACATCGAAAACCATTTAATTCTTTTCGAACAATGCGATGATTACCTTGGTCAACAATATATAAATAACCATCACCATCCATTGTAATACCAGTTGGATAGTTAAGACTAGTTGTAATATTTAATGATGTTGCACCTGCAACAGTAATTCCATGTGATTCTCCTGATCGAAATTTTTGAATCCGGTGATTTCCAAAATCTGCCACGTACAAATTAAGACTAGCATCAACAAAAAGTCCACTTGGCTGAATCAAGGTATTCGGAGTCGGACCAGGAATTCCAGTTCCAGCTACAATCATCGGTGTTGTATCGTCGTCATCCAACCAATTTTTCACAACTGTATGGCGTTGATCGAGTGAACAGTATAAGTAGTTAAGGATGTCAATGAAAATACTATAGCATGGTGCAGCGATATCCATGACAGGAGTACTACTATTTGTATTTAGTATCCGTTTTTCGATGGTACGTTTGAGCGAAGTTCCCCGTTCAATATAAAGTTCATTATCATTTTGAACAAATATTGATTTCGGAGATGAGGAGAACTCTGTTATTGTTATGGTCGGATTAACAGAATTATTCAACCAAATATAAATGTGAGATATTGCTTGAACAACAACATAAATTGAATTATTGGTTGTAATAAATATAGAATGTGGCGGCCCACGAATTATATTAAGTGCTGAAAAAGTACTTCCGAACGGATTCCAAGCTGCTACTGGACAAAACTTTGGTTGATTAAACGAAGGACCTAAGAGAAATTTTCAAAATGATTCTTAACACAAACAATCGACGCACTCTTTGATTAAAAAAGAAATAAAATTGATTAAAAGCTGTTGCCATTCGAAATAGAAAAGATTTTAAGAAGACGATAATAATTAGTCACTTTCACTAGAGATGCGTACTCATACTCATACTCATGAGTATGGATCACACTCAGAGATAACTAGATTTAATTTTGTCAACGATTGGTTTTCTTTTGTTCTGACGGCTGAACTGTACAAATTAAAGGATCAAAAAGAAGTTGAAGTTTAGGCCTGTCTTTCAAAAGACTAGCTACAAGCATTTGCAACGTGCATGTATATTGTTTTATATGTAAATATTATGATGATTTTGGATGAAAATCGAAAACTGTTTAGAGAGATTTTTTCAAAGTGCTAGTTAGTAAGAGAAAAGGGAACACATTTTATAGCAGAAAGCGTAGTTTTTTAGGATTCTATGTGCGAAAAAATGGTACGGAAAACTTCGTTTTTATAATTTTAAGTCTTCTATATCATCTTTGGAATGAAAAAAATAGCAGATATCTATTTATCGTCATTGAAATGTTATCAGGATTTCTATTAATAGACAGCACATATTGGAATTTCATGGACATGAGGAATTAATATAAAATATATGAATAATCGATCAAAAACAGTAGATGGTAATTCAGTTCAGCGTATTCAGAAATTGTATCAATTAGTAAGCAATAAATAATGCGATCTGTCTGTTAGTAGTTTGAATTTTATCAAGTGACAATGATGAATAATTATTTCTAATAGTTGGTCATAAAAAGTATTTTAATATAATTATTTCTATAAAAATATTTCCTTTTGAAAATATCAATTTTCTACTAAGCATCATAAGATAATGAAATATCTGAGGCTGTCCGTTTCAATTCAGTCGTTCTTCATTGGTTTTTAAAGAAAAACAAAGTCGACAATAATCTTTTCAAACGAAATAAAACTGCTTGTCTATCCATCCAACGATTTCAAATTACACCATTATTGATGAGACTAATCCGTAAGAGCATTAACGATAGAAAATAAACTCAATTTCATTCTCAAACTAGAAGAAGAAGAAATTCTTATTTTGAAGATTTACATGTGAATTCTTTCTAAATCTACAGTCTAGCTTCCATTGTCCTTCTCCTTAACCTTCTGTATACTGACGGTTTTTGCGTACGGTAATTCAAAATCAACTGTATACATGTGGCACATTTTACAACACATGAAGTAAGTGATCAATACTCTAGAAGATAGTTATATAGAAACTTTACATACTTCGTGACGATGTTATTAAAGAAACATTCGTAATTGGATCTAAAATACAAAATATTATTAAAAATAGATTTCTCATCGCATAAACAAATCTATCTAGATTTATATTCATTTCAATATGATTTGATACTTACCACATGAAGTTTTCGAATAGGAAAATTTTTGAATCCGTCTATTACGCGAATCAGCAACATAGATATTACCATTACTATCAAAAGCCATATCACGTGGCCCCGATAATTGATTCGCTGCTAAACCAGAAGCAACACATCCAATTATACATTGAAAACCATTTAATCCTTCTCGAACAATGCGATTCTTATTAGAATCAACAATATACAAATAACCATCACCATCCATTGTCACACCAGTTGGATAGTTAAGACTAGTTGTAATATTTAATGATGTTGCACCTGCAACAGTAATAGCATGTGATTCTCCTGGTGGAAACATTTGAATCCGGTGATTTCCAAAATCAGCCACGTACAAATTAAGACTAGCATCAACAAAAAGTCCACTTGGCTGAATCAAGGTATTCGAAGTCGAACCAGGAAACCCATTTCCAACTACAATCATTGGTGTTGTATCGTCATCATCCAACCAATTTTTCACAACTGTATGGCGTTGATCGAGTGAACAGTATAAGTTGTTAATGATATCAATGAAAATACTATAGCATGGATATGGTGTAATGTTATTCATGACAACAGTACTACGATTTGTATTTAATATCCATTTCTCGATATTACGTGTAGGCAAAAATCCTCGTTCAACATAAAGTTCATTATCATTTTTAACAAATATTGATTGCAGAGGTAGGCCGGGTACTGTTATTGTCATGGTTAGATTAACAGAACTATTCAACCAAATATAAATGTTGGGTATTGCATGAGCAACAACATAAATTGAATTATTAGTTGTAATAAATATAGAATATGGTGACCCATGAATTATATCGTATGCAGCAAAAATAGTTCCTAATGAATTCCAAGTTGCTGCTGGACAAAACTTTGGTTGATTAAACGAAAGACCTGAAAGAAAATTTCAAAAATTATTCATTTTAGAAATAATAAAATCGATTATTTACCAGATAATTGTCCGATTATTGACAAAGTTAAACATAATTTGAAATTTTCAATTAAAATCATTGTATTCTACGAATGATGAATGATCTGAAATTGATATTATGTTTGTAAACATAAAATTAATTTTATATATTGTCAATAATAAAAAGAAAGAACAGTTAGATATATCAAAGTAGAAGAAAGGAAGAGATATTGTTATTTGTTACTAAGATAAGTTTTAACGCAAAATAGTAATGTAATTATAGTTCAAATGAAGATTTATTTTATCAAGTTCTTCTCTTTGAAAAGGTAATTCCTATGTAATGAGAAAAAAATAATATTTTTCATATGCTGCTAAAGATGATTTCTAAGGAAAAAAAACACTAAGTTTTCTTGTTACAGCTGGAGCAAACAAAATGATTTTTTTATGATTAATAGAGACATGTTCACAATTTATATTCATAAATATAATCTCAGAGAGGCTCAATATTTTAATATCATTATTGACTGCAACAAAAAAAAGTTATTTTTTCAGAGATAAGAAAACAAAACTTCTCAACGCAGTCTGGTGGGCAGTATAATATCAAATGCGCACTTGCTATGGTATAAAGTGTATAACTCTAATTTTATCTGTAGTGGAAGACAATAGTCTCAACTTAAAACTTACACTCAATGCTTATTCTTCGAAAAAAATGAATATTTAATTATGAGAGATCAAGAAATGGCGGAGAAGATTTGGATAGTAATGGAAATAACGCGTACTAATAAATGTAACTTGTGTGTATACAATCAAGATTTAGATTCTATTTCATAAAGAATAAATTTTGACTTCTTGAATTATGTCTTACTCTAACTTAATAAAATTCAGTAGCGGAATCAGGATTTCGAGTTAGGAAGGCTCAGTTAATAGATCCATTTGGATTCGTCTAGGAAATAAAATGATTTTTACTTAACCAGTATAAATTAAGAATCTTCTAAAATTTGCTAGGAGAGACTGAGTCCTCATCTCTGGCTTCATCACTAATAATAGTATCAACTAAATATTCTGAGCACATATGAGAGAGAGAGAAAATGGGTGTTAGATGATGACATGACGTCAAAATCATTTATATCTTCTTGTTTTTTTATATTTGCATGTATATTTCGATGTACATATGTTCAAATGTTGTTTCCATCTCTTTCTACGTCATATATAAATGCACTATTTGTGAATAATAATAAATCACATTGTGTAAAAACACATATTTGAGATAAAGTCTGCCTCTGCTCCTATTAATCAAATGCTTAAACATGTTGAGGATGAAGGTGTGAGTAAAAACTCACTTTTTGCTTATCACAACTTCACTTCAGTATTTCTTATTGACTTCATGTTTCGACAGAAGAAATCTTGTCTTATATTATATAAATTGAATACAACGTACAAATACCTTTTTACAGATATTCTTATGTTACTACTACACAACATTGCTATTTTCTAATCGTATATATTTAGTTATGTTGATATGACATGTAGAGAATAATTGAAATTGATTAGAAAGCAGCAAAATCTGATCACAATTAAACGAGAAATATTATACTCTATTAAACAGTAAAAAATTTATGATGTATTCTGTATATTTTCATGTTAAGAATATTCATATTGTATTACTTAAATCATAAAAAATAAATAAATCATTTAGTTGGATCGATTTTTGATACAAAACATTTTTTTTCTGTTATTTAATCTCTTGAAATTTTCAGGTCATTGTCTGCATAAAAAAAAAGAACTTTTTATTTGATCGATTGTTTGCCTCCAGTTTATTCGTATTCTACTTTACTTATATATCGTCATCGACAAAAAAAACAACAGCAAGATTTAAAGAACACTCATTGTATATAGTTACTGCTTTCTGACGTTAATATTTGTTATGAGATTTTATTCCTAAGCTACAAAAGAATAAAAACATTCATTCAACATGATTTTTTTTTGTTATATCACATATTCAATAGTGTTCGTGTGGCTTCATTTATTGAAGCCTTAAAAATAAATATATCTTCATTATTCGTACCTTTGTTTAATTAAATTTATTATTTTTCTATACTTTTGAAAACATATGAAATAAAAATGTAAATTATTCTCAACACAAGCGAAAAAAAAGGAGAAGAAAAAAGGAAAAATACAATGATTGTAGTTATTAAGGCTAAAACAATTGAGATTTTTGAATCACGCATCGACAAACACATTCTTGTAATCATCTTATTTTACTATTTTTTTTTTCTTCATTTCTATTCAAACATAAAAATAAATCAATTGAACAACAATAACAACAACAACATTTGTATTACATTGCAGTTGAAGAGAGGGATAAAAACGAAAAACAATAAAAAAAAAACAGAAGGACATGAGTAAAACTATGTGAGATCTTTATGAAATATTTCTATATTACTTTAATAAACTAATCCTATTTAGTCTTACACAACATATTCATCCAGCTGTATTGAAACACGAATATAATCCACATAATGTATGGGATTTTGATAAACAATGGCAAACAAAATTCTGTTCATGTCAACCAACGGGTCGATGTAAAGTTAATATTTTTCCCTATTAGTTATTATTCTACTTTTTTTTTCTTCTCTTAATAATACTCAGGCATTTTTGCATGTTTTTGTTCATGTTGTATGGGGAACAAATTAGCGAAATATATGGGTGAAAAAGGTATTATTGGTTGTTTTCCATGCTCATTACCTTATCTCCGAACAAAGCTACGAACAGCACGACGCATTGAGGTTCGACGATAACATTTACAAAAAAGAAAAAGTAGAATAGTATTTTTGCTTTTATTTAGGGTTCTTGTTGTGAAGATTATTGGGCATCAAATTGTTGTATGGCATGTACAGCAACGCAACTAGCAAATGAACTTGAAACACAAGGCTTATGGGATGTTTCCAAGACGAACAAGAGTAAACATGTTCGAATTGATCATTCAAATCAATATAACGATTAAATGACATACATTTTTCCAATCAGATCACTAAGAATAATTTTTTCTACGTTTGGTTGTCAATGTAATTACTATGTTTCTATGTCTCATTCTATCCGTTCTGTGATTTTTTATTTTATTCAATCATTGTCATAGGAACGATATTTTTTTGTGAATATTGAATAAGAGAAGAAAACAGTATGACGTTGATGAAATAAAGCAACTTTACCTTACGACAGTTTTTCTCCTTTTTCTCTTCTTCTTCTCTCTCTCTCCCCCTACTTACTTGTTTAACAGGAGAGTAACCAAACGATTTGTGTATTTCTCTACCTTAACAACATTTGTTTGTAGACAAAAAGCGTGCAGTATATTTAACTTCAGTTTATAAAAGAGTAACGTATACACATCTTACAACACATTCGCAGCATTACTCTATTCGCCAACAGCAACTACTGTTACAATGAGGTATGATAGATTTTTATCTTTAATTCATGCAATGAGAAAATATATCTATTAATATGATAGCCATCCAGTTTCAAAACAACCAGGTAGCGGTGGTGATTTATACCCATATAATGGCGCTTGGAGTAACGAGCTTTTTGCTTCATTTAAACCATGTCCACAATGTATGTAAAATTATAATCAGTATATATCAATTGGAATTATTTTATTTTTTAGCGGCTCTCTTTTGCTTTTGTCTTCCATGTTGTGTTGCTAAAATGAGTGATCGTCAAGGTGATCATATCTTAACATGCTGTGTTAATCCATGCACATTAATGGCAATTCGTACAAAAGTTCGAGCAGCCTACAAGATTAAAGTATATCTATATTTTACGATTTTGAATTTTATGATTTTTTTCTTTTTATAGGGAAGTTTGATAGAAGATTGTCTTGTATCAGCTTGTTGTGTAGGACCATGTGCTGCAATGCAACTTGATAAAGAACTAACTGCACGTGGTATTCCTGAAAAACGCGCCAAATAAATAGATTAACTATTATATTTGACAAGTTTTATCCTCGATTTTTTTAAATGGACTATAAAAAAAATTTGAGTGTGTTTGTAGGAGTGTGTGTTCTATCTTCAAGTTTCAAATCAAATAAAAATAAAAAAAGGCAAAGAACAACTATTGCTGACAACATGAATAAAAGACTATATCATTTTTCAAAAAAAAAGTAAATGAAGTCATATTACATTAGAACAGATTTGATATTCACAAGAAGAAAAAAAATTTGCATCGAATGTTTATTTAAATCAAAACTCAATTTCTTTTTTTTTGCAATTAAATTCAAGCACTTCACTTTCAAAAATAGAAGGTCATACGTTTTAAATGTTTTTCTTTCGTTTTATAAGTATACATAAGAAGAAGAGAGATGACAATTGATACTAAATGTAAATAACCCTAAAAGCATTAAAAGTTAAAAAAAGGTTATACTTTGTAATCATAGATAAAGTAGAGCAAACTAAATGAATGTAACTATGGCAACCATCAAAATAAGATTTATTTATCTAATAAAAACCGTAAGATATAAATTCCATTAATCTGAGTACAATTCATATATTTAGAAAGTACTTATTTTTCTTAAACAAAGCTATCCACCGGCAAGCAAATTCATTTTATTTTCTTTAACAATATAAAGATGTATCAACATCAATAAAGATAATGAGATGTATGTAGGAGAAACAATAAATTTCAGATTAAGTATGACGAAATAGATTGACATGTGAAAAAGGACTGGGAGATTTTGCGGAAATATCTGTTGGTGATTGTTCTTTGGCAACATGTGATAGAACGTTTTTTAATTCACCACAAGCAGCCTAATAAATATAAAAAGAAAATAATGTAATACAATTTTAATAGAAATGAATTATTTACCCATATAAGTCCTAAGTATGGAGCAGATGGTTTTAATGGACGCGATATATATTCTGGATGATATTGAACAGCGACAAAGTAAGGATGATCTTAGAAAAAAGAAATGATTGAATTTATACAAAAAAAAATGTTTGCATTTACTTTCAAGTTCAAGAATTTCCATACGTTCATTATCATCACTTCTACCAACAAATTTCATTCCAGCTTTTTCACATTCTTCTATATATGCTGGATTAACTTCATAACGATGACGATGACGTTCATCAACCGAAGCCTTATTTCCATAAAGTTTTTCTACAAATAATTTAATATTCAAGAATTTATCATAGTAATAGTAAATTTAAATCTACTAATCGTTCTCTTTCACGTAAAAAAATATCTCTATATATTGACTTAAAGAAAACCTTCATCATCAGTTAATTATATATTGAAGGTCTTTGATTAATATCTTTGTAAGTAACTTTTTTATATGATACGTACTGACAATACTATCATCATTAACAAAATGAGTTGTTCGACGACCTAATCTCATTGTTCCTAGAAAAGAATTCAATTTATTTATTTTCTATATAATAACTCAATAAAAAAAGATTTACCTCCCATATTTCCAGGATTATGTTCAGGCATTTCAATAACCTAATAATAAATAGAATAGAAAAAAAAATATGTATATGACGTAAATCATACCACTTGATGTTCACATTTATCGAATTCTGCTGAATGAGCATCTTTGTAGTGTAAAACATGTCGAGCGAATTCAATGACAGCACATTGAAGACCAAGGCAAATACCAAGAAATGGTTTTGATTGCGTTCGTGCCCATTCAATCGCAGCTATTTTACCTTCAATACCACGTGAGCCAAATCCACCTGGTACAAGGACACCACTGATAGAAAAAAACAAAAATTCGATAATGAGTAAATTTTTTCATTGCTAAATAATTAATTACTGTGCACTACATAGTTGTTGCCATGCTTCATGATATTTCACAGGGTCATCTTTCTGTGTATTTGCTTCTAAATCACTTGCATGAATAAACTAAATAGAATTGATTTATATGAAGAAAAAAAACTAGTAATGAAAATTATTTAATCTTACAAGAATCTTTAATTTTCTATTACAAAAAAGTGCAGCATGATTAAGTGCTTTAAGTACAGATGCATAAGCATCTTCTAAAGCTGTATATTTTCCAACAAGAGCAATAGTAACTTCATCAAGTTGTCGTTCAATGCTATAAATAAGAAATAATAATAATAATAATAATAATTTTTCATATAGTAAACAACGTTATAAAAAACAAGGCCATATATTGTTCTTTCATACATATGAAGATAGTCGTTACGCTTCATAAGATAAAAAGATAGCATCTCAGTATGCCTGCATAACAATAATAAAAGATACAAGTCTACTATTAGCGTAACATTATTAGTATTTTTATCGTCTACTAGACGTTATTCAAGTATACTATGTATAATACAATGAATAGTCCAGTTCCGGGTTATTCTCAACTCAATCCATATCAATATTCAGCTCCTACTCCATCCTATAAAAGTGGAGGACGTGCAGGTGGTGGTGGCGGCGGTGGTGGTAATGGCGCAATATTAGCAATAGTCGGTGTTGTTGCTGCTGGTATTCTTGCTGGTATGGCCTTGGGATTAGGCCTCGGTATTGGCGCTGCTGGTATTGTTAGTCATACAAATTTAACGGTTGTTACTAATACAACAACTATTGCTAAGGCGAATAATACAGATAATCTTTATATGTCTCATTATATGTATTTTCTTTGTTTTATTTTCTTTTTATTTAATATATAATTTTATTTACCGTTCTGTTAAATCTCGCCATTTTATCATCAGTGAACGATCATAATTCGATTTTTGCGTTAAATGAAGACGTGTAGATAAAAAATTAAAAACACCAGTTTCTTCTAATAATATTGGTACACGATAAAGAGTTTTAACATCAGGTATACAAATAACCTTGAATTATAAGAAAAGAAAAATTAATCAAAATGAAAAATATTTCTCTTCATTGGTATTTTACATGTTCTTTTTCAACTTGACAAAACATTGAAATTTTTTCTTTAACTGATAATGGCATTTGTGTTGCACAACGACATATAATCTAGTAAGAAGAAAACAAAAATTTATCTATGAATAAACACAAAAACATTCACAAACAAGATCAGGTGTTAAACCATATCCACGAAGTTCTTTTACACTATGTTGTGTAGGTTTTGTTTTATGTTCTTGACTAGAATTTGGCTAGAAGAATTTAATGATTACAAATAAATAAATAAATCTGCATTATACAAACTTGTGGAACAAGACTGACATGAACCAAACAAAAATTTTCTTTCTTTACACGAAATTGAAATTGTCGAAATGCTTCAACAAATGACATACTTTCAATATCACCAATTGTACCACCAAGCTAATAATAAAAAAGAGAAAAGTTAGTCGTATTCTTTCAAAGAATATCTTCTCTTTCATACTTCAATTATACATATTTCAGGATCAGCTTTATCTTCATCAACAGATATACGTGCAACACGTTCAACCCATTCTTGTATCGCATCCGTTATATGTGGTACCACTATAGAAATAATTTCAATTACAATTAAATATAAACAAATAATTTCAATAACCTTGTACAGTTTTTCCAAGATAATCTCCACGACGTTCTTTATCAATAACATATTGATAAATTTTACCAGTTGTTATATTATTATCACGATGTAATGTTACGTCAAGAAATCTTTCATAATTACCCAAATCTAAATCGACTTCACTAGAAATAAAAAACAAACATGAAATCTTCTTTTCTTCTATAAAAATAAAATCCAGATATATGTCTATCAACAACCAAATGGTTAATCTCGATACATTCCTAACATAAACCATCTGCTATCATATCTGACATACTTTCTTTTTCTTCACGTGTCATAAATACTCTTTTTTATATATTCATTATTATAAATAAATTAAATTACCCTCCATCATCAAGTACAAATACTTCTCCATGTTCATAAGGTGAAAATGTACCAGCATCAATATTTATATATGGATCAATCTAAATCAAATAAATTATTGTATTTTGAGAAGGAAAAAAATGTTATTATCTTTATAATACTTTAATAGATGTTACACGATATCCATGTGAACGAAGTATAGTACCAATACTAGATGAAATAATACCTTTTCCAATTCCACTAATAACACCACCAGTAACTAAAATATATTTCATTGAAGATAATGATGAGTTATGACGAAGCATATTCTACAAAAGAAAAAATTGATTCTAATGATTTTTTTCTTTTATCACATATGTATTTAATATAGAAATAAAGAAAAACAAACAAATGTTTTATAAGAATCAATTTTGTTTGATAATATTAGTTGAGTTCGACGTAACTACAAAAGTAAAAACAAATAAGAAATATAACTAAAAGTTTCTTTTTTTGAATGATGTCATTTATTTCTAATGTAATAAGAAGATAGGAATGAAAAACAAAGCATGTCACTCATGCGTAACTAACGTATTTGTATTAAATAAAGTTAATCCTCTTTCAATGCATTACTTAAGTATGGTACATTAAAGTATGTGTACATATATATTTGGGCGTTCGTTTTTATACGCATTAAGAGTAGAGAGAAGGGAAAAAATGCACGATCTTGCATCGTGACGCATATGAATGTTATCGATAAAGTACTAAGGCCTGGATAACAATGTATTATAATGAAAAGAAAACTGATACATGTACATATTTAGTCAAGAGACCGTCAGTTTTTTTTTGCAAAAAAATTTAAGTTAATACATAAGAATATTCCCAGACATGTCATAGATATTTTCAATAATAACATACCTATAAATGCTCGTCTTTCGAATAGTATATAAATGATGTTTTTCTCTCAAATTTAATCAATAATTACATTCATTATTAATAAGAATAATTCTTCTAATAACAAAACATTTGTTGTTTATGTCGTATTACTTTTCTAATGAAGCATCAGTCGCAAGAAAACTGTCTTTAACAACGATAGATACAGTTTGTTATTGTAGATGTCTAATTTATTTGATATATTGAATCTTTTTCTATCAGTTTATATTTTGAATGTTTCCCCATGCATGTGCTATCGACTTTCTTATAAAATGACATACGAGATTTTTATTTTTAAATTCATAATTCATTATATGACAAAATATAGTAATGATATAACAGTTTCATCGTTCATTGAATCGATTCTTCGTCAATAATTATAACCAAATCACCTGAGTAGAAACTTAATTGCAGATCCATGAAAACTATTTAAATCTTCCTGGACGAATAGTAATCTAGATTAAATAAAAGAAAAAGTAGAACGAGTTTTATATTTTTCATATAATTCTTGACGTTAAAATGTAGGAAATGATATTAATTAGATGTTATTTCAAAGTTGAATGAAAGAAATAAACATCTGAACGATAAAAAAGTGTCTTCTGCGTAGAGTTAGTAACTATTACTCCTATAAAGTTACAATTGCGTTCTATGCTATTCAATTCCAGACAAGATTTAATGTCTTTTCTAAGAATATTTTTTTCTATTAAATTTTCCATTGTTGCAAGATCAAGAAAGTTCATTTTTACAATCTAGAATATTATTTTTGTATAATTTATGTTTGACAACAAAACATTCTCGATTATCTTGATTGATTTATGATATAATTGAATTGTATCGTGATGATCTCTTATGAGGGTCAATTCTTATTGGTTTTATTCTTGACCAATCCGATTTATTTTTAATAGAATGGATATCAAGGTAAACTATGGAATTTTTTTTTATAGAGGATCCATTTCTATACATATAATGATCTTCTGTAGTAGTAAGTAGTTTCAATTGAAACCTATTTTCAGTGATACTACACTAAAGGTGGCGCTAAAAATAAACTATACATAGTACTCTATTTCATCATCTTTTATATATTTTAGAAATCAATTTTTTCGCATTTATAAGGAATTAAAATCAGAGAATGGGCGCACAAGTAAGCAAAATCGAAGATTCTATTCATGATATCTATAAGAAAACCTGGCCACAAGCTTGGTAATTATTAAATTAATTCTTGTTCGTTTTTTTAATAAGATTTTATTTTATTTAGGTATTTAGCTCCATCATTTCTTGCATCACTTGGTGCATTAGGTTATGTTGGATATGCTTTTGCTCAAAATAAACCAGTACCATCATCACCAAATGTTTCATTTTTACATTTACTTGGTGTTGCTGGTGGATTTGGTATTAGTTTCTGGATAACAGCTGTTCATGGTAAATTAACTTTTTTCTCTCTCGTCAAAATAAATATATTTGAACTAGGTCGAGCTGTTCAACGCATGTTAACACGCCATGAATTTGCAACAGTTCAATCGCATTTATCAACTGTCTACTTTTCTTCATCAGCTGTCTTAGCTAGTTTAAGTTTAGGGACATTTTTACTTCGTCATCCATTTAAAACATGGTCAAAAGAAGCAATGTATTTGGTTTGTTAAATTTTCAAAAACACGAACCAAAAAATTATAATTATTTTCATAGGGTACAGCATTAATTGCTGCATTAGCTGCAGCTGAAGTTAATAGTATTGTTCTTAATCCATTGGTTACAAATTTAATGTTAGATCGAAATAATATTGAATTTTTACAAGCAGCTAAAGTAAATTATTATTTCATTCATAATCTTCTCATTGGTATTTTTTGTTATTCTAGACAAGTGAAGATATTGAAAGATTAGTTCAAGATGATCATAAATATCGTAACATAAACAATAAATTTAATTTATTTCATTCCGTATCAATGATCTCCGGTCTTGTTTATCATGGTATTCAATGGTATCATCTCTATTTTCTTGCTGATCGATGTCTTGTACTTTGATGAAAACAAATTATAGAAACTGATCTCTACACATAGTGTTAGAAAAAAAAGAAAATGAAAACTTTAGTTCTTTTTTCTTTTTTTGTAGTTTATATAAAACACATTTCTTTAAGAAATAAATTCTATTTTCAGATAAATGACTGAAAGTATTGAAGATACATCATTATCAAATAATGATGATGAAACATTAATTGATGAGAATGAATTAAATCAATTTACAGCAACATTAGATCAATTAACGCCTGTGATACCAGATACAGTTACAAAATTTTATATGAGACAATGTGGATTACAAACTGATGATGAACGAGTTGTTAAATTACTTTCAGTCTCTGTACAAAAATTTATGTCTGGTAATGAAATGAAATTGAAATGAATTTTTAATTCATATTCTTTTAAAGATATTGTTAATGATTGTTATCAATTACATAAACTACGTGAAAAATCCACTAACCGACCAGCAACAGCAGCAGCACTACCTACTACTACTACTGCGACTACTCAAGCTGCAGTAACAGAACCAGCAGTAACTGCAGCAGCGACAACAACAACAACAACTACCACCACAGATTCATCAGCAAATGCAGCTAGTGCGAAAAAACCAGTAACATCTACAAATCAAACATTAACACTTAATGATTTATCACATGTTCTTGGAGAGTATGGAATTAATGTTAAAAAGACATTTTATTATACATAATGTAAATAAGAAAAATTCTCTTATGTGTATATGAAATCTTTTTTCTTTTCGATGATATAATAAACCTGATTCTCTTTTTTTTTACAAAGAAGAATTCAATTTTTACAATGAAAATAAATATGTATTTTATCATTATAATGTTGAAATAATGACTAAGAACATTCAAATACAGTTCTTCAATAGCGAAGTCTCGAAAGTAGAGTACGGCGGTTGCAAAAATTACCCAGAACCGCGGTTCCGGTCAGTGGAAATGAGGAAAGAGTTGTTCCGGGTCGGTTTTCGGTTCCATTTCTTTTGAAATTGCCGTACCCTACTCGAAAGTAGCGTAAAGAACACATCCTATTCATGTGCTTAATAATTATAATCACGAATAATTTTCTTTCATAAATAAATTCATTGATTCAATAGAAAGAATTATGACATAAGCAAACAACGACAAAATGTTTTTTCGTCAGGATACTGTCAACTGCATACATCAAAGAATTTATTTCAATGACTCATCTTACCTGCAAGTTGTTATTATTTTATAATGCCAGTTTATAGGTATTCTATATAGTTGTATTTGAGCTTTTATTGATAAAGAAATGACAATATTTGTACATAGATCATTATGGTATTATGCGATAAGATTTAAACCAAAGATTTCAGATTTTTTTTCCAAAATATAAGAAGATTTTGAGAAGAAAATTACGAAACTTTATGTAAGTGACTCAACATGTTGAGTCACTCATCAGTCACCTGTCCACGTAGACAAGTAAGTTAACGTGTCTGTTTTACAGAACCTATATAAACGAATTGTATAGTTTATATAACACAGATCATTCTATTAACAGCAAATCATGACATTTGAATATACAACTGATGATGAATTTGATTATTTATTCAAAATACTAATTATTGGTGATAGTGGAGTTGGGTATGTATATTTTGCTCATAAACTCTTATACATCTATCAATATTTGTATTCTTTTAGAAAAACAACAATTTTACAACGTTTTGCTCATGACTATTTTTCAACTGAATATGTAGCGACGATTGGTGTTGGTAAATATTTTAATTTTTGATTTGGAAGTGTATATATCTCTAGTTATTTAAATAGATTTTCAAATTCGAACAATCAAAGTCGATACAAAACGTTGTAAATTACAAATATGGGATACAGCTGGTCAAGATCGTTTTAAATGTGTTGTATCATCATTTTATCGTAATGCAAATGGTGTTGTAATTTGTTTTGATTTAACTGATGTTGAAAGTTTTCGTAATGTTCATAATTGGTTCGAAGAAGTTAAACGATATTGTCCAGAACAAACACCTGTTTTTCTCATTGGTACAAAATCCGATTTAAAAGCACGACGTATGATTACCTATGATATGATAAAAGCTTATGCTGATAAATATCAAATATCATATCTCGAAACAAGTTCAAAAACAAATGAAAATGTAGAAAAATGCTTTTTTGATTTTACACAAACATTAGTCACGCATACAAATCAAATGGAATTATCGCATAAACCTACTCCTAAATCAAGATCAACTATTGAGTTGGAATCTAAACGAAAGACAATTGGTGCTAATACTAACGGGGGATGTTTTAGTGGTAATACATGTACAATTTAATACTTTTGATTTTTTTTTATATTGTAAATAAGTTCGTAAAAATATTGAGTGATTCTGAAATTCAAAATAAATTATTATGAAGAATCTTCATACAAAAAAATTCAGACTGTTATTTATTTTTGCGTATTGGACTTTTTTCAAAAGATATCTTATAATATTCTTTACAATGGTAAGGTCAAAGATTTTCTTGATTAAATAATCGGTTGATATTAAATCTTTCTATTCAATATTGGCGCTAGGATGGAACGTCACATGGGCAAAACGTCGCAGCTCATTTTATGGTTCAAAATGAATTGCTAGTAAACGTTTGATGCTGGCCATGTAGGTACGCGGGATGTGAATATTCGATGCACCCTCACCCTCAATGAGCCATACGCCTGCGACATTTTGTCCGGTCACCGCGAAAAGTTGAAGCATAGTGCACATTTTACTTTATTTTTCTTTCACCATCGTAGAGAATTTTATATTACATATTTTGAGGATATAATTTCGATAGATGGAAATTCATTCTGTATAGCATGATATAAAATGTAGGAAAATATATTTAGCATTTGTAGTTTAATCATGAAGTTAAAAATACTATCTCGTCTTTATACAATTTCATATATTTAAATAGTAAAATGTGATATAGAAATCATACTCGTCGCTTAGTCATGTTATAAATATCTTGAGTCATATGATCTTATCTAACTCATATGATCTTATCTAACTCATATGATCTTATCTAACTCATATGATAATAACAAATAACGGCTTATTAAGATATTTTAAATCAAAATAATTTTATATTTGTCATTGAATTTTCATTATTTTATTTTAATAATACTAAATATTAATACTATACTACGAATTAATTAGTAAATAGTTTACAAATAGAAAAAAATACGGAAAACGATAATTAGTGGACGAATAAATTTGAGCGTATAGGAAATACTGTATTAGAAGAGTAGAATAAAATTTCTTTTATAATACATGTGAATATCACAGGAATACTTGATGGACGAAATACAATAATATAGAGAAGGATTAAAAAAAGAAGAATAGAAATTTGATAGAAAAAAATTAAATAATTGATTTTGTTGATATATTATCACTGTCATCATCATCACTGTCATCATGAAATTTTAAATATGGTAATGTAAACCAATTCGACTGTTCATTAGGCCAAAAATGTAAATGAAGATTTGCTTGAGGATTTTGTTGTTTTATTGTTAAATACCCACAAATAACAATACCCTCATTACTACTGAAAAATATTAATACATGCCAAAATGCATGTAAATAAGGAAATGATATTGATAACCATAATGGACATAACATTCGATCACATATCCATATTGTAACTGCAATAGCCCATAAACAAAAACAATGAAGGCCAAGACGTTTTATACGTGCATTGTCACTTCTAAAAAAAACAAATTTTAATTTTCTTAAAACAATAATATCAGATAATCAATACCGTCTAAGATGAATAACAATAAAACTAATAGTTGGAAAACAAAGAATCATTAGAGCAAATGCATTTGCATATGGATAAACAAATGACAAGCCAGTTATAATAATTGCGAAGACAATACAACTGTACACAAACCGATGCCTATGTGAATAAATATGAAATATTTAAAATATATGTCAAAAGAAAAACGTTCAAGTACCGTTGAACACGAAATGATTGTGGTAGATAAACATCTGGTAAAAACAATGCATAACCAGCTGTAATAACCCATAAAATTGATATTTCATCAACTAATTGTCCAACCTAGAAAATGAATCGTTCTCTTTTTTAAATTCTCATTATCTATTATTAACATACAAGACTAAGTGTTGCATGAAAATAAACCGAACCAATTCCAATCACAATCAATAAAATCCAAAGTATTGCTATTCCATTAGCTACACGTTTTGAATATGGCCGGAAAAGATAAATCATTATTGGTGGTATCAAGAAAAAGAATATATTGGATACCTGAATAAAAAAAAGTCAAATATTCAAATTGAACTAATAACAACTATGATCATAGGAAAACAAAAAATTCTTTATCAAATAAATGGAACTAATCGATTATTAATAGCAAGCAGGAGAATTAAAAATAAACAAATGAGCATGCATTCATACGTATAAAAAATATATAGCAATTTCAAAACGGAAATAAGTTACCTTTAACCCACATATTTAGTATGTTAGCCTATAATACAAACATAGTTTCATAGTTGATTGAATTGTTATTACATGCTTATTTATTTTTATATGTTTAAACTAATGATAAGTAGATAGTACTTTTAGTTTGACTTTTTTGTTCTATATGTACTTACTGTATTCCAAAATTCAGCAATATATTCACTAACAACATAATTTGGTTCGCACCAATCAACCGTACTTGAACCAGGTTGAAAAGGATTTTTTTTTATTTGACCTAAATTAATTTTAGATAGGTCTGTTGTTAGATACATTGCAATCTAAAATTATATATACATAATAAGAAATAATATTTTTATGTTTAAATAAAAAATGATTTAAGATAATCGCATGTTTATCTGTTTCGAATGATTTGAATATTATTTCCAAAAATGAAATAATCATGATAAAGGAGACTAAACCAGTATTCATTTTCAGACTCACTTAGATCAATTTTTGAAATATTTAGTAATCTAAATAGAATTGATATTTTTATTGAAAAGATTTATAGATAGATTTATCCCATTTATTTTTTTGTTAATGATTTTCATACAAAACAAAACAAAAACAATCAAGCATATATATCATATAATCTATATTGCTATATTGTTATTATTTTTTCTAATAAAACGGGATTGATTTTTTTTTTATTTTCTCGTGTTGTTTTCTTCTAAAACTGCTTGGTTTTATTGAAAACCAGCACGTCGGGCATATCCACTTTGTTGACGATCATGACCACCACGTTGATTTCCACCTTGTTGTTGATTTGGTTGATTATCTCGTTCTTGTACATCAACATTTGGTAATGATTTAAAATCGAATGCATTTAACATATCCTTGGTGTCTTGATCAATTGCAATTATAGTTTGTGGTTCAAGTGCTGAAATTTCTGGTACATAATTGTCACGTCGTTCACGTTCTTCTTCTTGAAGTTTAATTGATATACCACGTACAGGTCCAGCTTGAATACGTTTCATTAAATGTGTAATAAAACCAGCTATTTGATTACGAAGACGTTTTGTTGGTATAATTGCTATTTCTTCAACAACACGTTTGTTTGTATGAAAATCAAGCGTCAATTTTGTATAATATTTTTCGATAATTTGACGTGAAGCTTTTTTAATGGTTTTTGTACGAACACGACCCATCTTTTCTTAGTGTTTAAGAAAAACAACGAGATGATCTAAAAAATAAAAATAAAAAAGAGATTCTATTATTACAAATAAATTATTTTATTTTTTATTTTTTATTTAAGATTCATGCGATTTTCCAACAACTAATTTAATTTTAGGCTGTCTTTCTTCCGATTTAGCAGCATAATCAGATTCCGTATGATATCGACAATGTTGACAATTATCAAATTCATTATCGTCTGTTGTTTCATCATGATTTGTTTGTGGATCATGTGGTTTAGTATATACACAACAACATTTGGATTTCTTTTTATTCATATGTTCATTATCAATTGTTTCTTCTGTCCAGCGAACACGAGGACCAGTTTCAATTGGATTATTTAATTCAAGTACGAGTGTTGGAGGATTTCCTCGTATTAATTGATTAGTTTCAACTGTTGTTGTTGTTCGTACAGGAGTCGTCATTTGGTTTTTATAAAAGCAAAATAATATAAATTATATCTAAAAATATAGGACAAATTTATATCTACAATATCTTTATTTTCGATCATCTGACAATATTTTTATTTTGGAATTCTAATAATAACACCAAAGAAATGTGATTCTAAGGTATCATAAAAAGAATAAATCCAATTGTAATGCAACAAAGAATTGATTAAGTTTACTATTTGAAACATCTTCATCGGAATGAAATAATGAAAGAAAATATATATATATTATATCTACTCCCATAATTCATTAATGCATAAAATCACACATACCAATCATAACAAGATTCATTAAGTATTTTTCCATGTCCAAGTGTTTGATATTTAATTGAACGTATACCATATTCATTTCCATTATTTGTTTGTTCAATATCGGATAATATACTTGTTGTTGTTCTTGTTGGACTTAAACGATCATATTGTAATTGTACACGTTGTTTCCAATGACTATAATCCATTGGACAGAGATTTGTAAGACCATTATAGATAATAGAACGATTTATTTGTCGACCAAACAAACCATTTTTATATTCAAGTTGAAATAAACCAGGACAATGATCACATAATAATCTTAATATTCTATCAAGCATACGTATTGTCCATGCATAACCATCATCGGCTAATTTTCGACATGATATATGACATTGAACTGAAAGTTCGTCAACATTCCATGGTATATATAAATAATAATGTTCATCTGATGTTGTTAAAGAAAATTCTAATGCATACTTAGAATCATCATCTTGTATATGTAGAATTATTGAATTTGGCAACCAATAATGACGAAGAGCAATAAGACGAACCTGTTCAAGTGCACCATAAGTTAATAGATGATTATGAGATTTGTTTAAGACACAAAAATGCATATCGTCAATATCAGACATCTGAAATAAGAAAAACAAAAAATGGAAGTTTTACAAAATCAGAAGAATAATATCAGATATGGAACTCAACACATACATGTCCATTTACTGAGTAATATATGGGGTTAGTTGAAAACGTTAATTTCATTACTTTTTGTCTAACCATTAAAACAAAAAGAATTTCTTAGAAACAATCGAATCATCTATTTTCAAACATACAAAAAAAAACATCAGATCAATCGCGTATATAAGAATAAAACAAAAGAACAAATGAGTGTGACATGCATTTGTAAACAAATATACAAAAAAATTTTGCTTCTTTCTTTGATACATTAATAATTTCATTGACTAGAACAAAAGAAAGAAATATAATATATATATGTATATATCTCACTAATGATCTTTTGTTGTTAATCGATCAATTAATTCTTGTAATGGTGCTAATTCTTTTTTTTCAACTAAGGAAAATTCTTGTATAAAATAAACAAAATGTTTAAAGGATGTATTTAAATGTGCTTCTTCTTTAAGCATAACAACTTCTTTAAAATGTTGATGATATATATGTGCATAAACACGAAATAAACGTTTTAAAATTGTTTTTGATATTGAAAGAAAATTTTTTGGAAATGGTACACCTATTTTTGATGGAAATATCATTTCATCATCAAGTTGATCTTGTACCCATGACATTAAATAATCCGTATAACGTGGTGCTGAACATTTTATAGGTTTTTTTATTGTTTGACCATCGGCCCAATGATATTCATATTTAGGTCCAGCCGTCATTAATACACATGTTATTTCCGTACAAAATTCTGTTATAGTACCATAAAGCATATTGATTTGATTGAAAAAATCCACAACTAAAAATAAAATTAGATAAATAAAAACAAAATTGTATTTAGAAATTTTGCTTACTATTAACAGCAATCCATTCATTAAGATCTTCTCCTTCGGGTAATTGTACAGCTAAGCGTAGATTTCCACTTCCTAAGGTATTTTGTGCATGTCTCATTAAATCATGTTGTTTTGTACCTAAATAAAACAAAAAAATATAGAAAGTTTTTGTTCGAAACCGAAAAACTACATACCTTCAGGTATATTTCGATGAGGTTTAAATGTACGTTGATGTTGTCGACTAAAGATACAACAAAAAAATATATGTTTTCTTTTATAATTTAAATGTAAAAACATACAATAAAAAATTCATTTTATATTCTCCTCATTGGAGATTGATAAATAAGAATACCATTTCATTACATTGATTTTGATGAGAATAAATGCAATTGTTTAGATATAAATAATAACAAATTCTTCTTTTTTTATGATGCCATCTATTTATTCATTTTTCAATCCTTATTTTACCATCTATGTTTACTTCATCGAACCTCTATTTTTCTTTTATAAATGTTTCTCTTTTATATTAATAGTGACATCTATTCAAGAATAGAGGAGAATATAGTTCTATCTAAGCAATAGAAAAAAGATCTTATATATCATCATTTAAAATTCTTAATCTATAAAATTTATTTAAGTCATTATTTAAATAACATATATTTTTCATTGCCTAGATTTTATATGATTGTTTCGAGTTCAGTATTTTCACGAAAAAAATCGATATACGATATATTATTTCTTGTAGACGTATCATCCATACAATTATAAGACTGTCGTGAATATGATCCACATAGTTATGAATTATTCTAGCAAAAAAAGGCATAAGCAACATTTTTAAAAGGTTTCAAAATTCAAACAGTAGTAATTTTTTTCATAATGTAGCGCAGATAACAAAAAAGCAAGTTTTTGTTTGCACAACGATTTGTATATATATTTTTTAATGAAAAAAGGAAAAATGTCGTTTTTTTCTATTAAAGAATTGTGACATTATTTTTACTCTATGATGATGCAAGTATTTATTTTGTATCGATGGTGAAATAGCGGGGTTTTTTTTCTTACCCTTGAATGTTTTTCTTCATTGCACCACTTAGCGATACGTGTAAAGGGGCGGTATTGTGTGTTGGTGATGCAATTCTGTCGATGAGTATATATACGCATTGCTTTCTTTCATTTTTTTATCATATACTCGAATAGACACGAACGTTCCTAGTAGCGTTCGCTTTTGAGTGATCACTTACCGCTTACTTCGAAACCTTGACTCGATATTTCATTCACTAAGTAAGCGCGGTGGCTCCATGCGACTCGATGGTCTTTTAAGATTTGTCTTGGATCGTTGGTAGTACACCGCTTCTTTATTTTCTTCTACGATGTTATTTTTAAATTTCTTTTTTTTCTTTCTACCGGGTTGACAGGCCCACTTCGCTTACCATCTTGTCTCCAGTTAGCGGCTACGCATTCGGCTCTTTTAGAGACGCTGCACACAGTAACATGTGTGTTTTGTAGTGGAGATAGGAATACGGTATGAAGTGGATACCTGCCGATCCACTGTTGTGATTTGAACGAGCATGTTCTGTTTGTATAATATTAATTCAGACATGAAACTCGTTCCACTTCATTGGATCGGTAGGGTAAAACAACAATTTCAAACTTCAAAAACTTTATTTATACATGAAAAAAAGAACAAGAGGTAAACTAATTCATCTTAAAATGTATTTTGTCGTCGAATACGTATTGTTACTTCTTTCATTGAATGATACAATGCATATGTATTCCAATGTAAACCATTTCGTGCTGTATTTTGAAGTGCAAGTGGTGATCGAACATAAATCCCATTAAGATGTGATTGAAAACAATTAGTAAACCACCATGCACCATGATAAATTAAAGCACAATTATCATAAAATAAATTATCATAATCATGATCATATGTAGAAAATGATGCTCCATTTGCATTATCCCATAAGGATGAAAGAGAATCTCCAGCTGTTGATATATTTGAATGAAATTGAGATATCTTTAATTTATAATTTTCTTGTTCATTATCTATAGCAAATTCACCATATTGCGCAATATGAATTGAAGCATCCCATGGTTTTAAATCAATTCGAAGTCTAAAATAGATTCAATTTTCAAATTCTTGCACATGTAACCGACACTTTTTCATTGAATCAGACTGATATGACATAAAAATAAGCATGAAAGTTCTCAAAAACAATATGATTTTCATCTTCAAACTTTACTAATATTTCATTACTTTCTGTTTAACAATTAGTTAATGTCAAATTTATGAAGCATGAAACGGTCTGTTAAAAATTTTCTCAATGAAAACTTACATATATTTGTCTTGTTTTGTTAATTGATGAATTTTTTCATTTCCTAACCAAAATTCTGTTTCTAAATCACCAAAACCATTTTTATAATCATTCCATCCACGATAAAAATCAACTGTACCATTCATTCGACGTTGAATAATTGTCCATCCTATTTATGACATATAAAAATTCTACATATTCATATTTCAATTTTACCTGTATTATTTTCAAATATACATTTAACATTAAATGATTCAGATGAAAAACGTGGTTTTATACGAAAAATTCCTTCCGTAATAGACGATGTTTGTTGACGAAAAACATCATCGCAATCTAAAACAGCAAAATGAAATTCAATTGATTTAAATTCGAAACAATTTACCTATGGGTATATCATCATTTTGTAAATTTCTTTTCGTTGAAATTAATCTTCTCGCATGTTGAATAGGTTTTTGTTTTAATTCATTTAATAAAACATTCAAAATATTGGTTAAATTTTGTATTTTATATTCCATAAATGATATATTCGATGCAAATGAATGTTGTTTTTTAAACATACCTTCAACTAAATCATTTAATGTTTTATTCGTATTTAAAATTGATAATGATGAATTTTTCATATGAACTAATTCTTTTTCTAAGTGGTATAATTTTGATGTTTGACTATTATAATAGCTAACCATTTCATCAAGTACAACATCCGTTATTTCACCTTTTATACTTGTCATATAATTTAACATTGTTTTTCGTACTTCTTCTTGAACAAATTCACGACGACGAAAACGTCCACGCACTTTATTATGCGTATTTATAGGAACAGGAGGATCTATGGATGATATAGAATCCACCATAAAAATCATAAAAGAAGCTAATATGGCAAATTGAAGTGTATACATATCTAAAAAAGAAAATCATATAGGGTGTATTTTCTTATACTAATTTGATCTATCGATAGATCTGTTCAATACGGACATTGCTAGAACTTCCTTTGTCTTACTAATACTTACTTAGAGTCGAAAGAGAAGGGTACTGGTGATATGTTTGCATATCATCACTCTTTAAGTACGTGAATATTAAAGAAAAAGATAGATATGTATATGTATTTTTATCTATAATAACCAGACTGTATATTCACGATTGAATATGTATACTTGATATGCACTTCCTGCTATATGTTGAATTATCGAATAGAATACTTAAGTTATTCATCGGCATAGAAAGAAAGAAAGTAGCATGTTCATTCAAATTGGCATCTCTCATCTTCGACTGGAAAAAAAATGATATGATTATATGAAAGAAGATAACGTATTTCTTCATTAACGAACTTTCTCTCTGTTCATTAGACATGTCTTCATTCTTTACAAAGATATATATTGTTCTATCATTTATTGTTTTTCTTTTCGCGAGAGAGATGAAAAAGCTGTTCTATAAACAAATACAGGAAGTTAACTGTTTTTTTGTCAAAAGCTCATATCATCAGACAAATGATTGTTCTTTTTTCAGAAAAGTTATTTTGTCTTAATAATACAAATTATATACTAATCAGTTCATTAGTAAAAGGACATGTTCGATTGTGTCTATCTTTTGATAATCACGAACATCTGTGAAATAAGATGATTTATTTTTTCTTCTCGAAAGTGAAAAAATACATGTTTAAGAAAGTGAAGGTCAAATGATAAGAGTTGAGCTTTATGTTTTTTTTTTGAAATGACATTCAACTATTCAATGAAAAAATAGTCGAAGAATTTTATAGTTATAAACAAAATAATCCAATCAAGTAATTCTATATTATACAGTAAGCAATAGAATAAGAATTTATTGTTATGATTTCACAATGCCGCAAGTGATTGTATGTTATTATTTCAAGGTTACTGATTGAGATATTAAATGAGGTTAATGGAATACACATGTTTTTCATCGTATATGAACAAATCGATAATAAGCATATGTTTTCTTAAAAAGAAATGAATGCAGTTAAGCACCAACCACCCATGGAGAATGTAAGATTATAAATGTCGATTGAAATTGAATGTAAACAATCACTTCATGCTTCTTTTTTCCGAACAATATATTTACATAGTATAAATTCGCAACCATTAAGATAAACATCTCACACAGTATCTCACTTAAAAAGAAAATACAAGATCTTCATTCATTTCGACAAAGTGCAACAAATATTAATCATCTTGAAGGTGAGGATGTGGTTGTGAGTGACGGTAAGTGGTTGATATATCAATCACATCCACATATTCAAGATAACAAAATGATATGAATAGTAATGATAGTATTTGCAATTATAATGATGTTCTGCATATCTCTGCTAATATTGTTATGTAACATTTATCTCTAAAGTTATCATATTGTAATGTAATCATCTGTTCAATGATTGTGAAACTTGTTTCTAAACTATTATTATTACGTACTAACTAGCTGTTCAACATTCATGACTACAAAAAAAAAATAATCAAACTAAATATTTATCAATAGAAATATTTCTGATTCCCTTCTTCATGTAGAACTTAACAAAGATTAGAAAGATAAATAAAATATTGATAGGTACTGATCCATACTTCGTGAGTAGCTGGAATTTACATGTTTTTCAATAATTAGAATCCATTATTATGTATTTAAATCTGTAACGAAATCATATTTTTAGCGATGAGAAATCGAACACGATTCGAGCATGAAGTAAATTGAATTATATAGTTTTTATCTGATAATAAAATAAGATCGTCTGTTTTTATTATATTTATTTTTTTAAATTATGGAAAGAGTATTAATATCCACCTTGATCTTTAAAGACACGTTCAATGTCAGCATTATGAGGATTAAGTGTTGGTAACCAATGTGGTTTTTCTTTTTGAAACCATGCCCAAAGAATATCCGAGACTATTGCATGTCCATATTGATTAATATGAAAACCATCAATACTTTCAATTAATTGCCATGGTTGACCACCTTGAGCTTCCCATTCTTGAATAGCTTGATCAAATGGAAAATCAAGATAATCAACATCGAAATGCTTAGATTCATAAGAAAATGTAGCATTTCGTACTGCTGCAGATAATTCTACTGCTCGATCAGTAGTCAATGCACGAAGTGTATAATTTGATGTCAACCATCCATTACATGGTGAAATTTGTAAACATGATAAATAATCATACATTTGAGGATAAGTAATTGGTGGACCAATGCGACCAAATGGATGTAAACGATCATGTAAAAGATCATATAACATACTACCATTACCTAAACCAGTAGTTACTACATGACTACCGCTAGGTAATACTGTATCAAGATAAGTAAGTGTAGTTATAACATTTTTATGCATTTGTTCTACTGTTGTCATATGATCAATAGTATCTGGATGACCATTACAAACATCATTGCCAACTAATGAATAAATAACAAGAAGTGGTACATCATTTTTTTGATGACGTGATAAAGTTTTCATAATATTAGTCATACTACTACTACGAGCACCATTGACAGCAATATTTTGATAATCTCGATGATTACAATGATCAAGATCAAATAGACGAGCATAAAGTGATCGTGTTGGACCTATGTAAATATCGATATATATTTGTGTTAAAAATAGAATATAGAAAATCTTACTTACCGATAATATTAGGCCAGCTAACATTAACATGACCCGTACTTGCTGATAGTTGAGGCCAATCAAGTTCATTTTCAAGAATGAATCCTAAATGTTCGAATGCTTCAGGTGAAAATTGACTTGCATCTAACCATTGTTCCGGAATATGAAAATGAGCAGATAAAGAATCGCCTAATACGGCTATACCCATACGTTGTGTTTCATTACAAAACTCGTCTTCCCATGGTCTTCCTGTTGCTGAATTCATACCAAATATTCCATTACAATTATGATCAATCATACTATCACTTTGAATAGTATGAGCACCTGGATGAATTTGTGATGATAAATCATTACAATCTTTTCCTCGCCATGAACTACCACGTAATGTTGTTTCAGTACCAAAATGATCTTGATCAAGATCAAGCATTGGTAAATGATTATTAAAAACATTTTCAATTATTCGACAGATTTCTTTAATACCAGGTATTTCACAAATTTTTGATTTCGTTAAAAATAAATTTATTCTTGGATGTCGTTGAAGAAGATTTAAAGCACGTTGTGGCACTGAAAGTGATGATTTTGATGGATAAATACGACATTTGCCTTGACCTGCATCATCATGACAAAATTTTAATGCATGACAAATAACATCAGGATTATCTCCTTTAATAAAACCATCGATTATAAGTGGTCCTAAATGTATATATTATTTAAATCTATTCAATTCAAACAATAAATAAATAGACTTACCTAAAAAATCTACTGCAGCTTTACAATAGGTTTTAAATTCACCTGGTAGAAATGTGCAAAGTCGTTCGAGTGCATGAGCAGCAGTATCATTATAAACAATTGTAAGATGATCAACAAGACCTAATACAATTGTACATGTCGCACAATCTCCACCACCATTAACACCGGCATTAAAACTACCTAGACGACTATCAACAACTGATATAAAAACAATCAATAATAAATAAATCCAATTCATAGCTACGGTCGACATTGAAGATGATTGTGTGAATATCATAGAAATATTTCAAGAAAAAATAATTCATGAGAATTAATACAGATGGATTTTATCTTTCGAATTGTTTTTAAAATAGAATCCATATTACAATGCCGGACTCAGAATTAACTGATCTAGTTTACAGACAATCAATTAAAAAGAAATAGCAATAAGCTATTTGAATATTAATTATCGACGTCTTCAGCAGAAGAAATAAAATATGAGCCTATAAATTGTTCTTTTTTATTATCAATTTTTTTTCCTATTAATTTTTTAAAAAAAAATGCAAAAATCAGTTATTTTTTTATTCTTTCATAAAACAAAATATATGCCATTGAAGCGAATACTTGAAGTTCACTACATTCTCTTATAGTATCGTCTGATATGGAAAGCCATTCATTTTTATCTACTTGTCGTCGATAGACAATAAAATGTCCAGCTTCACTAATACCACCTAAATGTACAAGTACAGAATTAAGTCGATACATAGCATTGGACGGTTTTTTATTTGTTTGACTCGGAGGTATATTAGCAGGTAAAAGACGTGATAAAGAAATAAATGGATTCATATCAAGCAGATCAGGAAATGATATATGACATGTATTTTTCATTGGCAAACCTTCATTTGTCCATGTTGTACGAATAATATGTAGACAAAGAATTTCTGGTAACTGAAAAACGAGAAGAATATACAATTAGAATTTAACAAAAATATAAATAATTTACTCTTGAAAAAGTTGTTATTTTTCTATGTGGTAAATTTCCTTTTGATTTACATTTACTACAGGTTAAATTCGTTATCATTTCGGATTTAAGATAATTACCAATTAATTCTTGTAATGTAAAATTTCGTTGTTGTCGAATTCCCAATGTCTATGAATTACAAATATATAATAATTGTATTCTATCATTATATAATCATACCCCTGAATTTGATACTTGTCGTTCGGGAATAATTAATGAAAGTGTTTCGAAAAGAGAAACACTTATTGGATTCTTAAAAAAACCGAAATAATTAAAACTGTAAGAAACAATTTTGTGAGTTATATTTACTTTCTGTTTACATTCCGTACATTGTAATTGTGTTGCTTGTAAGCCTTGAAATGGATGTGGTGTTATTAATGGACTTTCAGTTATCATCATTGATTTTGAATTATCTTGTTCATCTGAACAATCAAGACAAGAAGCAAAACCTAAATGTTTTGATTGTATTGATTGTTTATATGTTAAAGAATTAATAAGTGATAAAAGAAATTCATGACTATCTTGTTGTTCAAATGGACTTAACCATTTTGGTTGTCGCATATGATCAATTAATGTAGCAACAGTTGAATCTTGTGAATAAGATATTCTTTCACCATTTATTGATTGAATAAGATCAAGAAGAATTTTCGCAACGGTATTATTTTGAAGATGTTCATCAATCCATCGAATAAATATCGATGATGAAGCTAAACATTGAACAATAGCATTAGCAAAACAATTATTTCCATAATTGACTAATCCACCAGGATAACCTATTTTGTTTTTTGTATAATATACATTAGTTAAATAAAATAAAACAAACCACGTTTTCGTCGATCTTTTGGTTCAGGTCCAAATAGAATATAAACACTTATAGCTGTCAAAATACTAACACTAATTACAATGGGTGATGAAAAAGACACAGGGAATGATAACATTATCAATTTATATTGAGAATAGCTCAATAGAGTACAGAAAATACATACTATATATGTTAAACGAACATATTGATTTAGTTTGGACGTAGAAAATACGTATGAAAATCAATGATTACAGATGTCAGTCTTGACAATGTTAAAAATAATAAAATATGTATTACGTAAATATAAACAAATGAAGGACAAAAATTAGATGAATTATATTCGTTCTAATATCTATCGTGATTGAAGTAATTAAATTCATTCTTGTGAATCATGCCAATAGTATTAATATGTCGTTAAGCTTTTCTCTGTGGAAAGAATTTCAGAAATGAATAGAATTCCAAATCTTGATATAATACATATTTGGAAAATCTTTAAGGAATTTGGTTTTCTCATTACGATAATAGCAAAATCAAGTATGGTAATCTGTACTATAAATTAATTTTTAATATGTAACAGATGTAGAAAAATAAATTAATATATTTTAATAATGTATAAATATGTCTTCCTTTTTAATTAAAAAACACAAATCTGATGATATCCTGTCAAATTATCATAAAAAAAACTTGCTTGTCAAAAGAAAACATCAAGTTGCATGGATTTACTTTAAATATGCGTATTCAAAGAGTGTGTTATTCTCACACAAATGCTTGTCTTAACCCAAGAGATTATTTTATTATTAAAAACCAGATACGTGGTAAATTGACAAGCTGTTGCATTTTTTTTATAATTACCCTAAAGTACACATCTGACAAAACATCTTCTTTTTTTTAGTGTTCTATTAACGTCATAAAAACACATTCTTCTCTTCGGTACAATAAAACACAATTAGAAATCATGAAACCCATTTCGGTTTAAATCAACATTAAATATGCACTTAGCGTACGAAAAAAAGAATATTTATTATGATTAATATTATAGGAGGCTAAAATCAATAAAGTATTATTTTTATGTTTTAAATTTAACTCATTTCTTTTTTTTTTTATAAATATTGATCATGTACTTCAATCAATACGATCTATCATGTATGACATTTTTTTTTCTTCTAATGATGAGATACATCATATCTTTCAAACTTGCTTTTTTTTATTATTCTGTTCGTCATTTGATGGATACTTTTACCTTTGTACCGAAATAGCGAACGACAGCTTCTGTCGCGTACATCTCGCCTACACAACCTACAGAATAGGAAGAAAAAAAACGCATGTTTGCCTTTTTTTTTCACATATATTTTTTTTCTATTGAAATTCAGTAATTTACATAGAACTAGAAAAAAACAACGAACGACAATAGCTGTATATGGTAGTAGTAATCTAACGACTAAGTCCAAATAACGAAACTACCATTGATTTATTCGTAAGTTGATGTTTTTTGTTTTTGTTATGTATTCGAAATCTATTACAAAACTTACGAATGAGGAAACAAGGTTGACTATAAAAAACAAGGTATTTATTTATTTTTATCGCTACAACATAACTAGGCCATGTATATAAGGTGATAATCAAATAAACAAAAACTGTTATGATGTCAATTTTATTGAGAAATTAAATTATAAGAAGTTTTATAGTTGATGATATTTTTGTTTTTATTAAAATTTAATTATTATAGACAGTAATAACGGCACGTGTATATTGATGCTGTCGAATAGTCAATATTGTAATACAATACTGTCATCTGATTTTGAGGATTTATTTTCATCAGTTGTTGATTTTATTTCTGATGACGAAAATAAAGATGATTTGAATCTAAATAATGATGTGATCTTAAACGAAATAGATTCGTCATATGAGGTAAATAAAATCAAATAATATTGACTATTTCATATAATATGAATCATTTTTATTAATAGAATGACCCATATCAAGTACAAATATTACCAACACAAGCTCTTACATCTAATATGATCTGTCGTGTTTGTGGTGGTCCAGCAATTGGCTATAATTTCGATCAAATTACTTGTGAATCATGCAAAGCATTTTTTCGTCGAAATGCCTTACGAAATATGGTAATAATTTTTAAGTACTTAAAATAAGATGGAACAATAATTATTAAGTATGGGATGATGAGTTAACTCGAGATCAAATCTATTTGAGCATAGAAATAGAAGAGTAAAGGATTGAGCCAGAATATCACCAACCGAACGATAATCCTCTCAGTTACAATATTTACTATCACGGTCAATCAGTACAAATATTCTAATCACGATGCAAATTAATTTATTTTTTCAAATATCTTATTTAATCAAGTTAAAAAGAATTCTGATAGTAAAGAACATGTGGCGTTAAAATCACTTTCTCGCCCAAACCGTATGGGAAAAAACTATATGGTTAGAATCAGCATTCAAAACTGCATCTAGCAATACGACTTCTGTCGAAAAACAAACTGAAACTATATACCTGTTAAGCCCTCAATCTGTTTGGAATTGATGGAACAATTGATTCTAGATATATATAAAGTGTTATTAGTATTATAAACTAATTTTTAGGGTCGGAAGACAGTGATTTCAAAACTAAGGTCAAAAGAATATTTTTTATTAAAATAGACCATTGTTCATTTAAACCACTTTTTTATTCAATATAAACCTGAAATTCGTGATCAGCATGATCGATAATCTATATCTAAATGAAATCAGAGTGAAAAACAAAAAAAAACTTTTTTTTTGTTTTTTTCAAGGGTACCACGGCAAAAAATTGAGAAAAAATGTACAGTTTTGTTTAGAATTTAATGCTGATTCTAATCATATAGTTTTTATCCTAACCAGTTTGGGCGAGAAAGTGGTCTTAACGCCACTTGTCCTTTAATAAACTTTTGATTACTTGCTTATTGAACGTCATTATATCACTTATAAAATAACCATTGAAATAAATTGATAGGTGAATGGTTTTTTTTGAATAGCTATACAATCGTTTAAACAGCTATAATTATGTTTTAATAACACTAAGAGATTTTCAATAGTTGATTGCATAAAGATGTTCAATACATATAGAATCATTAGAAACTAATTATTTAATACTTGTTTTAATGTTTTATTTTAGACTGAGGTAAAATGTCGGTATTCTGGTACATGCGTTATCAATGTTAAAACACGTCGTCAATGTACCTATTGTCGATTAAAAAAATGTTTTGATATTAAAATGCGTAAAGATTGGATTCGTACGGAAGAAGAAACAAAAATAAGACAATTACAAAAATTAATTAAAGAAGAAATGAAATTAAATAAAGTAAAATATGATTTACAACCAGTTATGAATCTTCCATTAGTTGTACGAAAGAAAAAACGTCTAATGTGGAAACAAGCGCCTCTTGTTAATCCAGTAAGTATACATTTTGATGTTATGATGATTATAGTTTTGATCTTATTATAGATATTTAATGGAAAATATTTTAGTTGTAATCGAAATTTATGTTATGAAGATCAAACTTTATTAAATAATATTACTAATGCTTATCATTCAGGAGCTGATTATGCTGATTATTCACATATTAAGACATACACAAGATTTACACCTTTTTCACAATTTATTAACGATGAAAATGTTGTATATAGTTCATTAATTTATTATTATAAAGGCATACCTGAATTTAAGCAATTAGATATCGATGATCAAGTTTTATTAATAAAATCGAATATTGTTAAACTTATACATCTACATTATATAGTAATACAAAACTTTGAAGATTTTCCTTGTATTGGTGAACATATGTCAAAGTGGATCAATGCCGATTTTCATAATCAAATGTATCGAACACGTTGTTATTTTTATCGTTTTATGAAACACCCATTATTATTAAAATTAATATTAATTGTTTTTATGTTCAGTGTTAATTTATCAGCTCCATGTAGTATTAATCAATGTAGTGGATATAAAAATATAAAAAAATTATATGAATGTCAAAATTATTATATAATGTTACTTTGGCGTTATTTAAATCATTTATTCGAAGAAAAAGAAGTGATAAAAGCAATGGAAATAATCGTGACACAAATCCTACGTTATCAAGTGTTAATGCTTACTATTGAAGATCGTGTACGACAAACATCAAAATATGAGAAACTGCATTCGTTAATGGAATCTATCTTTAGAGTTAGTTAATGAATGAATGTTTCATGACATCTACTCGGTGAATTAAGCAATAGCTTTCAAAATTAATTGTGATTATTGGAGAATAGTTAGAGCTTAAAAAAACATGTATATATGCTTGAATAATTAGTCAGTTGTATTATGAACAGGGAAAAAAGTCTTTGGTAAATTATTGTAAAATGATTTGACTTTTTCAAATGGTCAAAAGAAAAGGCTAAGTTGTTTTATTGTATCAATACACTTTAACAGATATTTGTTTCTATCTATATTGTAAAATAAACAATACGTAAAAAAGAGATCTTTTGTTTTTATTATTTTTTGGGTTGTGAAAAGATCTTTTCAATTAAGATTCTATTTTCTAAGTTTAAGTCGAGGATGTAGGTAGTTCAGGAATTCTCTCAATAAAATTTATTACTTTTTCTATACATCGAATAGACAATTGGGCGTTTTTTTCTTAGTACACTTATATCAAACGAGAATAGTAAAGCTGATAATCTTAAACTAGGCAGTAAAATGTCACCTATCAGCCAGAATATGGTGATATTTGAATCATGTAGTTTCATATATGAACTTTGACCGCAAGAGCTTAATAGGATTTGAGTGACTCCTAGATAATAATGTTAGTAAAACAATGTAGAATTTGTTCTTCTAATAATAATATATCAATAGAAGAAATAAATCTCGCATCCGTTCAGCTATCATCACACATAGAAATAGCGCATAGAATAATTTCAATTTGACTAATTTATAAAAAAATTTACCATTTACATTGATATTTTCTTCAGTAAATGGTTTCCGCGTTATGTGTAAGGAGGAAAAGTAGATTCTATAGTTTCTAGTGAGCTTTAGAGTAACTCTTTTTGGTTTGTATCGAAGTTCATTAGAATATATGAGAATTTCCAAATCGCAGAAAATAATGCTGTTTCCGTCTGTATTAAGGCTATTGTGAGAGCAATAATCAACCGTTAGAAATTAGATTAGACTACAGGAAAAGAGCACTGTCAAATTTTTCTCATAGATTATTTACGAACTCATTATTAACTGCCGCTCTATGACTATGATGGGTCCTAGCAATTTTTTACCAGTGCAGGGTAGTTCTTAGATATCGCTTTTCCCCCTTGGTTATGTGCTATCAATAATAGAGAATGAGAAAAGTGTTAAGCTCGATCGATCTTAAATTAGTGATAATGATTAGAATTTATCAGGTTCTATTTATAATCAAAATCTGGAGTCAAAAGGCTCAAGTTACATACCTTTTACTTGATAAGAGAAACTGTGTCAGCTACTGTGAAACCCATAGAAAATAATTTTAATTTCAAACTATTACGTACCGATACCTTTGTGTCATATAAACCATTCATGAAACATCTCAATCAATAGGATTCAAACTGCACATATATCGATGAATATATTGAAGGAATATACAGAATAAAAAATGAATTGTACTGAATATTACCAACATTACCTGTCCTATTTTTTGGATGAATGGATTTCAATTTGGTGATGCAGAGAAAATTATAAGTCTTAAATATTTTCTAACTATACATTAATATGTTTAGTAGAATAACTGGTATATTGTTATTCGAAATCGAAATATTTTACTACTGTATAGTTCGTTTCTAACCATCATATAGTATTTATAAATATCGCATGGTGCATGGTAATTAGTCATCATTATTTAACTTGATCATACATATATATTTTTTTACTACGATTTTAACTGGTAAACACTAAAATAATATCTTCTCAATAATATTAACGAATGAGTAATCTTTCGTTGAATTTATACGACTTTTATAACAAAATACAGCTGCACTATTTTTCTTCTTATTCTAGTAGACATGATATTTTTATATGGGTTTGTGATTTCCTATGACGCATCGTCACACACTGGAGAACCTCTCACTATTTTTCTTTTTTTCCTTCTTGTTCTATGTGATGTTTTATTCATCTACTCATAAATATAAGAACGCAAAAGTGAAAAACAATATATTTTCATCTCTATAGAAAAAATGGAGAAAAAGAAAATGTAATTTTTACTGGCACTGTCACTCAAATAATTTACATTATAGAAAAAACAAACTTACTATTGGCGCACATTGTGTATTATATTTAACATAACATTAAAATATAAGAAAATCGTGGGTTTTTCTTAACGTCAGTTGCTATTTTCTTTGAATCTTTTATTTCACCACGTCCGATTAGTCATAAACAAAAAAACACATCTATTTTAAGACTAACACTAAGACATTCCAACCTATTATGAAGAAAAACAAATGTGATATAACTATAAAAAATATTTATTAATTGTAGATGATGACAGCAATGTCGACTATGATACCAAATAATTTAATTTGGACTAATCTTTCGTCTGATGAATCGGTTGATTATAATGATTTATTTTCATCATTTGATCTTATAGATCCTGATAATTATGATCAACAAATTATATCGAATACTCAATCAATATTATCCTCCCCAGTAATTATTATTAAATTCAATATTATTATAAATTTATCACACTTTCTAATTTAGTCTCACTTAGAAGAATTACAAGTATCATCAACAGACATGTCAGAAGCTGAATGTTTTCAATCTAATTTAATTTGTGGTGTTTGTGGTGCTCCAGCAAATGGCTATAATTTTGACCAAATCACTTGTGAATCATGCAAAGCTTTTTTTCGTCGAAATGCCCTACGAAATATGGTAATGAGTTACCTTCATTTATAACTATATTTTCCATTCTCTCGTATGATGATATACAATAGACCTTGATGAAATTATCACATTAAGGACTATTTATAGAATATAGTAAACGATCTTAATTCATTAAAAGCGTAATAGATAGAATAAGTCCTTCTGAAGAAGAAAAAAACGCGTATTTTTATTGAAAGTTATACGATCATAATGACCTTTTCTTTTTGTATTAAGTATGGACGATATATTTTAAAATCATGTTTATTATTTATTTTAGGCTGATTTAAAATGTCGTTTTGCTAGTGCATGTGTTATCAATATTCAAACACGTCGTCAATGTACCTATTGTCGATTAAAAAAATGTTTTGATATTAAAATGCGTAAAGATTGGATTCGTACGGAAGAAGAAACAAAACTAAGACAATTACAAAAATTAATTAAAGAAGAAAGAAAATACAATAGAGTAAAACGTGATTTACAACCAATTTTAAATCTTCCAATAGTTGTACGAAAGAAAAAACGTCTAATGATGAAACAAGTAGTACCTGTTGTTAATCCAGTAAATATAAATTTTGATATAATAATAATAATTATAGTTTTGGTCTTATTGTAGATATTTAATGGAAAATATTTTGGATTTAATCGAAATTTATGTGATGAAGATCATAATTTATTAAACAATATTACGAATGCTTATCAATTATCGGCTGCTCCAGGTGATGCATTTCGTTTCAATAAATATACAAGATCTACACCTTTTTGGGAATTTATTGATGGAGAAAGTACAATACATACTTCGTTAATTGAATTTTATAAACGTATACCTGAATTTAAACAAATAGATCTCGAGGATCAAGTTTTGTTGATAAAATCTAATCTTATTAATATTATTCATATACATGATATTTTCATACAAAATTTTAATGAAAATCCAATAACAGGTATATTAATATCGAATTGGATCAGTGAAGACTTTCATAATCAAATGTCTCGAACACGTCGACATCTGTATCGTTTTGTAGAATATCCCATAATATTAAAACTTGCACTTATTGTTTTCCTATTCAGTATTCATAGATGGGAAGATTATAATAATAAAATGGCTGTACAAAAAACTTATGACATTTATACTACATTACTTTGGCGTTATTTAAATTATTTATTTGACGAAAGAGAAGCTATAAAATCGATGGAAATTCTTACTGCACAAATTTTACATTTTCAAATATTAATGACTATGATGGAAAACAGAGTAAGAGCGGCAGAAACACAAAATAAAGTATCTCATGGATTAATGCAATCTATATTTCGATTAACATGATAGAACATATACATTTATAAAATATTGACCTTGTTCCTATGAAATTTTTAGTTTCAATATTGGCGAAGAATTTAATGTTATGAATATCTTGTAAATACACATATATATCTGTATATGTTTTAGTTATCGATATTTACTTTATTTTTTTTTAATTTTAATGTTAAAAATAAAATATTTAATACTAAGCATTATGTCTAGGCACAATTTATACCTTCGCGTTTCTCTCAATTTTTCAAGAGTAATATATAAAATATTAATTATTATAATAAATAGCGAAAAAGACTAGATAAGACAAAAATGTAAATCTACATCTAACAGAAAGCAATAATTCATGTCAAAGATAACTATGAAGATATTTACAATACATAAATATGTATCGTAAATATGATTAATGTACAGATATTATTAAAGTTATCAAATAGATTAGCATTGCTAGGTATAAATAATTGTTTTTCTATAGATTCTCTTAAGACAATAGTTGATTATACACTGTTTGAACTTATGTAGGAGGAAACTAATTTTAGAAACAATTAAATATGTAAATCAAACCTAGAAAATTATTTTGTCAATCAAGTAAATTAGTGGCGTATCTAACGCGTGGTATTGTCAGGCCACCAAGAAAAATTTCTTACTAGATACTTTATTTTTTTATTATATTGTCGATGAATTTAAACAAAAATCGTAAGGCATTGCCATACCACCAGTCAAATCCTGGATACGCTACTTTAAATAAATCATAAATCATTTTTTATATCAAATATATATATATTCGATTTATCTGACTTTGAAAAATAGTTTTTGATATTGTACAATGACTTATAAGTAATAATAGTTTGTTTACATAAAACTAAATATATTCTGACATATATAAAGTGGCATCATCATAATGACATAAAATCTATTATTTGATTGACATCGTTTGATTGTATATTGCAAAGTATATTAAATTTACATATATACATAATGTTTGTTCTGTTTAATCGTTTGTTTATAAATGAATTTTTTTCAATCGATTCAAACCATATTTAGAAAATATCAATCAAAATACACGTTTTTATCTTATACAGATGTTTATTTTTGAATAAATATTTAATTTTTTTCTCATATCAAAATCTAATTATACTTATAAAATAATTCATATTGCCTGTTACATAAAAGAAAGAAATAAAAATTATTCATTGACCTAATCTATTTGATATAGTTCAAGCGTTATATATATATAAAGCCGACCGAGCATTCAAATCTTAAGAATTACCTACTGTCAAATAGAGTTCATCAATAGATGCCAGTTAATATTGTCGAGACATGCAATCATGATAGATTTGCCTACCTTATAAAACCTGAGAAGATTTATTATTATAATTCTAATTTATACTTTTTTTTTCTTAGTTCGGAACATTCTAATAGCTGCCCGTATTTTCATCGATCATAATACAAAGCAATGTGATATAGCTACATAGAAAAAAGAAACAGATAATTGATGTTGTTATATATCTAAAGAAGAAACGAACGCAAAATCGACGCATTCTTTTTTCTTTTCCTTTTCTCTTTTCCTGCTAACTACTTTTCCTCGGTTCTTTTGTTCGTCATCATGGTCTCAACATTATCGCCTACTCTGTCTGTTCAACATTATTACTACATACCCTAACCAATGATGCTGATGAAACAACAAACAAAAAAACATTGAGACAACTCTTATATCGTTTGTTCATTTCTGTTCTATAATAACTCAAATCAAGAAATTGGCAAATGTCTTTCTTATTCTGCTTTTTATAACCTCTTGACATACTAACGTCTTTATCTATTATTCAATTTTAAACAAATGGAGTGTTTAAATAAGAATTATGGGTACTGATACATGTACAATTATAATCAATATTATTATTATTATGCCTACATTTTTATTTATTGAGAATATAAATAAATTCATTTATTTTACTATCGTAAGTCTAATTATACTTTTATATATTTGTATAATAATTTATTAATCAAGCCTTTGATGAAATTATTTCATTGGTTCAAATTAAAACAAGTTTTTTTTTCTTCTTATAAATCCTTCGAAGTATTTGAGTAACGGCATTTAAACATTGAAGTATATACACATCTAGTTAGATTTAAGTTGTATGAATCAATTGGATAAATGTAGTGAATATGCATGCGTACAAAAGAACGAATGATTCGTTATGTGTACTTATGTTGAAATTCAATACACTTTTCTTTTTCTTCTTTATATCCAGCACATTTCTTTTTTTTTCAAATGTCAAATAAAGGATTTATAATGTCGTGGGAAGAATAAATAAGTCATACGCAGATGGTAGTTAGATAAGTGACAAGATAGAATCAGAAATAAACAATAATAATAATATAAGTGAATTCTATTTAATAAGTTGGAGATTATTTTCGTCAACTATCTTTGACATTGGTCTATATGTCTCGTTTCTTTTTGATTGATTCTTTTATTCTTTTCAAGTGAAATGAATGGGTAATCGCAGAGAACGAAAAGAGAAACGTTTTTCGTTTACTCAAGCAAATATTCGAGTGTATATATTTCTTCAAATTTGATCGGTGAACAGCGACATCGGTCTGACTTATTGACCCGAAGGCAAGTAGTACGCATTTATAAGACAAATAAATACTATAGAGCAATGACTAGCGTTAAAAATAGATCTACTCTTACATTATCTTATTCATTTCATAACTGATTATATTATGTATTAGATCAATTGGTTTTATGCAATGAGTTCAACATTTCGTCATTGGAAAGATCGATTGCAATGTTCAACTAAGCGAAATATATGTCAAAGTCATTTATTAATTGATGATGAAGTAAGAAAGAATATTCTATGAGAATAAATCTTCAATATTCATATAATTCTAGTTCAAAAACCTACGTCATACAACTGATTTATTATTAAATGATAATAATTTATTAAAAGCTCGTATCGATAAATTAGATGAAAGAGTAAATAATTATTTTAAAAACAACAAAAAAATAATTTTACTCTATATTTTAAGTATCAACAATGGATAAATGATGAACAAAATTTTTTATTAAAACGTATAGAAAATCTTGAAAATGAAAATCATCAATTACTTGAAATTTATCTAACTTATCAAATACAAAATGAAACATGTATACGATCAATAACGGATTTAATTATGAAAATACTCTTAACTCAACAGGTATACTTCTTATAGACATATTTTTCCTATCCTTTTCTTCTGTAACAACAAAAAAAAAGAAAGAAAGACTTAGATTGTCATTTAAATACAAGTTAACTATTGATCTGAAGAACTTTGTTAATGTTCTTCATTGTAACCTTAGCATACATATATGTTCTTCTGTTCTTTTCTACTCACATGAAAAGTAAAAGACAAGTGCCTTATACATCTTATCACAAATGTTTTTTTTGCCTAATTGATGCATACTAGTAGCTAGAACACTTTGAATTGTGTACTCATCTCTGCCACACTTTTATTTTTGTCCATTAAAAGAACGAATATCATCAGAAATTCTTTTATATGTTAAACATTTATTTTTGCATTGACTGGATTTGAGAATAGATGTATAAAACATCTAAAATTTCATATTCTGTTTTTTTTCTTATCCTTATACCGCAAGTATTACATTAATATATAATATTTGGAATAAAAGAGAATAAGAGCAGACGAAACATTTCTTCTTTTTTTTATATCGCTTTTATAAAACTGAAATAAAAAAAGGTGATGATTATCATAGTCAAATAAAAGAAAAACGAGAATAAACATGACGAGACAACATAGGCGACGACGACTTCAAGATCTTTTTGGACACTGTATATTACCATGTCATGATCCTTCAACACGTCAGGTAGGAATATTCAATAGCAAAAAAAAAGAAAATTAATGAAACTAATCAATACATAATAATAATAATAATAATATATTAACTATATTAATTTTATTCGTAGGAATTGAGCAAAGAACGTACCGAACGATATAATAAAAATGATGTGGCTCAGTGGAGGAAGAAACAACAGCAGGTATATTAACATTTCTTTTTCCTTTTATTTCATGTTAGAAAAGCTATAAATTACATTCCTTTTCCGTTTTTTGTTCCAGACTGAAACAAATCATCATACTCAAAATAATATATGTGATATTTCTTCAGATGAACTTGTATTTTTATGATGAACTATCTGCATAATAATATTTCTTGTCTTTCTCTTTTTTTTTGCCTTGCTAATAGGATGATAGTCGATGTACTAATAATGATCAAACCACATGGCTTCATCAACGATTGATGAATGTTAGCGAACAAGATCAGCAAACAACAAATCATTCATTGGGTAGGCACTCTATTATTCCCGCAGGAGAACAAGTTATGATGCAATTTTTTTCCCTTCATTTTTCTATCATACACATGTCTAATTAGATATTCCAGAACGAGAAAGAGAAAGCGCCTATAAGAGGAAAAAAAAGGACGAGAAATGAAGAAAGCAAACTCTTATGTTTTTCCGTAAAGAGAAAAAAATATGCTGCCGGCAACCATAAAGCGGCAGCTTCTAAGACAAAAAAACACGTGCGCTTATTAATTGAGTAGTTTCACATTAACAAAAAGAAGAAGAAAAAAAAACCAACATACGGAAACGGTAAGATAATATTATTGCAGATTATTTATAACCATTCTATATACTTTTATCAAATTAAGATAAAAAAAAACGTTTAATAGAAAATTATCTAAAAATAGAAAATGACATCGGTTTTTATTAAGTATATGAAAAAACAATTGATAATGTAAGAAGAATAACTTTCATTATAATTGTATATATGTATGTTACTATTTTAGGAATGATAATTTGATTTTAGTTTTTGAAATACTAGAAAACTTCCGATAGAGGGAAGTAAAACTTCAGTCTTAGTAGAGGTTTTTTCTTTTTCTCCTATGAAGGATTTGAATTATTAGATCTATAGAACATTATGAGCAATTTTTACACTTGTGACATCTGTCAATATTATTTTTTTTCTCTAAAAAATAGATTTCTAGATATTTTCTACATCAAATTAATGACAATCTTTTTTTTATAATACTTGACACATAATATTTAAGTGAATAAATATAACTATAAAAGCATCTTTATCTTCATTTATTATTCTATCTACATCATCATTCATAAAACACAATTCTTTCTTATTATGATCAGAATATCAATCGATAAATGTATTAACATTTCATTCAAATACTTTTCCTCGAAATTTCAATAATAAAGAAAAAAAATAGTTTTTACTAATCTAAAAATAAAAAAATAAGTACTAAACCGGAATATGTCAACATGACAAATCAAAAATATTTAATATAGTTGATTTGAGTTATAAATTCTAAAAACATTTATTCTATAGAATTAATAATTTTATCTAATCTATATTCTATTGTTTAAACAGAAAAAGACAAAGTATTTGAAATTCTCATGTAAAAATAATTAATAAAAATTTATATTAAGATTCAATTAGTCTACCGAATAGATGCACATTCTATTTTATTATTAGATATAAAATAGAAAAAAAATGTCTATAAATATATAGATTTCGAATAGTAAATTACATGCTTAATTAAATTATACATTCTTTCTTCAGTTTATATATTTAGTAATAATCTTTTCTTTTCTATATATTTACAGTATTCAATAATCAATCACCAACAGTGGCTACTGTTAAATCTAAATCTGATAAATCATCATCATCAACAACTGGTTTATCAAATAGAATATATTTTCTTATGAATAAAGAAAAAACATTACATGAGAATCGTCGTTTACCAGGTATTAATATAGTACCTATTGATGATGTAAATGCGTCTCCTCGTAAACAACAATCATCGGTAACGTTTAATAAAAATATCTCAAGTCAACAACAAACACGTACTACTTATCCTAACCATGAAAGATTATCAACACAAACAACACATCATACATCATCTACTGGTAAAAACATACCGATAACATCCATATCTAAACCAAGTCGAGTAAGAAAAATCTAATAAGAATTTTTTTTTCCATAATAACTTTATTTAATAGGTTCCAACAACTACAATTCGTCCACAAACAACAAATATTCGACAACGTCCTTCTGCTCCTTCAACTATAAATCAAAAGACAGTTTCATCATCTTCCATAACTAATAAATCAGTTCGACCTCGATATACATTAGCGAAATCATCCGAAACACCACGATCTGCTGGGACAATAGCAACAACAACAACAACAACAACAATAACAACAGCGCCAGTACGTCCTACAAAAAAAACATTGATTGTTAATAAACCCAATCTAACTGCCACAAAACCAACTACAAATAGTATTAAGACACGTAAACCAATTGTCAATCAACAATCAGCACGCGTTTCTGATCTTGATGTATTGATGGCTGAACGACAAAAAACTACTACGACATCTAAAAAATCAACAATTGTTACACCATCACCTGTAGTTAATAATATTCAACAATCATTATTTCGTAAAGATAAAATAAAAGTAGTTCGACCTGTTCGTAGTCAAGAATTAAAATTATTTTCTTGTCATTTAACACCAAAAATACCACCAACAGTACCAAATGAAATAATATATCAAACAAATGAATCACTTTCAACTTTAACACCATCATCATTTGAATCAATTGCTGATAATAAACCAATAGAGAAAAAAGAAGAATGTTCAGATTCATCTTCTAATGTTATAAGTATCAACAGAGACTTTTCAGAAGATAGTCTTAATGAACATTATTATATTCAAAAACTACTCCAAAAAAGTAAGTCAAATCTGACAATGAAATCTAATTTTCTTCGAATAATTTATCGAAAGAAATATTGCAATTTTTATTTAATAAAAAATTAATTTAATATTTTTGCATAAACCTTAATTATTATAATTTAGATGCATCGATTAATTCAACAAAAAAGAATGATCATATACAAGATCAATCATCAGAAAGTGACATACCACTAATAACTCCAATAAAAACTGAAACATCTGTCGATTCAGCATATGGTAATGGTTCAATTGAACAAGAAAATAAAGAAACCAATACGAAAAATGGATATTTTCTTTTAACAAATGATAAGTTAACTGTTCAAGATAATCAATTGTTATCAAAAGCAAAATCATCATCACATAAATCTTTAGTACATCGTTTAATATTTCCAGCACGGCTTGGTCGGATGATATTTTATCGACGAATATTATCTGATTCTGATATCTATCAAAAAATTTGTACAAAAGATAACGAAATTTATCATAATGTCTATCATTTAGATACAATACGAGATTATTCAATGGAATTTTACATGATAACAACATATGCTTCAGACTCGCAATTACGTGCTTGGGTTGATAGTAATGATGATGAAATAGTTAATAATGTATGTCATATGGATGAAAATCGATTTCAAATAGATGATTATAATTTTGATTATGATGAAAATCAAATAGAAAAAATGGATAATAGTGATAGCCTAATTGAAGAAGAAGAAGGAGAACTTGATTGGTATTCAGAACTTGAAATATTAAATTTATCATCTAATAATCAACAAGTAAAAAAGAAGACGAATTTATTATATAAACACGAAGGTTTTGTTTTCATTTAAGGATAAACAAGAAAGTACATCGAGTTGCTCAAGTAAACTTCATGTTGAAGAATTATTACATGCTGAATTGGTTAGTAAATATATTTTGAAAATTTTTAAGAAAATCATACAATCTTTTTCTTGATTTCTAGTTTTCATTATCAAGTCCAACAACAACTACGTCAGTTGAATCATCCAGTTCAACCGGTTTAGGTTCAGCATCATGGACTATACCAAAAGATACATCAGATCCATTTCAATCAACCCCAAATTCCTATGATAATACCAATCAAAGTAATTCTATACTTCGTGAAATTCTCAATCATTCATGGACAGATCATATGCCAATATCAAGTGGTCTTTCTGATGAAAGAAATTTTGAACAATATGAAAATGATTCCACATCATCCATAATAACTGATGAATTTCAATCGGATTTTTATTATTTATGTCCAGTTACGAATACAACAAATTTTTCAAAAACTGATCCTAAAACATTGTTTCATGATGTTTAAAGCATTGCTCAATGCCAGATATATTGTTATATCTATATTTTTATTAAATTTCATTTTGTTATTAAACAAACTATATATATAATAAAATCATACGTTTATCATTCTTCATTTCCAAGTAATTGATCGAGTAGATCTAAAAAACAAAATAATGAATCATTAACGGTATAAAAAGAAAATTTTTACATTCAATATCTATTTTTTTATGTTTATCATTTAAACCTAATTGAACAAGTTCATCAATTTCATCATCAGATAAAGGTTCACCAAGTGTACGCATTATTGTTCGAAATTGTTCAATATCAATTGAACCTTCATTTGAAAGATCAAATTTTGCAAATGCTTTACGAAGAATGTTTCGATCATTATTAATTAATGTCCACGACTCTTCAAGTATTTGTAAAAAATCTTCAAATGTTAATTCAAATTTTTCTAAAATAAGAAAGTAATTATATATATATATGTTAACTAAAATTTCTTACCGTCATCTTCAAGTTCATGAATTCGTTTATCACAATCTGATTGTGATGGATTTCTACCGAATGCTTGTAATACTTCTAATAAACGATTAATATGAATAGTATCAAGATCAGATTCATCTTTATATCTTGAAAATAATTCATTCATTTGTTCTTTAAATTTAATTTGAAATAAAAACGAAATTTATTTAATTTAAAGAAAAAAAAAGAACTAAACATACGTAATACTTCATTCATTTGTTCATTAGAATAATCATTATCATTTGAACGTGGAGTTTCATTATCCGCCTATTATATAAAAATAGTTTCATTTAGTACAAAATTTGTCCTTACCATTTGTTCTTCTATTTGATACGAATGTAACTGACACTATACGTTCGTTGCTAACCACTTCAACGAAACTCGTTGTTTTATTATTCTTACTTCACTACAATTGTAAACAATTGCTCTTCAATCTTTTTCTTTACAATTATAATAAAAGAATACAAAAAAAAGAAAAGAATATTATTTTAACGAAGAAATAGAGTTACAATATTGATGTTTATTCTACAATAAGAAAAGTTTGAATTTCTAAAATCGATCGTTTATGGTTAGTGCATTTGATCAGATGTAAATTTGAATTATTCAAAAACATGTCAAAATAAAAGAAAACGATTGTAATTATAGAGAAAATAAATCATTCTTTTCTCGAGTCAGTTTCCGCGAAATTAAAATGTAATTACACTCTTTTATATTTTAGCCGATCAACTTTATCGTTTCCAATAATAGTATGATTTTCCACTTTCTTTGAAAAATCATTGATTTTTATACATAATTTAATAGTTATAATCTTCAAAAAAACGCATGAATCGACTCGGAAGAGTAATACAAGATAAGAGGATTGAAGTAATATAGGTCCAATAGACTTCAACTATCAATCAGAATATATAAGACTTTTTTTTGAAACCTTATTCTATTTCCGGATACTTATTGATGTAAGTGATTTAATAATATTATCTCTTTTTCTTGGAAATATTCAAGCTTCTTTTTTTTAACATTTTCTATTCTCTTTGAATCGAAAAGCGTGTTTTCAAACACTATCTCATCTTCGATTCCCAAACAATCCCTGAAGTGTATAGTAGATATTATTTAATTATTTTATTTAACAATAAAAACAAATGCAATTTATCTATTTTCGTGTTCTTTGTGGTTTCGGTTGCATTCGTGCGAGTTTCCAATCGTGTATTCCAATTAATTTATAACTAATTTCCATTGTTTCCTTTCGATTAGGATATTGATTAAATTGATCGAGAAGTTTATTTAAGAAATAAGTAAAATTTCGTTTTTGACTTATTAATTCTTCATTAAGTTGAAAACCGATTGAATAAAGTGCTTCAGTATTATTTGATTGATATTCAAGTGAACTTTGTGTTTGAATTATTAAATGACATTCATTTTCCATACCATTCATAAAATGAGCTAAACGAGATTTTAACCAACCAATCCATTCATCAAGATCATTTACATTCTCACATGATAATGTTAATTGAAGAAGTGATTGAATTGTTTGATTTGGAAAATCATTATTTAATTCAAGTATTAATTTTAATGCATTAACTTTATCTTTAGTTGTTATTGTATTGACTTTATTGAGTAGATCGACAACACGTTGAAATTCTTGTATAATAAGATCACGAGTAGAATTAGTTGTTGTACGTCCTGTATTATTATATGGTGAAATAGGAGATAGAATACGCATTGTACCACGATTATGCATTGATTTTTGTTCTGAATGTGTCGTTTGTTTGTATGATGTTGAATGAAGACGAACTACTTCTGATGTCCAATTGAAGTTTGCATATGTAGAAAAGAATTTTTCAACTAAGGAAAAGAAGTCATCAAGGGAAAATTGTTCGATTGATGAAAGAGATTTGATAGATGATAGAAATGAACGACAAATATATGCACATAAAACAGCCCATGAATAACCACCTAAATAACCAAATGCTTGTCCGTAAATACCCACATGTTGAGCCCAATTACGAATAAATGTAAGAAGGTGTTGAAAGATTGGTGGAGAACGAACATGTACAAGTAAATGTTCAATATCGTGTACCTTAAAAAAATAAATATAGTATCATTCATGTCAACATCTACTATGGAAACATCAGATGGATTCTCAAAAATTTATATTCTACGAATAATAATTCTGTAATTCTTACCCCATTTATATATTTATCGTAATTTGAAGAATTTTCAGATCTTTTCTCATCACCATGTTGTTCTTTATTTGTTGGAACTTGCACAGATATTTCTACTTTTGTCATGTCATTAAATACTATTAATATTATTGGAAATAATGCTTCGATCTTTCGAGAGTAAAATATTTCATCTTTCAAACATCCATTTATCTGCATTTCAAGTAAATTAACTATATGATTACTCATTCCATCTGGTTTATTTTTCATTTCAAGTAATGTTTCATCAAAATTTGTCTTTTCATCATTTGATTTCATTTCATTCAATACAAATACTGTATCAAGATCTTGTCCATTAATACCCTAAAATAAAATTAAAACGGTCTTGTTTACTTAATAATTCATTATATTATATTCTTACAATACGAAAACTTCCATATGATAGAAATTCATGTGTAAAACAATATAATGAATCTTTATTGAACATTTGATCAAAACAAGATGCAAGTTTATTAAGCTTATCTTGTTTTCGTATATATGATTGTTCATTTTCATATAGATTCATCGTTTGAAAGAATTGTTGTAATTTAGGATGAAAACTATTCAGTTGTTGTGAATGTAATGGTTGTAAAGCAGATCCTAATGGTAATTGATAAGTGATTTGAAATGGTGTTGTATCATCATCCAATGATCGTTGTAAAATGTAAAGATATTGAACAGGAAATTCAAATGGTTTATTCAAAGCTAAAATAAACAAACATGTTATCGAAGATACACTATACAGGCTTATTTTTTTCAGATATGCTAATCGAAATGTTGCGTAGGTGCCGTCCATGCGTGCTCTAGCTAAATCTCGGTTTTCAGGTGAGCGAATCGATACGTCGAGTGGTAGGGCACGGCGGTTTCAAAAAAATGGAACCGAAATCGCTCTTTTCCCATTTCTACTGACCAGAACCGGACCGGAACCGCGGTTTAAGTTCGATTCCGAGTAGTTTTTGGAACCGCCCTACTCTATCGCGTGAGCGCCGTCTATCAGTGTTCTGTCTAATTCTCGGGTTTTGAATGGGTGCCGCCCACCCGTAAGTTGAAACATTGCACTGACTTCGGAGTATTATAATACCAATTCTTTGTACATCAATATTCTCGAAAAAAAGATCGAAAGCTTAATCACAACACTTACTCAATGTTGATTGTGCTTGATTTCGTTGTTCTTCATTCTCAAATTGTGCTATAGTCATATGCGGATTATAACTATTACGTTTATTTGTGCAACATTGTGGAAATAGATTTTTAATTTGTTCATATAAATTTTTAACATTATCTTGTGATTTTTCGTTTAATTTCATAAAAGAAATATTATTTTCAATAAATGTATCAATTTGATTTACTTCAGCATTAAATGATTCACAGTGAGAAAGTAACATTCTTAATGGTACAAGAATATTTTCTTCATCATCTTCACAACCAGTTAAATCAAAAAAAGGCCATAAAATATTTATATGTGGTGGCCAACGATTAAATGATGGATCATATTTTTCACGATATTCTTCAATTAATGGCCAATGTTCTCTTGCTGGTAATACAACAAGTGCTGATCGATGACTTATTGTTCTTGTTTGAAAATTAATAAGTAATTGTAAACCATAATGATCAGATTGATTAATACGTTTATCATCATCATTATTCATTGGATCAATTGGAATTGTATCAATACCAATCATATTTAAATGTTGAATAGAATAATAAAGATTATATAATGTATGAATTAAATATCGATCAAAACGACGATTTATTTGTGTATCAGATGTTATACGAGCACAAATATTTCGTGATGGATCATATGTAAAACCAGGGTTCTAAATAAAATATATATTATTTTATATGAATTAATAGAAGTCTTACTTGTTCAATATCATAAGTATCTTTCCATAGATCATGTATATCATTTGAATATTTCTCAAGCATATTTTGTTCTTTCACATCATAATCTCCGAAATTAAAATCACCAATTAACATATAATTTTTTGTATTAAAATGTTTAAAAAGATTTTCTAAAGTTTGACAACGTTTATCATTTGCATTTCGAGATCGATTACTATGTAAATGAAGATTAACAATATCAATTGTTACTTTTGTACTGAGACCAAATCGAGCAATAATTATTTCTTTTGTTGCGTTAGTATTTGTTATCTCAGTAGTAGTATTATCATTATTCTTAGATATATCAAGTGGACAAATAGTAAATGAACGTGGTCGAAAATTTTTCATAAGTATTAGCTGTCCATATGATTTATTTTGTTCACTATTAATAATACTTTGTTTAATAATAATATAATAATTATTTTCTTGTAACCACATTTCATTTAAAAGAAGATTAAGAAATGTACGTGTTACTTCTTGTAAACAAATAAGATCAGGTTGAAGTGATTTAAGTGTCTGAAGTATTGATTGATATCGTTGAGTAGTATAAATAAGTGATGAATGATGATAATCAAAAAGAATATTCCATGTTAAAAATTGACATTGTTGTGGAAGACATGTATCATTTGTTGAAGGAGTTCTTGTATCATCAGATATTAATGATATATGTGGTTGTTGAACCCATTGTTCAAGTAATGGATCAAAGCGATAGAGTCCTTGTATAAGTGGCATCTCTTGATCAACACCTATGATGAATTTATGAAAAAAATTAATTTCATGTAGAAAAATACTCGATAGAAAATTATATTTTCCTCTATACAATAGTAATTTACATCTGAAGAGGATATGGATCATAACACAGATAGAGATAAGCTTAACAACAAAGATTTCTCTCTAACGATCGCATATGATCAATTACGACATACTTCTAATGTTCAAAGAGGAGGCTGTCTTCTAGGTAATTATGTACGTCAACAGATAACGCAAATCACATATCAGACCAAGTCAAGAATCAAATATTTTTCTCCTTTTCTTTCTATACACATATACATATGAATCATGAGTTACAACGCAACTCAATGTAATTGGCACTAAGATTTTATACTTCATCTATTCAAAACATCTCGTTCAATACTAATGCTTATAGAACAAATGAATGCGAAAAAAACATCCGAGCAATCTTATAAATTTCAGATCTATCTTTCCTACCGTTTGATATTCTATCTTCTTGTTCACTGCCCGTTAATATATCTAATTTCTTGGTTCTATCCCATACAGTACGTCCATTTATTTTAAAATATCGGAGACGATGCATTGGAACACCATACTATAATTGATTATGTTATATTTTTTGTTATTGATTAGAGTTAAACAGTATCTTACTTCATGATCATGAACTTTTTTAAATTCATTAAAAGCAATTTCATGTATTCCAGTAAAACGATCTTCATACCCAATAACAACTTGTCCTCGATCAACAGTTTTATCATGTAATAGTCGATTAAATATCAAATCACCACCGCGAAATTTATTTGATGCTGATGCATTATCGGCTGATGTATTATCTTCAGTAGATTTTTTCTCTTTGGGTTTAAATCTAGGATTTGTTATTTTCGTTCGTAATAATTGATCTTGAATTAATTGAATAATAGATCGAAGAGATGTAGCTTTATCTGCTTTTCGAACAAGTTCATCAAAATATTTACGAATATCTGCCCATTGCTCTTGATTTAATGGACATTTACTTGATCCTTTACTAATTCTTAATTCAAGTACATTATCAATTGTTAATGATTGACTGACGATTTGAAGTGAATCAAAGAGAAAACTGATTTGAATATCATGATCAAGTTTAATACGAACTTGTTCATAATCACCTGATTGTTGAATTTGAAGGTGATCATCTGAACGTAAAACACAACGAATAGATTCTAAATCATCTGTAAATGTTGTTGTTGTTTCGGTTGATTTAGTATTTTCAGCCATAATGATAAATGCCGATAGAGATTTTGTATGAAAAATGTTTTATACCTTGATGAAGGCAATAAAAACTAAAATTTTTACCTTTCACTCTTGTTTTTATACGGAGAAAAAGAAGCATGCGAGTAATTGCGTAAGTTAAATTTCACAATCATGTCATGACTGATAGTACCGTCATGCACTTAATAACAAAACAACAGTGATTGCACAATCGGTTGTATCTGTATTAATTTAAATGACAAACGTTTTTTTAGATCAGTGAATAAGACAAAAGTACTTTCATAATACTAGTCTTGACTCTTGTTATATGTCATTATATGAGTCATTGATGATAGATGTCGCTCGGAGATAAGTTATGAGTTTTGAGTAGTTAAAATCAGATCTATATCAATATTAGTTGAATCGACAATTTTTTGGAATTGATGATATTTGATATTAATCGCATTCTGTTATTAGAAAAAACAATCGTTATTATAAGACAACAACGAAAAAAAATCTTATTTATTGCTAAAATAGAATTTTCCTTTGACTATGATAATACTGCAAAGTATGTTCAATATCCTTTTAGTATACATAAAGATAATTTGAATTGTAAGGATATATATATATACAAGAAAAAGAATTATTAATAAACAATCTTTTTGTATTATATTATAATGGAATGAATTTATCAATTAGATGGTACTTTGTTTATTTGTATATATTGAAGTTTGAATACAGAATTATTGTAGCATGAAACAAAACGTGATGAATTTATAACACGATTTTATATACATGAATGCATTCGACATCTACCTTGTTTTACTAAATAATACCCACTTACGGCATAGAACAATCATCTAACATAACATAGTCATTCTTCCTCTTGAGAAAAAACTCAATTTCGGCACTTCTCATCACTTAGTTAAAACTGCGTAATATTGTTAACTATTTTTTTCTTTGAAGTAACTCCGTAAATATATATATATCTGTCTGATGACAGAAAAAAATTACGCATTCATGTTTATCAGTAGCTAAGTATAAATATTGATTGTCATTTGTCTGCTGATAGTAAAAATATCTATTAGACGCTAGAACAAACTGTTAAAAATATTTTATTTGTTGTTAAAATAAAATAAGTGAGTCTCTTTGTGAATTTTAAAATTATATCATTAATAGACAAAGTCTTTTATCAATTATGCACTTAATAACTCTTCATAGATATAAATGTGTTAAAACTTTTTTTTTCTTCGTCTTCCCCTAATATATCGAGTATAGCCTATAAAAAGATTCTTTTTAATAATAGGAAAATTCCTTTTGAAATTAATATCATATTTTTTTATAAGTAGGTTCTATATGGTATTGTATATAACCTTTGAAAATATATAAACTTAATCATTTACTTCGAATTCATATCAGTAATTTCATCTTTATCACGTCATTAAGACTAATTATTATTGTATGTCGTATGTAACCCCTATTAATAAATTGACATATGAATATAGATTCATTAAAAGACAATAATAAATAACTTGAAAATAAGACAGTTTTTATTTTTATTTTATCACGTAATAATAAAAAGTGTTATTTTAAATATGCGTTTCTTAGTTATAAAAATACGGATGATATCCTATAACTCAAAATATTTGATAGTATAGACATAGCTAATTGTGTTTCATTTTCCAGGAAATCTTCGATAGAATGACGCTTTTAATTGCAGAAAGACAATTGAAATATATATAGAGAGAGAGCGAAGAAAAAAGAGAAATTATACATGACTATGATGAACACGCGCAAAGTCATGTTTAACAAGTAGTTTCAATGTTTACTCTTTGCTTGACTAAGTATATAGTATGAGCTATGATTTGACATTAATAATAAAAAGAAATGAGAGAAGAAGCATTTTACTTCATACTTACAATTAAGTCAGACATATATATATATATAAACATTACAAGGAACATTTTACTTTCTAGATCTACAATCAATTTTAAATGATAATAGCGAACTAATGGTAAATATCAACAAATAAAATAAGATTTTCTACATTTTTTTTTATTGTAGTCAAATAATAATTGTTCATCAAAACGTTCATCACTTGTAAATAGTGGTATTATTTTTATATATTTTTTTTTTCATAACATTTATATATGTATATAATTATAGATCGTCCAGATTCGGCTACAAATTCTTCACGTACTTGTTCATCGGTTGCATTTTTTCATGATAGTGTTACAACAAGTGAAATTGATTTACGTTTTACTATGATGGATCCACAAAGACGTGCACGAGCTATAGCAACAGCTCCACGTCGAAAACGATATGATGATGACGATGATGATGATGATGATGAGAAAAGAGATAATGAACAAAAAACAAGTAGATAAATAAAGAAATTTTTATTCTTTTCTATTAGTGATCTATTTAGGTCGTTTTGGATTTGTTAAAACACCTGCTGTTCTAATTCCTCAACAATCACTAATGGAACAAACTCAATCATTACCACAAACACAGTCAGGCATAAGTCTTATTCCAAGTTTTCGTGTTGATCCACCGGCTCGAGAAGATAGTGATGAATTAGATTATCTTTATAATATTAATTCACGTCGAAATCGTTGTTTATCGGGACCTTTACCATGATGATAATAATATTTAATCATACGAATACTGTATATAATTGTAAAAAGAACAAAAAAACGTTATAAATTTGTATATATTATTGTACAGTCAGCTACAGATGTATAATTTTCTTCATAAAAACCAAAATAAACCTAATCCTAATATACAAAGTTATAAATAACAGATATGTCAATTTTCGTCTCTTTAAATGAAATGACAGTGTCTTTGCATATTTCTTACTATTGATTTAGTTTGTGTATTAGAACAAAGCGTTTGCTTCATCATATTCAACAGGTGTAAGATTTGTCAACAATAGGAATCGCATAGGACAGCTCTTCCTTAACGTAGATATCGAAGAGTTTGTTAAAATTGATACTACTATAATCCGATTGAGATTTATGTCTATGTAAATAATTAATAGAAGATTAAAGCTTTATTTCTATGTTGTTTCAGTTTTTTATTCGAACTTAACTGTAGAAAATCTGAGAGAGGGAAGAATAATCATCTTGTATCCATTGATTTAAATTCCATAGAAGTGAAAGATAGTGTAATAAGTTCACTTTACAAAACAATCCTTCGCTTATATATAATAAAAACTTTTTTTCGCTAAAGCCTGTAACCTTCTTATCCTTTACCTTGACAAATTCAAATAAATATCATTTTATAAAGTATACTTTGCTCTACTATTTCATCATAAGGGCAACTTTACAACCATATGTTTTATTATATAAAGATTTATCGACTACTTTTTTCCTATTTAATATTGACATGACAATTTCTTATCATCAAAATAACCAATAATAGGGAATCATAAATTCTTGAATTAAAGTCTATTTTTATGACAACTTTTATGAATCAATAAGTATATTTTTGTTAACTTATTTCATAGGATTAACAATATGTCATAAAAGCTTTTTTTTTCTCATGTTTTTATTTCTATATTCTGTTATATGGTTAATAATAATTAAAGCAATACTAATTAATCTGCATAATTAAATAGAAAAAAATAAAATTTGCATTTTTTTTAGCGAAACGAACGATAAACAATACGTCCATTAAGAGGCATTAATGACCGGTAATTTCTTGTAATATATCCATTCATTGATTTGTCACTGGTACATGTATGTTTCAATTGACGTAATTGATTGATCTAGAAAAAAATATTACATTAATTCATAACTATTTTCTATATTTACTTGTTGTTTTGAAAGACCGATTTTGTCTCGAAAAACTATCCAACGTACACTTTCATTACACATTGGAGTTGTTAATGAACCATCGTATGTATAATAATCTTGAATATTTTCTATAATAGAAAATTTTTAGAATTTCTATTGTAATTAAAAATCTTACCTGGCATTAAGTTTCTTAATGAAATAGTATTATAATCAAAATTAATTTTTTCTCCTTTATGTGTAATTTTTGGAAAAAGTTCAAGTAATTTATCCATATGTATATTATCTGTTGGTATGATCTAGAAATTTTAATTTCATTAAAAAAAAATAAAAATTATAAAAATATTTACGTTGATTAAAACAGCAAATACCATTAAACCACCGAATTCTTCAGATGCAACTGCTTCTTGTGGAGTTTTATATTTGCTTGTATTCCATGTTACAATATGTAACTATAAAAATACGCAAGATTTATTATAAATTATTACATTTCATCGTACTTCAGCTGGTGAACGAATACCATCGACAACATGCTCAGAACCTTCATTATCATTTGATCCCCAATGCATATGAAATTGTAAAAATTGATATTCATCAAGTACAGGACCACCGGTTATATCTAAAAATCATATTTTTAGAATATAAAAACATAAATACTCATTAATTAACTTACAACTATAGCCATTACCGGATACTTGGAATGAATGACCGGTATTTTCAAGGATTTGACAACAATTTTCATCCGCATCGAATATAAATGGATGTCGAGCTAATACAGATTCATATTCTGATTGATCAGTATAGATTCGTATTGGTGATTGAAATTTTTTACATTGTAATTGAGGAAATATTCGAGACCACATATTTGGTCCTAAAAAACATTAATCATATTCATGAAAAGATTTTAACATTGAAATAAACAAGAAATATTCGTTTTAAATATCAACAAAAAATTACAGTTTTCTATATTCTTAACCTCGATTTAGAAAGAATTGTCTTAATAAAAAGTATTTGATTGTTTTTTTTAGCCAAACGGGTACTAGCGGAATCTACATTTCTTTTCTAGTTACGTCCCTACATAAAACATAATTATATAGAAACTTCATTTTTTTTGTTCTCATGTATATCGAATGTATAGAAAGTTTTATATATAAATATTTCTCACCATGTAAAGTTGAATAGTCCCAATATGATTGAGATGTTTTCGGTTTTTCTTCAATTTTCTTTTGTTTACCATGTTCATACATTCGACTAGCAACAGATTTTGATCGTACAGGTGTAGGTTTATTTGTTCGACGAATTTCAATTTCAATATCACCCATATCAATTAATACCGACGGAAACATCATCGATTGTGTTTGATCCTATATGATCTTATTAAGATTTTCATTTCTATATTTTTAAATGACTTACTGTTCTCAATGGTTTTAAATTAATTGCAATTCGATTATTTCCTGCCCCAACTATTATTGATGATGTATCGTCATCCAACATTGTTGTAATATTCACTTAAATAAATTTTATCGATAAGTCTTGACTTTTACAATCATTTTCTGTTTTTGCATATAATAAGAAAAAAGTGCATTTATTCGTACTGTCATTGAGTTTTATCTTTCTATGATGCGTGTGTATATACTTTTTTTTTATACTGCATAAAAGGATAAACAGTCTTATAATAAGCAGACTTCCGAGATTCTTTCACATACTATTGATCAACTAATTACTAACTGATGAAGAAGGAGAGTGAAAAAAAAACGAAAGAAATTGAAAGCTGATTATTGATTTTATGCGTATAAAAACAAATACTATGAATAGCTAAATTCCGAAGATTTATTTATCACAGTCAGACTACAAAAAATATAAAGAAAAAAAAGATTAATAGTCTTTCGATTTTTTTTCTCTTCTTTTATCGATGTATTTGATACTGATATAAATCTTACAGTCCAGGTACTTTTTTATTATTATGATTCTATTGAACAAATTTTGACATAGTTTAATATATTTCTTAAGTTTTCAAAAATAGAATAGTTGTTTTTGTTATTGTGAAATACATCAAAACAAAAATAAATCACTGACAGTAATAAATACTATTTGTTTGTTACTAAAGGAAATAAGGTTATTGATGTGAATATAATGTATACAGTGACAATCATTTATATAGAGTATAAAGAAAACATAAGTATTAATCATTGATTTCAATATTTAAAAGCTAATTACGAGTATATCGGAAGACGATCATTAAGACATGTCCTATTTATATAATATTTCAACTACTTACTATACTTAACTTTTGCCATTAAAAAGAATCGCACTCTTATAAGTTGCTCATTTGAATAATCTTCTATTGCTTGAATAAATGTCGACTTGTTTTAATTCTATTTATATTTCTATATATGTTTTTAGAAGAAAATATAGTTTGAAGAAGCACGAACATCAGATTTACAATTATATTAATTTCGAGTGAGTTCTTTAATTGAATTTATTAATAAGAAGGATACTCGCTAATTTAACAGAATAGAAAGAGAAAAGTACATACATTCAAGCGTTAACGAATCTTCTTTTGTTTATTCAACAGTTAAAAATAATTTTGTTTTCTACAAAGATCTCCTGGATAAATTTTTGAAGTCAACAATATTGTGAAGAATTTATAGTTAATAAATCGCGTTTCACAATTCAATTTACGCCGCATCATTTTTAGTTCATTATTCTCGTAGCAGATTAATTAATCGAAGATTATCTTCCATTATTCTCAATAGTATTCATATATAAATTTATGAATTGTCTAGTTATGATAATTATAAAATGTAATTTTTATAAATACCTAACACTCTATTATAGATAAAAAATACAAATACTATTCATACTTTTAGTATGGTGTTAGATCATTTTGTACAAATTGTGTTTGTTATCCTATGTAGAATAATCGTACAACTAAATAAATCATATTAATATTAGATACATGAATAGAATTATTATTTTTTTCGTACCTTGTTAATCTATTCGAACTATGTGTAGTTGATAGAAAAAATATAGAGATAATAATATGCATACCATTTTGTTTTCTTATTAGTCATGTTGTTCTGGTTAGTAGTTCTTTTCCTCTTTCTTATTTCCGTTCTTGTTGTTATTCAACTCTTAGATCCTGTCACTATTGAGCTATCTCTTAATATGATTTGTGAACAACATGAATGATGAAGTATGAGGAGAAAAAAAAATAATTAGATTAAGTTCGAAAGGAATCTTTTATCTGTGTTGCATATTTGATTATAACATATTTTTTATATATTCATATAGATCAATGGGTTTGTTCACAAGTTTTTAAAATAGATAAATCATGATTAATATAACACTTGATTGAACATAAGAAACAAATCTTGATAAGATACAAAATAGTTTCATTCTATATCTCGTTCTTTGAAAAATTTAATTTCATGCTTGAATTCATATATAGATCGATCAAAAGTATCTCAAGAATTTAGTTATTATAATATTGTTTATAGTGATCTTCGCATATTCGAAAATAGCATAGAAGAGATCGTATAACTATGTGTTATATTTTACAGCACTATTGTGTATTATTGAGAAATGTTGTCATCAATTTGAAGTATACAATATGTAATACAGGAAATATATTAAACTCAACAATATTTTTCAATTAGTACTAGAAATAAAACATGAAATCGAAATTGATGCTGAATATGATTTCATATACATAGTCCACAAGATATAATTTAATATGTTTAGCAAGTGCATGATAAGAAGGAAAAGAAAAACTCCTAAATATCAGTGTACGTATTTCAAACTGTAAGATATTGTTGAGCCACTTCGTTTTACATGTACTCTATCATAATTAGGGGTAGGACAGTTCATAGTTCCAAGTTCGGATGAACTGGTCAAAAGAACTAACAGTTCAGTTCTTCTGAAAAAAACTGAACTGAACCAACAGTTCTTTCAGAAGAACTGGTCTGTTTCAACAGTTCTTTTAAAAGAACTGTTTTGTTTCAAATTTGTTTTTATTTTCAAAAAAATAGTTTTCACAACAGTTCTATTCAAAGAACTGTTGGTTCAGTTCAGTTCTATTCAAAAGAACTGTTAATACAGTTCCTAAAAACGGAACTAATATGGAACTATCCTACCCCTAATCATAATACCTAAAAATATACTTACAAGTATAAATAAAATAAGGTAAATTATTGCTAGTAGAAAAAAGAAAAAGGCAATAATTTCTTTGCTAAGTAAAATTTATATTTGCTTAGTAAATAATTTAAATCTAAGTGGAATAATTAGACACTAAGTAAATTTAAAGTTTCTTAGTAAAATAAACTAATTGATCAGTTAAAATATTGATATTCGAGTAAATTATTTTTTCGCTAAGTTAACAAAATATAATAATAGTAATGACCTACATTTGAGCAGTAAAAAAATTCATTATTCAGTAATTCTAAAATATCAAATCAAAGTTCCTATACTTTTTTGATGACATCTATATTTTTCTTACGTTCTTTAATCTTGAGAATGCGTGTGAGTGTGGGTGTTATTTATATATCACATCCACATCCTCAGCCACACCTATACCCACACCCACAGCCACCTTCAAGATGGTTTCCAGAAAACAGTTATAGGTATTTCTGAAAATTGTTTCTTTATATAACGCAAGTGTATCTAAGAAAAATGTTGCTTTTCTGTATCTCAAGATATGTTGATATTTAATTGGAACTCTTCTTTGATTTTGAAATAAAAAGTTCCAAATGATCTCTTTCACTAAAAGATCAGAAGATAATCATATATTTACTTTTGATAATATTAATCGATATTGCAAGAAATTAATCAACACTTAAATCTAACCTATAGATTTTAGAATTCTCATTCCACGATGCTATATTCTTAGGAAACAAGAGCACATTTAATAACTTTAATCCTTTGAAGCCCATGATTCAACCAATGAATGAAACCTCTTTAAGACTTGATATATCGTATGAGAATTGGGTATTATCGACACTTTAAAAAACTATTTGAAGTTATGTTCAACTTTTAGTCATTTCCTTGGAGGTGTATGGACGGGAGTCAAAAAGTGACTCAGTAACCTCAGTATGGTTTTTAATCTTACATAAATATGTGCGTCAAGATATCTTCTATGTCGTAATAGAAGCCACACTTCATTATCACTCTGCATTCGTGAGCTATTCGGAATTTATCAAATTTTAAAAAAGTGAGGCCTATAAGCCTCAATGGTACTTAATTGTTTCAAACACATTGATATTTTAATAGGTCACAAGGTGATATAATTTCTGTTCGTTAACGAATATAAAAAGATATAATAATTCATATTAACTACATTTAATAGTATAGAATAGTTTCAAAAAGTTTTATATTTAATAATCAATGTTTTGAAACTTTTTTTTTTGGTTTGATCCAACACTAATACAAATATACAAAAAGAAACGAAAACAAAAAATCAAAACAAAAAGAAAATTGATCAAAAATTATAAAGTCTTATCTGACTTGGTTTTATTGTTCTTACAATAATACTTCTTTGATTACTACCAAATGGTATAGCATGTTTAATTCTATAATTAAAATCAATATCAAACCATATTTGTTGTTGATCACGTTGATTATATTCACGTTTATCATCAAGAAAAAAAAATGATTGTTTTTCACATGTTGTTAATATCCAAGCATGTGACATATGTATTGGTGATATTGTATAAATATTAATATTAGAAAATAAAATTCGATCTAAAAATTTAAATGTATTCGAACCAAAATGTTTATAAATCATTAAACATCGACGATTATTTGTTGCACGTACAATAGCAATTAATGTTGTATAATCAATAGTATGAAAACGTATTGATAATAAATGATCATTAATATAATCAGTTAATAGATGTTGTTTTGTATAACGTCGAAGAAATGTCCATGATACAAGTGATCGTTGTTCAATTGTACCATCCGTATCAAGCATAAATAGATCTTTTGTATTTGCTGTTAATGATATATATCCTCGACGTTTAATTTGTGTTACTAAATTTGCATTTGAACCTGGTTGAAATTGCCATAAACCTTGTTCATATAAAATTAAATAGGATGATAAATATGTAACATAACATAAATCAACAACTTTTGAACGTTCACGCATTGAAGTTGTTAAATCTAATGCAATTAATGGATTAAGATTTTTATCAAATAATTTAAATACTCGACCATCATGTACAAGTATTGTTTCACATGATGCAGCCATTAATGTATATTCAGTATCGATAGCTGAATGATTTACAAATTGAAAATTAATATTTTTTAATTCAATTTGTTCATGTTCAATATCATTAGTTTCAATTTTATTTTGTTCAGCAATAAAACGACGTCGTACAGCTTGTTTTCGTTCAAATTCATCACGTAAACGTTCAATTTTTGATTTATATATTGTTTCAATACGATTCGTCATAGTTTTTTTCCATTCATCAACCATTAATACTAAACGTTCATAATGTTCGATTTCTAATGAATTATCATCAATAGTATTTAATGGATATTCCTGTTGAATTATCAATGGTGATGGTGGTGGTGGTGGTGATTCAATTGAAATTTCTGTAGAACCACAATGAAGACATTTACCAGAACTTTGATTAATAAAACGATGAGAACATTGTTTTCTGGATAAAGATGTATTCATATCGATTATGTCTAAAAGATAGATAGGACAACATCTACATCTTTTATTATTAAAAATATATTTTCATAATCTCAATCCATTAATCTAGAAGTTTTTTAAATTCATCATATATATTTTTTATATCTTTAAATCAATACAATACGGGTAATAGCCGATTGCTTTACTGATAAATTATCTACATGGATACATTGCGTGTAGACCTTATTGGTTCAAATGTATAAAATTTATTTCATTCATTTTTATCGGTAGATATCGTTGTTGATCGATTCAATACGAATAATAAAGTATAATATTTTAATCAGTTATTAATCTATATGTATACATAAGATCGCATTCGATAACTTCAACAGTAGTTATAAAAAGGAATATAAAATCAGCTTTACGTAATATTAAGGAATGTAATAATTCAACATTGTTTAAACGATTAAAAGGAAGACTTTAGAGGTCATTTTATTTGAAATGATTAACTAGTAACAGATCTATCTAAACAAATTTATAGCTTTCTTTTATATTGAGAATAGAAGTTCTAGAATGACTCTAGAGAGATGATAAGACGAATATGATATCACGTTTTCAGCTTGGGATATTATTTGTCAGTCCAATACGAGTATATCTAATGTCTTTGGTACTATCAAAAATATTATTCAAGTAACAATATAGATTTTAATCTTTCTCGATCAAACGATAAATTTTTCCATGACAAAATTTCATAGACTACTTGTATTTAGAATTAGTTTGATCAACAACTATACTTATGATTTATCGGAGGCAATGCAAGCTCTAAATCATGACTGTAAACATTCTAGACCTGCTGGATATATATACATCATCCGTAGCTTTACTGATAAACAAACGAAATAGGAAAGAGTATAATATAAAGAAAAGAAGGTAGGTATAACAGTGCTATAGAGATAAAACAGAGTACACAACAGATGACATACATACGGGTAATTACATGTAATATATACAACTGTTTAGTATATATCCCAAAGGGAAGAACTGTAAATCATAGCAATAAAGTTTTATTTAATCAATGCAATATTTTCATTTGTTTTTATATATACAGTCAATATTATAATCAATTTGTCGGTAAATTACTATTACCCATGTTTAATACCCATAGAAAGCAAAATAGAAATATTCTATGATGTATAATCATCATAAGAATACAAAAAAAAAGCAAAAATCATAGTATACATAAATAAATAAAACTAAAAGAAAACTTTTCTTTTTAAATATATATATCTTGAAATAATGCTAAACAAATAAATGGTACAGTCAATATGTGAGAAAATTCTATGGCACAGAAGAAAAAACAATGATATAATACAATATGTTCTTTTTTTTTCGGTTATATTTGTACAGAACGTCGTTGACGATTACCAGAAACGATATTATCAAGATCAAGACCTGATCCAAGGAAGAATTTTTTCGATTGAATTAGTTTTTTGTTCTTTGTTTTTGATATATGTTGTAGTCGTTTGACAGGTTTTTGCATATTAAATGTTAGCGTTTTATTTAATATAGGTTTGATTGATGTTGTTCGACGTAGTTTAACACGTTCTTCAATAGATAATGATGGTGGTACACTATTTGTATCGATTAATTGAGATGTTATCGCTTTTTTCTTCTTTATAATTTTACCTTGAGTATAGGACTGAAAATTCAAAAAATAATATATTATTTATAAAATTTTTAGAAATGAATTATACTTTTGGTAGAGTTTTCTTAGGGGATTTAGTTATTTTTTTCTTTATCGATGATTTTCTTTTATTTCTTGTAGCTGTTGGAGGACTCGATACATTATTTTCTTTATCACTTGAGCTACGATGAATTGATACTGTATGATTAGTTGATGTTGGTTTACCTATTTGAAAATAGAAAAAAGGATTAGTTTTGAAAATGATAATAGTAAGTAGTTTTATACTTGAACGATTTGAATTCTTTCGACGTGTTTTATTTTTTATTTCACGTTGTTTTAAAGGAGTTTTATCACGATCAATACGTATAGAATATGAATGATCAGTTAAGAAGTTATAATTACTTTGCATAATTTTTATTTTTATATGGAAAATATTAGTTCTATCGATATAATTTGTAATCTATCATTTCTTTTTATCAAGTATAAAGAATGAAGGATTTGCCTGGAAAATAAATGATTTGATCTGACAGGTATACACGAGAGAGAAAAGAGATAAGTAAACAAATACGACCATTAGTCTCACGCGACTCTTAATTGGTTATTTTTATCCATTCATATAATTTATTCTTTTTAAGTACCGAAATTATATAATAAAAGAGTTTATACGATTGAAAAAAGTTTTAGATTTTATTTTAAATAAAAATTTACTTGAAAAATTTTGATTAATTAGAAGTGCATATCAGACTTGAGCGACATCTATTCTTCGTTTGATTGAGCAAACAATATAATACGAAGAAAATTATCATATAGATCGATAGAAGAAAAAATATGTCTCGGATTAAGTTTTATTTGTTTTTACAATTAATCTAGTTTTTATTACTTCTGATTCCAATCTCTAATTAGAAGTATATGTCACACATCGTAATTATTATTCTACAAAACAAGAAAGAATAATATTAAGATCAATGATATTTTTTATGAAATATGATTAGTAGAGATTACAATATGACACATATCATTTATTATTATTCCGAACAAGACACTAATCAAGTGATTGATTATATATATATATATATCTGCGGATAAGTATACAATAGTAAAGATGATAAATATCTTCTAGATTTAAGACAAAGCGTTTCTATATGATTTATATTCATGTCAATACTTAATGGGTTAGAAAAATGTACTTCATATTAAAAATTATCAGATTGAATGATACAGTAGCTTAAAGAACAAAAAAAAATTATTTTATCCAGAATGGTGTTTTCAAGAAATTCAGAAAAAATTTTTCTTGAAGTTTATTAATCATAGAAGACACAATAATAAAAGATGTGGACATATTAGACAGAATCTGATAAGCTTATTTCTTCGAAGCCACTAGTAATGAGAGTCCACTGAGAGGCTCGACACGATCGATGTTGTCGTTGTAGCAGCCGGTGTTCAGGGTGTGGATGTGAGTGGGTGAGTGTAGGTATGGACTACTTTTCTTCTACATCAACACCTGTTCCACAAAACCTTTCGCGGTGGTTTATTTCTTTTCCGGATTACTTGATATATTCTGCAGAATCAATCAAGATAGTTCTATGGAGAAGAAAAAAAAATCTCAACTCACTATCTAATTTTAAAAGATCGAATAAGATTTTGTAGAAATGCTTATTGATATTTTATACAGTAAAATATAAAATTATAGCATAGAAGTATTTATAAATCCATTTTCTAGCTGTTGAGTTATTATTCTTGGTTTATTCGTGTTGACTTTTGGTAATATCCATTGAAAAAGCCATCGTTTTGCAAGTGATGTTTCTCGAAATTCTTTCAAAAACTTTCTCGATGGTAATATAAATAGAATAAATCCGAGTAATTGTGGTATATAAGATAGAAAATAAACAATAAGTAACGCATGTCGTTGCCATTGTAATGGTTCATTACAATTCAAACTAAATGCAAGTATAACTTGTGGTAAACTACTTAATATAATAATCGATGGCGTCACATAAAGTTCTTTATAGTTATTGAATTGTTGTTTAAAAACTTGTGTAAATGTTGTTTTGCTATTACGTGTTGCACGTAAACGAGTTTGAGCTGCAGTATAAATTAATATCGTAATCGATATAATTTGAATAGCAAATGGAACCATATAATGAATTAATACAGTTACACGATTATATACTGATATGTTTCTTGTAAAATTAGCAGCACATATTATTTGTCCATGAGGATCTTGTACGATAATATAAAAGAGAAGTTCATGAATATGCATTATACCAACGATGATTAATGTAATTATACTTATAATATATGTTGTATAAGATTTTTTTAAAAGATTACTAAAGGGAAACAGAATAGAATAAAGTCGATCTAGAGTTACCCAACTAATTAACCAAAATGAATATCGAGTAAAAACTGAGAGTAGAAATGCAATGATTTTACATGATAAATCATTTAGAAATAATTCAAAAATACTTTGAAGTGTTTTAATAAGTAACGAAAGAAGTGAACATTGACTTATAAATGATAATAAAAAAAGATATTTTCCTACACCAAGTTTAAATAGATTGGGTCGTTTGAAAGTAATAAGAGTAATATAATTATTTAGTATACCAATGATAAAAATAATAATAACTACGAATAAATATATTATTTTTATATCGAAATTATTTTCAATTAAAAGAGAATCTAATGAAAAACTTTGTACATCAGTATTGAATTGACATAATGAACCTCGATTACATTGTGAACAAAGACAAATAAATTCATTTGTTTGAAATTGATTACCTTTTAAACATTTTCCATTATTTAAACAAAACGAACATTGATCAAGATTTATATCATAAACAAAACATTCTACACGAGTATGATTTTCATTACAAATACATAAATAAATATCATCCATAAAACACGTTAAATTATGTCTATTGATACAAAGGTGATGATAATTGAATGGAGAAATTTCTAAACAAAAATAAAACAAAATCAGGAATTCGAACTTATGAAGGAATCGATTCAACTAATTAATCGCTTTTGAGTTCAGACTAGAGATGTCTGGGATCAGATTTTTCTGGTTCCAGTCTAGCTCCGGCAGCTAGGGTATGGCGGTCCCAAAAAAAATGGAACCGGAACCGAAACCGCTCTTTTCTCATTTATACTGACCGGAGCCGGTCCCGCGTAGTTTTTGGAAGCACCGTACTTTACCGGTAGTTGTTTTTTCAATAGTCCAGGTTTCGATCATAGTCTCCATATAGCTGTATTTCTTGGCTCCGACTTCCGGAATTGGAGCTAGTCCCGCATATCTCTAGTCTGAACTCAAAAGTGATGAATCGATTTCCTGGTTATAAGAAAAATGATTATACCTTCTTGATTCTTTTGATCTAATGAACGAACATGTTTACAATGATTTGTTTCGTTGATGTAAGTCGTTTCATTAATTGATATAACATTCAATTGCAATGAGATCAAATATAATTTCATTTCGTTATTTGAATAGAGTTTAACTATAATTATATCCGGAGCTGTTTTTGTCATATAAAAATAAGATAAAATATTAGGAAGATGTCGAAAGACATCTTGATGAGTAAGTATAAGATCTAATGAAAAGAAATTTATATGAAAATATTGTATAACAGCACCTTCATGATAAACACTTTCATTTAAAAATAATGTTACTGCTTGAGTTTGTAATTCACATAAATCTCCATAGAATTGTGATGAACATTTACATGAAAATTGATCTGGTTTAGATGAAATCAAACATATACCATTATTTTGACAAGGATTCGAAAGACATTTATCATAGAATAAATTACATCGACGACCATATTGATTAAGTGGACATATACAATAGGGCATTTCATTTCCATTCAAAATATTTCGATAATCAGGTTTACACAAAGCATTCAATGCACAAAAACCTTCAATACACACTTGATTTGTATCCAAACAATTGTTTCCAGTTAAATTATTCGAGCATAAACAAATATAATTCGATATTTGATTCATTAATGGATAACATTCTTGATTAAAATTACATGAATTACTTGAACACGGATTTTTTATATTGTTTAATTGAATTAATCGAAGTACTTTTGTAAGACGATATGATGGAAGATAATCAAAATAAATTAAATATTTCCATATAGCAATAAGTTTCGGTTTCATATTTATTTTAAGTTCATAAATTTCAATACGAATTGAATAAGGATGTTCATTGATAATATTTGATCGATTAAAATATCTTTTGATTTTATTTTGTAATAATTGTTTTGAACGTGAATAAAGAAAATAACCGATTTTTTTCTTAAAATTAATCATTTCAAATGCTGGTCGAACATGATACTCATGAATATCGAGTGTTTGATTTTCATATAAAAATAAAACAAGTAATTTAAGTAATATTGTATAATTTGTTGATTCTTTATATGCAGATTGTGAAAGATTTAAATGCAAGATTAGACTAAATCGGTCGCTATAATATTGGCATTTATCACCATAATAAAATGGCGGACAGAAACAACTAATCGATTTATTATATAGGAAAACACCAACACCACGATTGCAATAATAAGAAATATTTGAAGATGTTGATATAGTTTTAGGTGTTATCATCAATGTTTTCTCTTGAATTATTGAATTGCTGATGGAATTAGAACTAATAGGGAATTTCGGTAAATCAATATTTTGATACATATTTTTTACCATAGACTCTTTTACGCTTCGATAGGGTATTTTAATCGAATCTTGTTGTTTCGATATTGATCGATCACACATATATTCATCTTCTCCATAGTGACAATCATGATCTCTATTGCATATGTCACTCTTCTCCACACATTCACCATCCATACAAATCATATTCAGATACAATGAACAATCTGGTTGTAATAGTACGGTAGAACATAATAAATGATTATCCAATGGATTAGGACACATAATTTTACAAAGATTTGATTTATCAATACAAGTATTACTTGTAATACATAAAAAATCATTTCCTAACATAGTTGGATAATTACAATGTTGAATAGTATTGCGTTCATCTATACCACCGATACAATCAATTCGATTATCTCCAATCTGTTGAAGGTTGATACAAGGTCGTTTGAATGTAATATTATATAATGAATTAGATGCATTGACTCGAAAACATGGAAATTCTGTAGTTAAATTACAAATTTTTGAAAATGGTTGTTTTGTTATACCATACAAAGATTCGAAGTTATCTTTAAGTAAATCTAATGAAATAACTTTTAAATTTCGTAGTGAAAATGAATGATTATAAAAGAATAAACTTTCTTCATCAGATGCATCTATACAATCCCATTCTCCATCTAATACCCATGTTACATTAATACATTGTCCTGTATGACATTGCCATTGTTCATCAAGACATATCCATTGTTTTGAACATAATTCAATATTTTCATCATATTTTGATCCTAAATTCCAAAATGTATCACAATAAGTACGAAAAGGAATTTTTGTTGTAAATAAATCTACGAAAGAATTTTCATGATTATTAGCAATATATTGTTGTATAAATTTACAATCATCTTTTGATTTTTGATTACATTTCATTTGTGATAACATCATATCTTTTCCTAACCACCATTCATCATAATTATTCTTACAATTAGGTATTAAATCACCAAGATTATTGACTGATAAATATATCGATTCTTCACTGGAACATTGAAAACGATCATGTCGATAGTTTGAAATAAGTTGATTTTGTTGTTCATCCATTTCATCAGCACAATTTATATATCCATCATTAATTCGATATTGAGAAATACATTCTTTCGATTGATTACATGCATGAAGAAAATAAGATGAATGATTATTATTAAAACAATTTATATCGTAACCTTTATTTTCTATTATTCCAGTTGAATTACAAAGCATTGCTTCAAGATTTTTCAAATTTATTTTTGGTATATATGGTATTGTCATTTGTTGATTAATCATATATCCTCGACATTTTATTGTACCATTAAGTTGTATATAATCTGGAATTTTACTCCACCATTCAGGTGTATTATTGTATATAAAATAGAGATAAGGTGCAATAATAGCTCCATTTGGATATGGAATATTTTCTGAAGAACATGGACTTTCAGTATCATCATCTTCGAAACATAATGGATCATATTTACATGGACAATTCTTTTCGAGACCCATTGAAAAAGCACATTTTGTAAAATAAATACATTCTTCTTCTATACTTCGATTTTGACTATTAAATTCTATAAAATCTTTAACAAAATAACATTTTCCATTTGATAATGTCCATTGACGACGATTAGCATGAATTTCACACATATAATATTGATCACGTCGATTATTACATTCAATTTCTTTGGAATATTGCATTTGAAAAGCAAGACGATTAGTAATACATTGTCCATCACCACACGACCATGTATTAGGAAAACATATTCGATCATCACATTCCATAGAAATTCCATGATATATACATAATCTATCATTAACTAATTGTATTTCATCAGATAAATCCATACAATCATAATCACCATCAAGAAAATATTCTCGTGAAATACACATTCCATTCATACATCGATATTCATCATATTCACATTCATTAAATTCAAGTTTATCACAATTTTCTTCATCATAACCTAATTGACATTGCTGAATTCCATCACAAATATCTCGCCAATCAAGACATAAAAGACCTGAATTACACGTTAATGTTTTATAACATAAAATATCACTATAATATTGATTTTCTTCTTCGTATAAAAATTTCATTTGATTTTCCCAATCAAGTGTCATTGTAAAAGTTGTTCCATATGGTAATAAATATTCACAATATTTTCCAAATGATTGTGGATGATTACATTCACATAAAAAATTTCCAATTGAATCTAAATTTTCTTTTATATATCGAGAATATTCTTCGACTTTTTCTAAACTTGATTTCCATTTATGTAATATTGTATTAATATTACTTTTATTCGATTGAAGTGAACTAAATGTATGTAATGTTCCATTATGATAACATTCTTTTAAATTATTATTTCGTTCAAGAGATATAGGTTCAATTGGACGACGACAATGTAAGAAATTTTCTTGATATATACAATCATAAAATTCTACTGATGAACTATCTTCTGTATAGTATAGATATATATTATTATTAATATAAGATATTAGGCATAAAATTAATATCAATTGTATGATCGTCATTTTTACCTACTTTATTTTATGATTTAAATGTTATTAAAACGAGAGGAAATCTATTCATGATCAAGTTAATTTATCAATAGCACGTTCTAGTTTGTGTCATGCAAATATATCAATTACTATAATGCATACAACACGTATATTACAAATAATTAGATATTAGTTAACCTTGAATTGAATAAAAATTTATGGTTTCATATTTTATGAAACGTTAAAAACACATACATTTTTTGATACAGATGGAATCCATCCGATTTAATTTGGCCCCAAAAAAAACACGGATCCATCCTATCAATACTAATTACTACAACAACTAAATATAGGAAAGAAGCGTTAAGAAAAACAATATTCCTATCTATGCTTATTAAAGCACGATGAAAACTATAGACTACCAGCTGTGACTTTGAAAAAAACAGATGTAAATGAATTTACGTTATTTCATTCTTGCATAATGATATCTGATTTAATTTAAATCGAAATCGCATGTATTCACAATAAGATTTCAATACTGATGTATATCTTTCCAAGTAATAATAAGCATTTAATTATGTATGTATACTGATTTAGGTGTTCATTAGAACTTGTGAAATAGTTTTGTTGAATCTTATTATTTTGTATTATACAAGAATTGTCTATTATATACTCTATTTTAGTTCTTTTTAATATATATCTCGATATTATTTATTAAGAATATGTATAATTACAAATAAAAATAATTGATTGTCTAATTTTTATTTTTCTATAGTGACAAAAATAAGGTGAATAGAAAAAAAGAAAAGAAATTAATAGGTTTTTTTTAAGATTAGAAATAAAAATAAAATTATAAGTCAGTCTTGCTTGTTGATTGATCTTTTGATGATGAATGTTTATTTTTAGTTGATTGTTTTTTATGATCTTTAACTGGTTCATATTTCTGTTTTGGTGCTTTATTAAATGAAGTTCGATGTTCATCTTTTGTTAATTCACTATGTTCTTCAATTTCTTCTTCAGTATTACCTATTGAAAATAATATATTTTAAAAGTAAAAAAGAAAAGGCCAATTTATGTACCTGCTTTACATTCTTCACTACATTCTTCTTTACGATTAACTGGACATTTCATACGTTGCATACATTTATCATAAGTTAAAAATTCATTTGCTTTTGACGATGAATAAACTAAAGAAAATTCTTTTTTGTCTTCTTTTTATTCAAGAAATAAAATATTACTTTTTGCTAAATCGTTTTCTCGTCGGTCTTCATTAACTTCTTCAATATTTTCTAATTGTTTTTTACTACGATCGGCATTATTATCTCCTATTGATTCATTATGAACATATTGACATATATAGACAATGAATATAATGCATAAAAGTACGCATCGTTCAGTCAAATCTACCTAAATAAAACAAATATTTTCTAATTAAATATCCACCAATGATACTCTTATTAATTTTCATTTATTTTTTCTAAATACAATGTAAAATTCAATTAATATTCATTTCGAACATATATATAAACATCAAAGCGAACAGACAACACATGTTAATGACGAGTATAATCGACTATATACCTTCTTTTACTCTTTTTTTCTTGACATTTCTTTTCTTTCAATGGTATGTTGTTGAACAACATTGTCGATATATATAAAGTTGATAATGGTAAAATAATATATATCGTATTCATTCTTTTTTTTTTCGTCACCCACATATGCTATATCACAAAAGAGTTGTACTATAAATTCATAATAAAAATAGACGGTACAAGGATGATGGGAATAAGAAGAATCAAGTAAAGAAAAATCAACCTGTACAACAAGTCTCCATATATTTTACAAAGTAAGAGAGGAAAAAAAAGGCATTAAACGCAAAATGGTTAACAAAGATTATTATGCTATATTGGGTATAAGTCGATTGGCAACTGAAGATGAAATCAAACGTGCATATAAACAAAAAGCACTTAAACATCATCCTGATAAAAATCGTGATGATGTTGATGCTGAAAAAAAATTTACTGATATTAGTGAAGCATATGAAATGTTATCTGATCCAACTAAACGTTCAGTTTATGATCGTTTTGGTTCAGATGATTTACGTAATTATTTTAATGGAGAATCTCGTTCAAATTCTCGTCATTCATTTTCAACCGGTAATTATCATTCATCATTTGGTACAAATTCAGCATATGATTCATATAATAATTATTTCATACGTTATAAAGATCCGACAACATTCTATGATTTATATGTTACGTTAGATGAAGTTTATCAAGGTGCAACTAGGAAATTAAAAGTAACACGTAAACGATATAAACCTGAACTTCAAATAGCTGTTAAAGATGAAAAACTTCTTGAAATTCAAATAAAACCTGGATGGAAAGAAGGTAAACATTTTGAAATGATGTGTTTTTTTTAGTAATAAAATTATTTTTTAGGAACTAAAATAACATTTGAAAATGAAGGTGATGAAGGTGATCAATATACTATAGCAGGTGATATTGTATTCATTATTCGTGATAAACCACATCCATTATTTGAACGTTCAAATTCGGATATAATCTATCGAGTTAAACTTACATTAAAACAAGCATTACTTGGAACATTAATAGTCATACCTTTTCTTGATTCAACAAAATCACCGTATCAATTACGTACTTATCAAGAAATTTTAACACCACAAACAGAAAAACGTTTTCCAAATGAAGGTTTACCCTATCCAAAAGATCCAACTAAACGTGGAGATCTTATTGTTAAATTTGATATTCTTTTTCCAAAATTACTTCTCAATGAACAACGTGCACTTGCTGATTGTTGTTTTTCTAATTCAATAGATTTTTATCAACCGTATGATTCAGTACTTCACATGACAATTATTGATCAAACACAACAACAACAGACAATTCCTTCACAACCACAACTCATTTCTGCTCCTACGTTAACATCTTCTCTTCAATCTCAACCTTCATTCCGTAGTAATAGCTCTAGTAATAATAATAATCATAATCATCATCATCATCATCATCAAAAATCCCATCATCGACATATCAATAACAATGGACGTCAAAAATCACCTTCTAATCAAACTAAATCAGCACCTGTGCGTATTCCTCCTCCCATACCACCACGACCATCACCAACTTCGCTCGTAGGAATACAAACTAATGAGACTGTCTTTTAAGATGTGCTATTTTCATGTCTTATTAATTTTTCTTTTTTTTATACAAATGGATTTTTAATTGCCGTTTATATGGTGTCCTATGTGCCATGTCGAGGGTAGCTATAGATCAATTCCAATATAAAAAAAATACTACAAAAGGCAATTCTTTTAACATCAAGGTATATCAATGATATAGGAATTTGAATCGATTTCTTATTATAATGATTAAACAAAAAAAAAAGAAATAGAGATCTTACCATTGTATGAATATTAGGCTATCCAAAAATAGCAACAAAAGAATGGATAAATACTTAATGTCGTCTTGTTTTTCGTCTGGTGTAGGCACGACTAACGAGACTCACTACTAACAAAGAACGAGAATATGTGTGTATATATATATATATATATCCATAGATATGTATATATGCAAATCTTGATAGTCGACGTCGGTAGCTGGCTGCCGAACAGCGGAAAAAAAACTATGCTATATTATATACATATATAGATGATTAAAGGACAAATATGTCAAGATGAATAAATAGAAGAATACTGTTTGTGAGATACTGATAAATAGCAGAAAATTGTATGAATAATTATTCGATATAACTCATTTTAAGTTTTTATCAAATTATATCGATCAAAAGAATTTTCTAGTTGACGTTTTTATTTTGATTTAATAAAAAAATAACAGATCTATATTATTGATAATAAATGAATAAGAAGAATTATGAATGACATCTATGTGATATATATATATTCAAATCATAGGAATAAGAAGGATATCGAATTTGATAAATGGTCGCGGATGAATTATTATTTATAGCTTTCTGAATTCAATAAAATCAATCAAATATCTATAAATTAATATCTCGGTGTATTTTACGAGAAAAAAAAGTTATAAAATTTAAAGCATTTTTCAATGCCTATATAAAAATGAAGTTTATTTGATCTACTATTACCAATTTAAATAAAGAATGATGTTTCGATGATATATTTTGAATAATTGTAATGATAAAAAATAAAAATGGATAACCTCTCGAATTTTGTTTGTTATATTCTAATGAAACTAATCAATATAATAGTATACAACCGAAAATATATCTATCTTCAAGTGCATATAAATATAGGATAAAAATAACAATCACATATTGTCCAAGAATATACTTTAACTTTTTCTTCTGTTTCTCTATGATTTAATGCATTCACGATTACAATGTATACGTGTATAGATATCGATATCCGAAACACTTTGTTTTTTTATCTTTATTCGATTCAAACTAGTTTATTGTACGATTATGTTAGTCTATATACCTTATTATTACACGGGAATATAGCATATATCTATCTCTCATTTATAAACAAGTGTATTCGTCTGACAGATCGATCAAATTTAGAACATTATCATTCATATTTTAGATTTTTCTTAGCCACATTTATTATAATGTGTGATCATCATTTATTTATTATTATAGTACCTAATGATTGGACAACTTCTATAAATCATGATGAAAGTAGTTCGCATAGATTTAGAGTAGATATGAAAAAGATTTTTACTATTTATTAAATTATTGTTATGTTTTATTTAGCATTTACATGAACCAAATGATGCTCAAACACCACAATTTGATCGAAGTTCATCTATAAATGTTGAATCTTCACCATTTCATCATGCAACATCTTTATGTCAGGTTAAATATATTCTATTTCTATTTTTGTAATATTGATATTTTCTTTGTGTTATAGGTTTTTAAAAATGCTATTCTTGATAGATATGATTTAAATGAATATTCAACATGGATTCTTTCTGCTGATCGAAAACAATATGAAGTAAGTGAATAAATAAATAAACAAAAATAAAATATATAATTATAATATTTTTTTTCAAAGGTAACATTTGTCTCAGAAGCTGGAACATTTTGTGAGGAACTTCTTCATCGTTTATCTGAAATAGGTATTGGTCGATTACCCGGTACTCGAGTAGCGTAAGATTTTGTATAAATTATCTTATTTAAACTTTAAATTTCGTCATTTCTATAGTGTTGTACCACTTACATATGCTATTGGCTATTCAAATTTATTACCATTGAGTTCATATAAAGTTCCAACATTATCTACAGCATCATTAAAACGAGCTGCAGATTATGTACCAAAAATTACTCGAGTTACTTCTAGTTCAACAATACCTCCACCTCGGTAATGATAAGAATTCTATTCGATTTTTTTTTAATTTATTTGTTGTTTAAATCAAAGTCCAATTCAACGACGTAAATCAATTCGTGCAGATTTTATGCAAAGTATACGATCACGTTTAATGGTATTTCAAGTTGTACAAGCTATTCGTGCACAATCTTCAATTACATTTGATTTTGTTGTTCTTGTAACACTTGCGAGGTTTGAATAATATATATATATGAAGATTTCTATGAAATATTTCGTTATTTTATTAGTATTTTAGCAACACTTGGTTTACTTGAAAATAGTTCGATTATACTTGTTGCTTCGATGCTTATTTCACCGTTAATGGTTTGTTATTTCAAGATAGATAAGAAGATTATTTTTTTTTCTGTAGGGTCCGATTTTGGCTATTGTTTTTGGTTTATGTATTCATGATCGTTCATTATGGAAAGCTGGTCTTCGATCGGAATTTTTCGGTCTTTTCATATGTGTATCATGTGGTATGATTAGAAAGGAGATGAAATGATCATGAGTATTTATTTGAGGATATTTCAGGCTTTTTAATTGGCTTAGGAACATCTGTATGGGAAACAAATTGGGGTAGTACAACTTCTTTTCCAACACCTGAAATGAAAGCACGGTATTTAAATGAAATATCATAGATATTTACGTAATAGTTTTTTATTTTAGTGGTGATTTAACTCGATTATCAGTTGGTAGTATGATTGCATTACCTTCAGGAGCTGGTGTTGCTCTATCAGTTTTAGGAGGAAATGCAGGTTAAATAAATTATAAGATCATTATTCTAATTTTATTCATTTTTTTATCTTTTAGGTTCATTAGTTGGTGTAGCTATATCAGCATCATTACTTCCACCAGCTGTTAATTCAGTACGAACATATTTTCTATTAATATATAACGGTTTTATTTTTTTTCTAAATATTTTCAGGGTCTTCTCTTAGGTTATTCATTATTAACAGCAGCTATTCCAAACTCATTCGGTCGTCGTTCCAATGAAACATATGTATAGAATTATTTTCTTTAGTTTATATATATACGTATTAAAATTCTAGATCTTTAAACGTAAAATTTATCCATTTAATCAAATGACATGTCAAACATTTTTATCAAATGAATATCGTTCGCTCTATTCATGTAATATGTCAATTGAAACATTTATTTTGGCTATTGCAAGTTTTCTTCTTACCCTCGTCAATATCATATGTATAGTTTTATGTGCATTAATTGTTTTACGTATAAAAGAAGTTGCACCAAGTGGTACGACAGATGATGAACAAGAATCTGATACGGATCGATTTTTTCATGATGATATGCGTCGATTTCGTGATTATCAAAAAACAATTCATAATGCACAAGAAATTGATGAAGAAAATAAACTTGGTCATTCAATGGTATTTCTTCCAAGTGATAGTGCAAAACGTGAACGACGAAAACAATTACTTGCACTTGCTTCATTACATGATTTAGATATGACAAATGAAAATGATTTAACATTAAATAATTCCGAAGCACGAGATAAAGTTAAACAATTATATAAAACAATGGTACAATTCGATCAAGATGCTAAACGACTTGATATTAGTCTTAAACATAAACAAACATTACCGGTAAATATTCAATAATTAATTAACAAAATTTAGTTCTCTATTATAGACTTTAATGATGGATGTTTTACCACCAAAATGGACTGAACTTTTTCAACATCAACAAGAAAAAGATAGAGCACAACAACCAGATCATCAAAAAGGTGCGCGTACTCATGGATCATATCAATGGCGTAATCCGGCACATTATAATACTTATCAAGCATGTTCAATTCAACCAGCTAATAGTTTTCATCAACATTTACCACCTAGTCCTCGTAAATTTCGTACACAATCATATTCATCAAATCCATTTGTAGTCCGATCTGTATCATTTACTGAGCAAGAAAGTGAAACACAATTACGTGGTACTCGTTTTCGTCTTACAAAAGCAACTATTCGAATTGACGATGAAGATGAAGAACAAGAACAAGAACAACATCAACAATTAACTACCGAGCAAGATTATCATGTTTAAATAAATAATCAACAGAACGCTTTGTTTTTATTATATATATATACACATCTATTCCGTTGTTTTTCTTTTTTAATGTCAGATAGTAGCGTTGCATGTAACAACCTTTTTTTGTACATTTTAAAAAAGTTATTATACTGATACATATAAAAAAATATGGATTATTTTTATTTGATACTCTACTTTTTTCGCTATGGTACTGCTAGTTTATAAGTGAAGTTATATTTGTCGTTCACAGATTAACAGAGCAGTTCAACCATTCAATTTGTAGAAATATTTTCTTAGCCGAGAGTATTAAAAAGTTGTTTGTGATTTCTTTGCTGAATTTTATTTTATTTTTTTTGAGTTAGTAAAAAAAGAAGCTATATGTTAGTATATCGATACGAAAGGAGCGTTGAATTTTTGTACTGATTTGAAGAAAAAAAAAGAATAAATAGTTTGTATGTCTTTTATTGTCCACGTCCATCAAGATTTCTATTTGGTATCATCAATTAATTGAAGACATTGATTTTGATCCGTGTCAGATTGACAAACAAAACCCGACTGTTGAATAAGATTATTGGCGTCTTGATTTGCTTGTTTAATTGTTTCTTCAGTTAAAGCATCAATCTCGAGTAGACGATCTTGAAAATTGTCATCGTTTTCGTATTTGTTCACACTATCTCGTAGAATAGATGTTACAACATGTCGAGCACACTAAATATATAGTTAGCAAATATCAAATCTTCGTACTAAGCTATTTTATTACCCTTGGATCACGTGTCGTGTTTAAGTCATATTCACATGCGACACGTTGAGCTTCAATAAGATTTTTATTCATACCATCTGTGATTTTTCCTTGTGCACTATTAATGAATATACTACATACTTGAGAAATTATGGAATCGGATGATTGAATCTGTCGTTTCTTGCGTTTTGCACTTGAATATTCTAATTCACAGTCCCAGTTAATACAGATACCAGTTGACTGAGCGATCAGATGAAAGGATTGAGTAATAAGAATGTTATAAAAGGTTCCCTTAAAAATACACAAGCATACTATAATTCGACTATGAAAAGTATATTATTACATACCGCATCTTCTATATCGACTTTAATATTTTTAGTCAAATGAAAATAGTGTCGTTGAGGACCATTTCCAAATGAATCAGCTGGACTACCAGACGGACATGTTAATGATGAAATGGATGGATTATCAACGTTCGCAGTGATGACACAAGGAGACGAATACTTTTTAGTTGGAAAAAATACCATTGTGTACTATAAAATACAGAAAGATATAGTATTTAATACATTTTATTTGCGATTTATTTACCTCAACGATAAAATATTTGCCTGCAGTTGAACGTGAAGTAACATAAATCTCCAGAAAGTCATTTCTGATCAGTATTTCTGTACAGTTAGGCCGGCATATATACATATTTGCAGTCATACCAGATTGTGTTGGAAATGGTTCAAGATGTGGATCACTAAAATAATGGCATGATCCTGTCTTGTTAAAGGCGTTGGTTTCATACAGGAAACAAGACGAAAGCACAAGAATAACGGCGACAATGAAATCACGATTCATTTTTCAAGTAAATTACAACTATGAAAGTGTATTTTGTTATTTTTCAGTTTGCTCTTATATAGACCCTTACAATCGTACATCATATCTTGGTTTTTATCAATAAGACAGCCACTTCCTAGCTTCATTTTATCATTCAAATCGTACATGATTTACAAAAAAACAATCATAATATTATGATTAGAAGTAAACAAAGATTCGCATGAAAGCATTTACCTGGTTTCGTAAAACCTAAACGGGTATCCAGACTTGTTTTATTTCATACATGAAAAATATTATTTGATTACATCTAGGTCTTAGCTATTGAAATACATTTTCCGATGTAATGCAATTCATATTACTAAGACACAATGAAATAGATTTGAACTACCGTTACATATTCATCTAAAGATCTTTATGTCAAAATAATCGGCGATGGTCTACTTCCATCAACCAAAAAAATATAGATTAAATATTCCATTGTACTATTAATATATTTTAACAGATATAATCATTTAGTAAGAAAAAAAACACCTATATGACATAGATCAGAGAGAACAAAATTAACCTACATCTGACAATACAATAAACACAGAAAAAAAACATTTTATGTATACATATATTATTCAATCTGTCGTTTATTGATACCAATCTAGAAAACAAAAAACATTTTTTATAAAAAAAATAATTTATTTTTTTTCTTAATAAACTTACATAATCAAACTTCGACAGCAGTATTACCATTAACAATCATATTTTTTTCTGATTCTTTTGTTTCAATAATAGGCGTATCATTTACTTCAGTTATTTTAAGTTTCTTTGTTTGATCACTTGTTTTTTCATCATTATCATTGCTAGTTTCTTCTGGTTGTTCATCCTCTTGTTCAAGTTCACGTTTTTTACTAATATTATTTTCAGTACCATTTGTAATAACTACTGATGATTCTTCTTTTTCACTTTCATTTACTTCTTTTAATGGTACATTTGCACGACCAGGTGAAACACATGTCGGAGGTACAGTCATATTTGTATCCGTAACATTTTCTTGTTCAGTAGATTTTCTTGGTGGTATTACTTCACCTTCTTTTGTTTCAATTGATGCTGCTTCTTCAATTGATTTCGAAGATGTTTCTTCAGTGATCGTTTGTTCACCATTGATTTTTTTTGGTGTATCTTCAGTGATTGCTTGTTCACCATTGATTTTTGGTGTATCTTCTTTTGCTAATTCAACAATTGGTGTTGATTCTTCTTTTTGAACAGATACATCGGTATTTTCCATAATTATTTTCTTAAACAAACTAGAAAAAAATACAATGAATTGTTATTTTTAAGTTCGTCTGATATGTTTTCTTACTGAATATAAGAGATTGAACTTGATGTGACTGATCCGACGATTTGATGTAAAATGAAGATGTACTAGGACATGCAAGAGGTTATATGATGATACAGACGGACGGATAGATACATAGATAGACAGACAGACAAGGGATTATTGTTAAGTTTAAAAGCACAAAGAATAATAGATTACAATTTGAAAAAAATCTTAATTATAATTGAATTTCATTAAAAATATTTATAAATGAAATTTATTAGTATTAATTTCAATAAAAAAAACGAATAATATAATTTTTATTCATTGGTGAATTTAATAAACCAATAGGAAAACATCAAATAGCTGTAATATAATCGTAAGAATCATGTCAGTGTTCTTCTTTGTCTGTTAGTAAAGAAAGGTAGTATTTCAATGTATACAGAAATTTCAGCCGTTTCTGATATTGAAAATGCGAAAAGATCTGATCGTACAAGTACAGCCGGTGAAATGATAAGCAGAATTTCATAGAAATTAAAAAAGATGATGAAATGAAAATAAATTCGAAAATACTCAATGAAGAATTAATTATTGTTTAATTGAATGGCTTTTTATTCTAGATTAATAAACTATGGCAGCAACAACCACAAATTATACTGAAATACAGTACGTTTCTTATGTTTATAGTTAGAATTAATCTTAATTTACAATCCGATAGAAGTTTCAAAGATCTATTGACAGTTTATTATTCCCTAATGAGCAAAGATTAACCAAATATTATTATTTAGAGATGAAGAAGCGAATGCATCATTTCTACTTGGTAAACGTGATGTATTATTAAATAATTATCAATCAGCATGTGATCATTTATCAAAAGCATGTGAACGAATGTAAGAAAACTTGTCTATTTAAACAAATATTTATCTTAAATTTTTTTCCAGTGTTAAATTACGTGGAAAAGATACGGTACCTGAACTTGCGGAACCGTATTTTTATTATGGTCAAGCATTACTTTATCTTAGTCTTAGTGAACAACAAGTCTTCGGTAGTGATATTGTTAAAGGTTAATATAAAATATAATTTGTTTTCTTTCTGATAAACGCCGTGGATTTCTAGATACAGATAATGATGAGAATGAAATTATCGAAGAAGAAGATATACAAGAACAAGAAGAAAATGCTGATGGAAAAGAAGAAGAACAAGAAGATGATTCAATACCAGATGATGAAAATGTGAATGATCTTGAACGTGCATTTGAAATTCTTGAATGTGCACATATGATATTCTCAAACATGTCTGAAACAAGTCCTAACGATGCACATATTATAACACGTTTAGCTGATATTCATGTTATGCTTGCAGATATTTGTAATGAAAATGGCGATCATGAAAATGCTCTTTCACATGTACTTAAAGCTATTGAATTACAAGAAACATTAAATGAACAGCAACGTTATCGATTACTTGCTGAAAGTTATTATAAATTAGGTTTAATTTATGAATTAATTAGTAAATTTTCCGAAGCTATGGAAAGTTTTACTAAAGCTATTGATGCAATTAATCAAGCTATTCAAAAATTAGATGGTGATGATAAAGAAGCTGAACGTGAAGAACTTAAATCACTTTTACCATCAATTGAACTTAAACTTAATGATGCAAAATCATCCATTGCTGAACAACATTTAATTATTCAAGCACGAAAAATTCTCTCAGGAACAAATAATACAACAGATACGAAAACACTTGAAGCGCCAGCTAAAGATATAACATTAAATATTCGTCATAAAAGACCAATAGCTGATACTGAAAACGATGAAGAAGCAAATAAAAAAGTTAAAAATGAATAATAATAAAGAAAAAAAAATATACATATATGTTCTGTACTGTTAATATTGTAAATGTGAAATAAAACAATAAATTCAAACTTATTTCTTGTAGATGGATTTTAGTCATTTAGCTTTTGAAATTCAATGGGAACAATGCTTTTCTCTGATAGATAAATGGGAAACAACAATGATAGATCGTATAAAAACTATTCATCAAGAAAAATCATTGGAAATTCAAACCTATAAAAAACAAGCTGAAAAAACATATTTTCTTGAAAAAACAAATTTTATTTTAAATATGAATGAATATTTTCAACATTCACATATATTATCCAATGAAATAAATATATTTAAAAAGAAATTAAATCAACTTAAACAAAATATTATTCAACGTCCATTACCATTAAATATTGATATTGAAACAAATTTATTGAATAATCCGATAACTATACATCAAAATTTTGATAAACATACATTTAATCAAAGAAAAATAGTTATGGAATATAAATTACAAATCGAATCAATTTATTTAATAGCAACATCAAATAATCAAATAATACTTGTTAATAATCAATTAAAAATTTATTTATATGATAAATTAATTGGTTTTATTGATGAAATAAATTTATTAGATTATACAGATGAATATCTAAATGATATATGTTGGTCAACAACATATAAAAATTTTCTTCTTCTTTGTGATCATTCATTATGGTCATTAGAAAATTTATATTTAAAAAAACTTGCACATATATCAAATAAAAAACATTTTGTAAATAATTTAACATCATTTCATAATTATCTTTTTCTTATTTATAATCAAGGTGAATTTATTGATCGATGGATAATACAACCGGAATGGAAATTAACTAAACGTTGGACAAAACATTATCATCAAAATGATTATCTTATATCGATAAGTTCAAATAATGATTATTTACTTTTATATACAAATAAATTTATTCAATTATGTTCAGATGATTTAATAATACAATATACAATTGATTTAACCGATCAAGAACATATCTATTCAAATTTTATTTTTTTATCTTCATATCAAATCTGGTTAACAATTGATAAACAAACTCAATTAATAAATTATTTTCATAAAAATACGAGAATTATTCAATCACTTGATCAGATATCTATTAGACATATTAGTTCTATGGGAGATGAATTAGCATTGATTACAAATGATAATTGCTGTTTACAGATTATTTCGATTTAAATTAATTAGATATATATTCTTTAGTTTCTCTTTCTTTTTTTTGTTTATTTTTGATATGTAAATTATGAAAAAAAGATACAAACATGATTATTTTAGATAATAGAAATATGTCAAAAGCAACAATTACAATTTTATGTCCAAGTGGACATCGACGAAAATCACAAATGACACCCAATAGCAATTTACTTCAAGTAAGAAAGTTTTAAATGAACATCACGGCTAGAGGTATCAGGAACGGGAATTCATCTCGTCTTTGTAAACCGAGCTACTGAGCTAATTACAATATTAATGAGTCTAGACTAAGGTCCGGCGGAACCGCCACGATCTCTATCCCGACCGGATCGGATTGGGATGGATTAGTGGCGTAACCACACTGGGATCAGAAGGAGGTTAACCCCATTACCCGGATTTTTTAGTTACTGAACCTGTCAGTCAAAAAATCCAAAAGATTAGACAGTTTTGGGGCTGAGCTCTATCATCCTTAAATTTCTGGTTACGCCACTAGGACGGATATCCCTGTTAAAAACGGAATAGGGACTACGGAGTCTCGAGTAAATATACTGATGGGTTTCAAGTCTGGATGAATTGTATTCACAAAAAATAGTAACGGCATCAAAAATTCCGAGAAAATATTTTACCGGGATCGAGATGAAAAAACTCGGTCCCGCCAGACCCTAGTCTAAACTCCCGTATTGAATCGCTTATACAAAGTCTTTGCTTAATTCAATAATGTATCCTAACTTAGGAGTTTAAATGAATTCGATTAGTTGTTAACAATAGATATATGATTTTTTTTTATAGGTGCTGGAAGATATGTGTCATCAAGAAAGTTTAGATTCGGCTGATTGGGGTCTTATGTAAGTTAGATATATATACTTTTATTTATAATTATGAAAATCTTTTGTTTAGACATCAACGTAAAAAATGTGATTTAACAATGCCATGGCGTTTAGCAAGTATACCAACGAATGCTCTATTGGAAATGTATAAATTAGATGAACGTCGACCAACAAGCGATGTAACTGTACAATTACATTTACCGGATAATTCAAGACATGCTGGTAGTTTTCAACCTTCTGTTACACTTAAAGAAATGCTTGATTGGTATCGTTGTCAACCAGACAAGTAAATTTTTATTAAAATAACAACATTTTTTTAATTGTATTTGTTTCTTTAAATTTAAGTATCGTTTCTACATTTGATAAATCAATAAATACTGAAAATAAATTATATCCAGTATGTTCATATATGAGTGAAGAAATCATTGGTGATTATGCTTTATCAAATACTACATTACGTGAATTAGGTCTTACAAGTGGAGCAGCTGTTATTCGGTAAATAAATTCTTTTCATATTCTTGTATAAATATCCGATTTATTTATAGTTATAATTACCGATCGATGACTGACGAAGATTTAACTAAGGTTAACACTCGTATTGATGAGAAAATTGCTCGTCGACGTCCTCCACCACCGCAACAACAACAACAACAACCAACAACAGAACCACCTACTCGTATTCAAAATTCGTCTGCTACAACAGAAAAGACTCCTGTTCAATCCTTACCTCCAACGACAGTATCTAGTTCTAGTTATCCTGTCATCGATACATCTGTATCATCATTTAACAATCAAGAATTTTCTATATTTCGTGATGCTCCTGTTTCTCGTCCAACGAACACAACAGTATATTATTCCTTGTATTGTTTAAGAAAAAGTAACAACTCTTTTTCTTTCACTAGTCTCAACAACAATCAAAAACATTAGCTGAAGCACTTGGTATAAATGTTTCATTTGATCATCATCCATTCTTACAACAGCAACAACAACAACATCAACAACAACCTCAAACTGATTTTAGTACTTTTAAAGTAATTTTTCTGTACATTTGAAATGAAAATAATTTCTAATCCACTATTTTAGTTTCCTGAAGCGACTAAAGGTCAAAATCTTCTACAAAATGACGCTTCCGATAATCGTCAAAATACACGAGATTCCAAAGTAAGTTTTATTTTCATAAAAATCTAACATTCTATCTATTCATATTAATAGACATGTGATCGTCATACAATGGCTTATGATCTTACCAAAGTACCTGCACCATCAACAAATAAAACTGAAGACTTACCAGATAGTTTTTTTGAATTAACACCCGATGATCTTCGATCCGTTTTAAATACTTTAAGACAACAAGGGTAAAATTTCCTTTTTTTGAAAATATTTTTCATATCCTATTCATTTAGTGCGGAAGATAATCCATTAGAAACTCGTTTAATGCGTGAAAGAGCTCAATCAGCACGTGCTGTTGCATATAAACATATAGTAATTCGATTTGTTATTAATTCTAATTGTGTACTTCAAGGATTATTTTATCCCGATGAACCTGTTTCAAAACTTCTTGAATTTGCTCGTACAAATCTTATTTGTTCTCAATTGAAACAATTAGATTTTTATTTATATACATCACCACCACGTGTTGTTTTATCGGATTTAAAAAAACAATTATCTGCTTATGATTTAATACCAGCTGCCTATGTTTATCTTGGTCATTCAAAAGTTTCACCACTTATTCTTGAACTTGCATCGAATGTTCGTTTAGGAACTATTGATGAAGCTAATCAAATTGTTGCACAACATGTATTTAATCGTACAACATCAATGAATCAAGATGAAGTATCGATTACAGAAACAAATACTAATAATCGTTCAAATAAACGAAATGTACCGGCTACGAATCTTGATGATAAACAGATCCGTGATAAATTAAGTAAATTTTTACCTGGTAAAAAATAAACCGTTAAATTGCTTCTTTTATGTATTTATTTTATTCTTGAATTTAACAAAAAAAAATAAAATTATATAAACTATTAAAATTTAATAGCAAAGAATTCACTGATAAGGAAGGAAAAATTCCTTTGAAAATATTTCTTAATCCAAACAAAAGCATTAGCAGAATCGAAAGAAAGAATGTCAAATTCCATGGGAATCATGTAGGAGAAGAATTCGATGACTCCATTAACAATAAATGTCATGACATTGAAATAAGTAAATCTATTACTGTTAACAATTGATTAATATTAGACAATGGTCTATTGTTTCTCATATGTAATTTTAATTTCAAACGTCTCTGCGACTTGCAAACACATTTAAAGATAAATACATATAAGTCTCCAATACTTATCTACATTTTGTATAATTTCATGTTCCGATGATTTATGTATATATCATTTGATCTTGATAGATTTTCTTATTTACGATCGTATTAAACAAAATAGATTATGTACAATAGTGCATTTTATTCAAGTATAGAATTAACAAACAATGATATTTTTTATATAAAAAAGAAAATCTCGAATTATCTTGTCTCTTTATGATCAATAGAGAATTTGTGATTTACCATAACCTTGACGATGTCTTGGATGAGCATTTGGATGTCTTCCTGTACAAATATTTGATGGTCGACAACGACAAATTGGACAATCATTTGCATCAAGAACATGACCACATTGACAATACATTGAACATGTTGGTGGACATCTTTTATGACCATTACGTGGATAATTAGGATATGCTTCGGTACCAGTTGGCATGAGCCAAAGACAAAGAGCAATTACATATAACGTAAAGAATAATAATACTTTGGCATGCATCTTGTGTATATAATAAGTAATACGAACTAAGAAAAATTATTTTTTCTTTTGCTTAGTAATAAACGAGTATATATACGTATACTCGAACAGAACCGGAAGACATAAACATTCCAACGACGTCATAGACATGAATCAGACATATTCTTATCTTTTCTAGGCTATATGCGTCAATCTTTATCATGAGTTTTCTCTTCTATTGATAAACTATATGGTACTTCGACTCTTTAGTGTACCGCCAAAAGATATTGGTACCAGATGTCGCTATGTCATAGTATTTAAACTGTAACAGAAATATATGGTAAATATAAAAATTATTATAAAATTTAGTAGTAAATCAGATATTCGAAATTATTATTAATATTTCCAAGAGAAAAGAAATTTAGTAGTAAAAATTCTAAACTCCAATAAAATGATTTGACAAGTAAATGCGATTGAGTCATCAATGAACAGTTCTATAATTAAAATTAAGAATGTTCCGGGTAAATCAATCTCTTTGTTCTATTCGATTAATTTCTAATAATTTAATCCGATGTCTTCCTCGTGTTGCTACATCTACGGAACAACCAACAGTCGAAAAAACATCTGATTATGCAGTAATTAATTCATCAAAACAATCACAAAAAGTTGTATTTAATGATTATAATGTTATTAAACCAGTTTCATCTGGTAAAATTCAATCACGACCCATACCTAAATCAGTACCAAAATTAATCGATGTACAAACTGGTTTAAATGAATTTATGAAAGAATGTGATGAACGAATGTTATTAACTACAATTGAAAATAAATATAAACTATTTGATAATAATAATGTTGCAACTTTTATTCAACGTCTTCATGAATTAAATATAAAACGTGATTCGAATGAAAGACATCATCAACGAATGTACGATTTTGTTGATTATTTTGGTAAGGGAAAAAACACAGTACTGTGTTTTACTACTATTAACAGATGAAGAAGGGAGTCAATGTAAGAACAGTGACAAATTAACTGTAGATCGAAATTATCATCTAATAAAAATAAAGACTAGACGTGTACTAATATATATACATCTAGTACTAGACAATTTCGATAGAAATGGAAATCGAGATTATAGCAATCAACATATAGTAATATTGATAAGAAGGTCTAATTCATGGAAACTGTTACTCTCTTTCTCGTTGAGAGGAATCTTACAAGCATAAATCATCTGCTTACTTGCTTGTGTGTCCGCACTTCACTGACTGGTCGGAGACTTGGTTTTCACAAACTTTGACTGAATGGCAATCGGGATCGAGGAACAGGAATCTGAAATCGGTTTTTGAAATTGTTTGAATAAATAAAACACATCATTTCTACGAGAAAGAGCTGAGCTAATCTCGAGACGAGCGCAATGTACAGCATAAATATTAACATGGAGTTTTATAATAATCACAATCTCAATCTCTTTTAGTATTAAAACATGGTCAACAACTCGATTTTGGACATGTTCTAACTATATATTTTCAATTGGCTTCGTTAAATGGTAATCTTAGTCTTACATCAAATTCTGGAAATTACGCACTTAAAGCTCTTATTCAATTATTAAAACATAATATTAATAAATATCATTTACAAGACACGGGTCGTATATTATTATCAATTGAAAATGATCTTCATTGTAATATACATGAAGATGAACGTATTCGACCATTATTTGAAGCACTTCTTCTTCTAACAAAATTTCGTCAAAATGAACTTGATCGTTTAGATGCTCGATCATTAGCTGAATTAGCTTATGTTTTTGCATCTGAACTTGATCATATATATTTTACAAATCTATTAAATGAATATAATCATGATGAATTTTATCATGATAAATATTCTACAATGCTTATGTTTCGTGCATTAAATCGTCGTGGTTATAAACATAATCGAACATTAGATATTTGTCTTCATTTTGTACATGAAAACAAAGAAATGTTTGTTGAAGAAATGGATGAAATTAAACAATATTTAAATAAACTTGATTACGTTATATCAGAGGAATAACTTATTGTTTTTGTATTTTTTTTCTGCTATTTTTAGATATATCTTCATGTCAGATAATACTATTGAAATTTGATTTATTCGACGAAGTATCTAACTAAAATATTCTTTTGATATGATATTACACTAAAGTTCTACTAAATAACTTTCTCTTATACACAAAAACAAATGTTAGTACGCAATATATTCTGTTTCAGTAGAAACGAGATACTAAAATATAGATATATATAACAGGATTATATTGCAAATAGACTATTAAATACTTTAGGGACATCTTAATCAATATTACATAATGAATTGATGGTGTATTGAAGTAGAAACAAAATAAATAGATACTTTGTTTTCCTTTAATTCGGTTGTATAAAGAATAAACTAGTATCGAAACATAAAAAATTCCGCTCGGCTCTATCTTTTGTTAAAGCAAAGACTAAACTCTTTGGCTTCTCTGTCTTACATCATTGCCTTTTCAATAATAATGCAAGTGATTATGACATTGAAATTTTCTTTTAATAATACGACTTACAGTTATTTACTCAATTCGATTTAAGTGAAAAGAAAACAATAGCTTACATTTTTATAAAAACATTATTTCATCATCGATAAAATCGAATATATTTTTAAACATAAATGTATCATGTATTATTCACGATGTCAGTTATCGGATATTATTTTGTGATTTGAGTGCGTATTCTTTGACATAATGTCAAAAATAAGAAAAAATCGTTTAATTCAAGGGCACTTAAAATTCGCCTATTTACTTTTGAAATATTACTTTTTTTTGTCATTCATTACAGTACTTAGTCAAACATTTGTCTTCAATCTTTCGAAAAGAAAACATTCTTTTTTTTATGGTTTTGTAAAAACTTAATCGTCTGTAAACACTTTTAACCTTTCGTCAGGAACTTTTATTTTACTAATTATTCACGTGACATTCATTTGGCAACTATGAATAATGTCTACTTAAACAAGAAAGAAATCTCGCGATAGCATATATATAGATAGACTTCTCTTCATCAATAATAAAATGGGTATGGGGGCAAATGAGCGAAAGACAATTCAGCGGAATGATTTTTCATGATGAGGATATAGACGAAAAGTGAGGGTGAGGGCGAAAGGTGTTTCGCAGTTATGACTTTCGCTCAATGGACACCGTATCATAAAATATGGTAACATTTTTTTTATTCTAAATTTATTTATCAAAAAAAAATTATACATATAGATTCGAAATAAAATAATCAAATTATACAACAATTCTAGTTCTAGACGTAACAACAGAAGATAATTTATTATCAGTTGATATTTGTCGATATTTTTTAAATAGATTCGCTGCACATGCAAAAGCACCACCTTGTAAAAATCGAACAAGTTTATCACCAGCTAACGCACCTAACGCATAAATATTCTCTAAATCTGTACATTCATATGTATACGGATTGATATTAAGACCATTGTTTTTATTCGTGGTTAACGATCGAAAAAAAGGAATTTGGGATTCAGCACCAGTAAGTTTAGCTATTAATGATATTTCATATTCTGTAGTAATTTGTGTTCGAAGATTACGTATATGTACTGTACCATCTTCTGTTATTGAAATAATTTCACTCTGTATACAACATTGATAGGACCATTCTACTGACTAAAATATCGAAGAAATGAATGAATATGTATATATGTATATATTTGAAAATTACCGTAGATGTTGTTGACATTGTTGATTGTTTAATTAATTCTTTAATATATTCATATTCTGGAAAAACCGTAGCTGATAATTGATTAAGTACAAGTTCATGATCATCAATTGCACGACGAAAAACATGTACAACAGGTATTAAATATTGTTGACATAAGAGAAGAACATCAATAGCTGTTAAACCACATCCAATTATAAGTAATGGTTTACTATTTTTTGTTAATCGTTTTTTATTTACAATAATATCTTCAATATCAGTTAAACATGTATAAGTAAATGAATGACTTGCTTGCTCACCAATAATACCTAATGGTTTTGTTATTTGTTGTGGAATACCTGTTGCTAAAACAACATATTTAGCATGCATAATAAATGGAATTTTAGTCTGTTCATCATAACCTCGTATTTCCCATAATGCTTCAGGTGTACGAATTTCTTGGGTTAGATCATCATAGAATGGAGCATCAATACAAACACGTTCAATAGATACTACTTCATGACCATTACGAAAATAATTTATTAAACGATGTTTTTTTACATAATTAATATAATATGAACGAATTTCGTCATAAGTTGCTCGTAATGATGTATCATCATTTATTATTGATGCATTTTCGTTATTTGTCGCTTGACGTAATCGACAAGCTCGATATTTTTGTCGAAATGTCGACATTGAATAATTAGGTAATTCCATCCAAGTAGCCATGCTTACTGTATGTAATTGTTTCGATGTTAATCGATTCCAAACTCCACCAATTCCTCCTCGCCCAATACAAATATGATCAATAGCTGATAATGGATCATGACGCCATTTTATTTTTGATTGTAAATTTGCACCTAGATCAGCATCAGGATGAATTAAATTATCAATAAGTAATGAAACGGGATTTCGTGAACGACCTTCAAGGCCATCGGATAAAAATTCCAAATCCTAAATAATAAAAATCCTTGATTAAAATTTATTCTATCAATTAGAAACAATAAAAAACAAAATGAATTCTAGTAAATGCACAAAAATGTCAGTTAGTTGTTATTCAAGGACATTTACTAGTACAGAAAGTACATACATGTTAAAATATTAATACATATTTTTTATTGTTTCTTTTTTCTTCCGAACAAAAAACATCACTTTCAAACATAGTACTTTAAAAAAAATAAAAATAATCAACTTCATCGAAATCATCTTACCTGTTCAAATAATGAATTATCTTTAACATGTTTTTCTAATTTCATATTAAGATAATCATTTGATACTGGACAACCATTCCAATAAGGAATATGTCCAGAAAGAAGATATGAAAGGGCGATAGCGGATGGGCCATTTCCTGAAAATTTACAGTAAATTTTTAATTTTAGATGAGATGTATTATAAATACAAACCAATAATAACAACATCTTTTCTTTCATAACGATCGAAACAACGTATATCAGTTGTATTAACTGCCATTAATTATAAAATAGTTGTTTTTTATTATGATAAAATAACAAATATCTTGATTTTTTGTTTCGTAGACGATTGTAATAGGATAAAAAAGATATAGATGAAAAAAATATGCTATGTCATTCTCAAATATATATTCTCATCTTTTTACTCTTTTCTTTCCTTTTCTTTTTCCTCTCTCTCTCTCTCTCTCGTTCTTTATTTTGTACTGGCATTCAAGGATAAAACGGTTTCTTTTCTTTTTCTCCTGTTCTTCTCTCTCTTACAGAGAAGAAAAAAAAAAGGTCGCAATTGTATTTTTGTTTTTACAAACAATAAAATAAAACCGTATACAAAGTTTAATTATTATTTATCAAACATAAATAAAAAATAAGATAGACACAACTAGATAAATATATTCATTGTAGGACGGGTTAACACTGCACAAAGTACAAAGTATTATTTATCCTATTTTGATTAAGTAAATGTATAAAGTCGATAGTATTTCGTGACGAAAATTTTCAATCATCGTCGATAGATTTATTAAGTCACCTTTTTTTTTCGTGCGCTGTTTTTGTTCTTTATTTCCATGATGATAGTGCAAATTTTTGGATTAACAAGTAATACCTTGTTTGGCGAAAGAATGCGAAGAATAAGATATACGCAATTGCATATGGAGCTCGATAATCAATATGTCTACAGAACAGCAAGATTGATAAATGATATATTGATAAAAATTCTATTGTATAATGAACTAAAAGATTATTTTTTACTAGAATATTTAATGTTGTTTCATTTCTGTATTGTACGTTTTTATTTACCTTAATCACGTTCTTTTACTTGATAAAGTAAAGTTTACTGTAGAAAAAAAGGTCATTGCGTATATCATAAATATAGTAGTCTCAAGGAAAATCAAGGACAGAATATTGAGTACGCGTTTTGTTGATTTATAAAGGATTCTTATATTGTCGTCGTAAATCAAAAATGAGACAAAAAGTAAATCATTATTTTCTAATTTAACTATTTCATATTGTCCTATTTTCTCTAGTTTTTTTCAAAATTTCACACCTTTTTTTTTATTCAACTGAATTTCAAAATGAACAAGAACAAAAAAAAATTCTTAATAATTCCTCCGATGTATACATACAAAGACAAAAGAAAGAAAATGAGTTATTTACAACTCTGAACACACCTTTGAATATGTAATCGAAGTGCAAAAAAGATAAACTAGAAATACTGTTATCATTTCGATCACCGCAAATATAGACATAAACAAACAAGTAGATGAACAAAAAAGAAAAACCAATGTTCATTTCACTTCGTTTTTTATATTCGTACAAGCAGCAGCAGCAGCTAATAATAGATCATCATCGTCCTCATCATTCTTATTCATATGAATATTTTTATCAGTGGACGGATAGATACCATCAAGTTCAATTGAGAACTGAGTATTATTTGCATCATTTTGTTGAGCTAATTTTTGTAAAGAATCAAATGTAAATGGTGACTCTTCAATTGATGATGTTATTTTACTATCATCAGATGATGTTGATGAATTGGTTCGATTATTATTCGTAGATTTTTTACGAAGACGTGTCGTATCAACTAAAATAACAAAATAAGATTTGTTTTTGTTTTCAAATTAATCTATACCTGGTCGTGTTGAATGTTGAGGTTTCGGTGGATCTGGTTTAAGATCAATATGAAATTGATCACCATTATGAATATTATATCTAAATATTTAACAATTTTAGTTTATAGATATTTTACCATGGTAATTTTTGATCAAGTACAAAAAAAAGTAATTAAGTCAAAAAATTAGATTAGATTAAATTTAAACTTCTCAAATTACATTGATACGATTTCATAAAAGGTTATCCTAGAATATTTGAAACCCGATCGATTGACATGTAATAGTCAGTTGAAGTTTAAAGATAACATAAAGACAACGAGATTTTGAATAAAATATAGGTCGAATTTATTTTTATCAATAGAATTAAATGATCAGATTCTCAAATATAAGAATTAAAATAATGAATTTCGTCTACTAGTATTTAAGAGTCATGATTAGAGCCCATCGGGTCCACAATTTTTTGGACCCGGACCCGTCCACTAAAAAATTTTCAGACCCGGACCCGTTCAATAAAAAATTTCGCATCCGGACCCGTTCGATAAACTTTTTTTAGACCCGGACCCGATCCTGATGAGGACTAGCCTGAACTCGAACTGTACTTTCAGACATTCAGTAAATTTCTCTACTTGAAATCTGATGGTTGCTTCGAAAATAGTTTTGTTGTTGTTTTTCTATTACTTTTATGAATAAATTCAAGACTTTTTGAATAAAAATTTAAAAAGAAATATTATGTTGATAACATATTTCTTCCAGTTCGGGCCCGATCAGCAAAAGCTTTGATACCCGAACCCGACGGGCTCTAGTCATGATGAAGTTTTTATACAATTAAAGTAAAGAGAATTTTATTATACTTTCGAAAAAATATTAGAATATTGTATTATCTTATCAGCGAAGTATCCAGTATTATGTCATAATGATCCTTATAATATTAAATTACATAAAATTGTATTTGTAGTTAAAGGAAAAATCTTTTGAAATAAGTAAATGATTGATTAGATCTACTGAATTAGTCTAACTATCAATCAACTTAACATCCGGTACAGGAAACATTTTAGAATTTTTAATAGCTAAGAATAATATTCTATTTTTTCTTAATTAATTCTCAGTCTTAATACAGGTTTATATATATATGATTTTTTTTTATACAATAGATAAAAGCATTCCATTAAGTGCACTTTTGATATATCTCTTATGTATATATATATATATTGATCAATTATACAATTCCCTATAGTTTCTTATAACTGATTATTGAAGAAACTAATCTCTCTTTTCCTATTACATACGTATGCAATGATCTTTGTGGATATTTGAGTTCATCAGGCCAACCAACACCCGCATTAAAAGCAAAATCATCAACATAAAAAACTCGTAAACGTGTTAGTGGTATTTGAAAAAGTTCATGAAGATATTTTTTAAATCGTTGAACTGTTTGTCGATCATCAATTTCTTTATCATATGTTATTTGATTATAAATTAGACGAACATTTTTTAGATACGGTGCACAAATTTTAATATCAACTAATGGTTTAAGATTACCATGTTTTTCAATTAATTCAAAATATCTACAAGACAAAAATTTAAATAATACAATAAAAATATATTTCTTTCATTTACCGTTGTGGTTTATTATCTTGTTGAGAATAATAACGAATATATCGTCGTTCACTTGTTTCTCTATCATTGGCAGTTATATCACTTCCATTTAATTTAGTTATATTTTTCATATAACCAAGTAATAGAAAAAATCTTTCATCTTTATGATAAGGCTAAATATATATAGAGATATTTTCAGTTTTTAGCTTTTTACTTTCAAGAAAATAGAAACGAACTTTAAGAAGTGGTGCTATATGAATTCTTAAAGCATGTAAACAAGGTAATTTTGTTAATGCAACAATATCATCCCATTCAGATATTTGTACGTGATCAACACTGAGTGTATGTAAATATGGTAAACAAATATTAACATCATCATCCGAACGAAAACTTAGTAATGGATTATCACTAGCTATTAATGTCTGTAAACGTGGAAATAAATGACCTAGACGACATATAGATTGCCAATCTGATATATTATTATTTGATATATAAACTCGTTTGAGATTTTTATGTTGAAAATTATAATTAGATGAGATTGTTGTATAATTATTTGAACATATTTGAAGTTCTTCCAAGCTAAAAAAAGAATAGTTAGATATTGGTTCAATACAAATGAATACATATTTAATATAAATGGGTATTAGCAGTGTTTTATCTGGTATGGGATATTTTGCCCTCCCGGGATTTACGAATTTTATGCTGTTTACTATGCGATTGCCTCCCTCCACAGGAGATCGTTCGTATGCCCTCGGAAGTAAAATCCTGGGTATTAGAACAAAAATATATTGAGTTACGAACATTTTGCTGAATTAACGATCTGTTGTGCGGTACTGATTGAATGCACTGAAAGTTTCAACTATAATAAATGTTCCATTTTCGAGATAATGACTTTCTTTGAAATCTAACCTTGTCAGACTTTTAATCTCGAAAAAAACTACAAAAGATGTTAAGGCTTATGTGTAATATTCTGCGTTTTACTCAATAGAAAATCAAATCTGAATAAGATGATGTGTATTTTTCTTAATCTAAAAATAAAACATTTGTTCTGACTGATACTTTTAGTACATTATATTTATCATCATTACATCTCATGAACAAAACTGCAAATTAAATTACATTTTATATCATACAAGAAATCAACAACAGAATAAAATGGATATAATTCAATAAGAAAGATCCATGAACATGTCGTATTCTAGGTCTTTTCAATTCCCACTAGAACTGAAATAATGTTGATAGTCTATTATATGACAAGGTTTTCTTGTAAGTCATAAGTCAACAATATTTTATACGTTTTACATTAAAAATAACTTTCACTATAGTTCTAAAACAAAAAAATCCTGTTAATATTTTATGATTGAAGAATACATATTTCGATGTAATGTCAGTACAACAATTTGCTAGATTTTAGTAACGAACATAGAATCTTATTGTAGCATATGTCATATAATATTAGAATATATGACAATAAACTACTATCTATCAATTTTATGATTGCTTATGTACCTAATAAAAACTATTGAATCGGTATAGGTCATTCTAATATATATTGCTTAAGAAAATGTCGAGATTTCGAAATGATTCATTCGTCAATAGGATGCGTCATACTTTTATAAAAAATTTAATTTTTTGTGTTTTTGTATTTATCGAGAATAATCTTTTTTAAGAAGAAAAGTAAATCTAAACTTACTTTGGTGTTTTTTTAAGTAATTCAACGATCATGTCAAGTTCAATATGACTTCCATTAAGACATAAAGTATTAAGATTAGGCCATTGTAATTCAATCGGTAATATATGAAAACCGATTGGAAATGGATTGAAACTTAAATTGATTGTTTTGACATGAGGTAATGATGAAAGTAATAAGGATATCTAAATAATATAAATAAGATAATAATATGATAAGAAGAAAGAATAAATATACTTCATGCCAATCAGAAAATGCATTTGATGATATATCAACAAGTTCAACTTGTGAACATGATATTGCTACTGCATTAGGATCACCAACATGAGATATCTGTTCATCAGTTAAAACAACAGTAGATGCATTAAGAACAAGACCGGATTCTAATAAAAAAAATAGATAGATTTTATTCGATTGTTTTAATTCAAAAAAATACCTGTCTTTTTTGGCGATGAACCAACAAAAAAAACGATATCGCAACCATTTTTAAGATCATTAAATGTTGAATCAAAATCACAATAACGTTCATAAAGAGCATCCGAAAATGATCGACCACGAAGTACTTCAGTAGCAGCCATATCGATCTACAAATAAGTAATAGATTTTTGTCTTGTTGTGTCGTCAATGTCTCTGTCCTTGTTGTTCTCACTTATATACACACGCTCGTTCTATTATCCGCTTCCCAATAACAGAGTAAGTAAAAAAAAAAAAGACAAGGTCGTTTTCTTTTTCTTTCTCTTCGTTCGTATATATCAATCATCAAATATAGTATGACGCATGACGATGTCAGCTGACTTATACTCCGCGTGGTAAGAATTGTAACCACAAATATTATGGAAGATTTAGCACGCCTATATACTGTTGAGAGTTAATTATTACTAGCGACAAACAAAAGAAAGGGATAAATAAGCAGTTGTTTCAAGTCACACGCATATATATATGTATATAACATAAGATTAAATAAAAAATGCTTCATCAACGATAGAGAAAAAAAAGAAAAAGATTGTTCAGTGACTCACTTTGATTCGTCATCCCTTCTATATGTCTCAACCTCCCAACAAGCTTACCATCCCACCGGCTGTCCGGTTCTTTTTTTTCTCTCTCTCTCATTCTTCTGTCACTCACTTACTTACTTAGATGATCGAAGAACTAAGTAAGTTGTGCAATCCCATTTGTTTCTTTTTCTTCCTCTAAACATGCAAATATACACGCACGATGTGTAATGCTTTCTTCTTTTTTTTTTGTTACACATTCATTACTACTGGCAAGTAAGTAATCAATCCATCGAAAGGATCATCCATACATGAAAAAATAACAGTTGTTACATGCAAGATAACTTTCTATATATGTGTGCTTTTCACACTATATGATTAGATATATCTATCTATAGAGATTATATTTTAAGACGAAGAAATTTTATTTTATTTACGAAACAATAAATAAATGAGAAAGAGAGAAAAAAATGTTATACAATATGAAAACAAACAGTATGTGACTAATTATAAATACATTTAATGAGATTGATGATGCATAGAAGTCAAAATATTATAAGAATGATTCATTTATTTTTGGAACAACACGGAATGCTTGGATTCCAATAGGGCATGTAGTAATAACTTCAGAACCATATTGAGCTATTTCATTTTCAGTTAATGGTATTATTCGAAGTTTTATTGCTTTTGATATAATATTACTATTAAACGTAAATGATCCAAACTAAAAACAAACAAATAAAAATTTTTTTAAATTATTTCTATTTTTCTTACTAAAGAATTGAAAATTTTCTGATACATATTCGATGTTTCTGGTATATGTTGAAGAGCAAATGAGATAATAAAACATTTCGATAAATCATAATTACGTATAATAGTAATATTCTATTTAGCAAAAAAGATAAAGTAATGTGATTATAAATCAATTGAATACATACATGCTCAAAATTATTGATAATACGAACTGTACTTGTCCAACTTAATCGTGGTGTTTCAGTTATTTCTATAATTTCCTCTGGATCAATAATGACCTATAGATAACACATATATTATAAGAAAAATAATGAAAGAAGGCGTATGCAAAAGCTTGAATTAGAATCTATAATTGCTTACTTGTTGTTGACCTTCAGATTGTATAATGTTCAATGGTATTGAAGTGGATGCAATCGGTTTCTTTCCACGATTAACTGCGAATAAAGCATCATGATGAGAAAAGACTTGATTACTAAGATCTTTATTCACTGATCGATTTTGTGTTTGACAAGTGCAATGCCATTTCTAATATATATATATATAAAACGTATTAATTAATATGATACGATATCGTTTTATATCCTACATGATTTATTTCACTAATAAACTCCGATGAAAACCAAATACTAATCGTCAAACATGTAATGACGAGTAATATGATGACAGAAACAAATAAAATTGATGATCCTTGACGGTCAACATCTTCTAATTCAGATATTGATTCATCGTCTTGTTCACCTTTGATTGTCTAATCGAAAAGATACGTATTTTCAATTTAGTATTAACACAAAACTTACTATAATGGTATCCTCCTTAGTTGGTGATACTAGTTCCTTATCGCTAACTTTTTTTACATTGTTCATTAAAAATCCTACCATGGTTGATGTTTGGTTGAAGAAACTTTTCTATAAAAAATGAGATATGTTTTTTTTTTTCTTGCAGAATATATAATAAAGAATTGCATATAAGAATAAGGAAGTGGAAATGATGTTGTCATTAAAAATATATATATGTTCGTCTACTCATTTTCTTTATTTAGCAATAAAATTAACATTTCAATGCACATTTTCTATTTTTTCCTCTTGCTTAATGTATATTCAAATTTAGATCATATTAAAATAAAAAACATGACATCTTTTATTAGAAAGTAAAATTATCTCTGTTTGATATATTTTTTCAAAAGAACAGTTCTATTTATAGTAAGAAGCTAAATCAAAACATCAAATGTTAATATACTGTACAATTGATATTTTCTTCAAAGAAATGTCTTATTATAGTAAATTTAACTAATTATCTATAAATAATGTGTTGGTATACGATAGATTGATCTATAACTAAACTAATTATTTTTAATAATGACAGAAAAAACTCAATGTAAAATGATAAAAATAGCTATTCCGTTCAAATAGTACAATCTTACCGAAATTTGCTTTTTCCATCGTTCAAATCGATAAACTGATATGAATTATAAGATTATGAAGGTTCGTAAACATTGGTTATGGAAGATAATTTAACCAATCGAAAAGTTTTTCGTATCATTTATTTATTTACTTTCATTTCATTTTTAATTTCTAACTATGGCTCAACGTATTAAACCTCTTTCACGTGAAACATCTGTACTTTTACTATGTGATATGCAAGATAAATTTCGTCCGACAATAAAATATTTTCCACAAATTGTTGAAACATCAAATAAATTATTACAAGCTTGTAAAATTCTTGATGTTCCATATGTAGTTACCGAACAATATCCTAAAGGTAATTGTTTTAAGTAAAAGAAAAAAACATTCTATTTTTGATTATTAAATAGGTTTGGGTCGAACAGTAACTGAACTGGAAATTGGTGATGTAAAACCATTCGAAAAAACTCTCTTTTCAATGTGTACACCGGATGTTATATCATATATAAAAGAACAAGTGAAAGGTAAAATTTTTTTGTCAGTTAGGAATAATTAGTTTTTTGATTATGAAAAGAATTTTATTAAATGAACAAGAAAGCGAATATGCCACGATTCATTTTGATGTTCTTCTCTTTTATCTAAAGAATTTGTATAGTAATATTTGAATAGGATAATCAAAGTAGTGCTACAAAAAATCATAATGGCTCTCAATTAACTAGTAATGGAAGTTATTAGTGAAGTCAATTAGGTTGGATCTAGATCAAATTCAGAGATAACTTAATTATTAAAATTGTCGAGTGTACTAAATACAATCGAAATGAAGAATTACGTCATTTTCGCGAATGTTAGAATTTATCGAGAACATATTAGTCGAGATTTTTATTTTAAAGTAAACGACATAAAAAAAATGTTCGGATTGTTTTAATTCTTCAAAATATTTATGGTGAGAAGGAAGTAGATAGGATTCAGTTGGCAATATAGTAAATAAGAATGTAATAAAATTCTTATATTATTGTCAATAGAAATTTGTTTTCTTTCAATATCAGTGTTTGGTTTTTCTCCAGCTGTAAATAATTTACTAGCATTAAAAAGTATCAAAATACAGTATAAAGAATACATGCTGATCTATACACATCTATCCGATAATGAATTAAATGAGAAGAGATATTTCCTCTCTTGACTACAATATATCCTATAGATCAGTAGTTTATAAACGATATTTTTTCTACTAGTAAAATTTTAGCTTACTCATATTTATAATTAGATTTTAAAACTGCTATTATCTGTGGTCTCGAAGCACATGCTTGTGTATTACAAACGGCGATTGATCTTTTATCACAAGGGTATACTGTTTACATTGTGGTTGATGCTGTTTCATCACGATCATTGACTGACAGGTATTTATTTTGATTTGATTTTTTATATAAATATATATATAATGATTTAGAATGTATGCATTTGATCATATGCGTCAAGCTGGTGCTTTTCTAACAACATTTGAATCAATTATTCTTCAACTTACGCAAGATGCTAGTCATCCAAAATTTAAACAAATTCAACAATTAATCAAAACATCTGCAGCTGATACAGGACTTCTTGCATTACATCATATTCCAAATTCATCTTTATAAAAGAAAAATCGTTCCTTTTTTTTTATTATTTTCAAGTATAAAAAAAAAATTATAATTTATACAATATTTTGATATTCCTATAAATAAAATTTTGACAGACAAAATAACAGCTAGAAAATATATGATCATTATTATTGCATAAGAATAATTCCACTAATGGTCTAATATATATCATGAGTTATACAGTTGTGAATTTTGTCAATCAGATTAATTCATTCTCTTCGAAATCAGAGGACAATAAATCTATATGTTATGTGCAAATGATTTGAAACAATGTTCCATTCGATTATATAACTACTCATCTAGAGCTTATTGTAACAAGAGTAAAATAGTGACATCTCTCTATCTGTCCAAAAGTTTACAAATCCTATTAAGAGTTGTTATCATTTCGTTGTGTTTTCTTATCTAATCTTGTAACAATAAGAAATATTCATTTTCACATGCTTTGATTATTTGTTTGAAAAAAATATTCATTCTTTTTTTTGCTTCTATACTTATTTATAGCAGAAAAAAATTAGTAATCATCATTGTGTTATCATCCTGGGGTCAAGATTGTTCTTTTCTTGTCTTGCATATTCCTCACAAGATGTGCCCGTTTGTTCGAAATGATTCATCAACACAAATGTATAAAGATAGACTATATACAGATACAGCATTCAAAAGAAAAAAATATATATCTATATTCTCGATTGTGCCGTTTTATGTATATGTATCTTTTGTTCTAGATGCCTTTCTGGAAAAAAGACAATAGTAACAAAGAAGTATATACGAATGTTATTCAAGGTTTAAGACAAATATATTCACAAAAATTATTACCACTTGAAGAAGCATACAGATTTCATGAATTTCACTCATCACAACTGGAAGATAGTGACTTCGCAGCTAAACCAATGGTACTGCTTGTCGGACAATATTCAGTTGGAAAAACGTCATTTATTCGCTATTTATTAAATGTAAAGAACTCTTCTTTTTTTTCTTCTGGGAATTGTTCGTAAAGGCTGTATAGAAAAACACTTTTCTTCTATGATTAGAATTTGAATCTCAGTTTCAATATTTTTTGAAGGGTCACAGACAGTAGTGGGCAAAAATTCCGATCTCAGCAATAATAGGCGTTGAAAGTTTGTGTACACATTGCCCGTCTAAAATGAAGATCAGAGATAAGATTCCGTTTTGATTGCTTATGGAGAAAGAGGACGAATGATATATGGTACTCCCACATACTTTATAGTCCAATGGTTTCATTATAATTCAAAAACTTTTATTAAAAATCATTTTGTTGATACTTAAGTAATCAAGATAGAATTGTGCCCTTAATCTACATTCGAGACGAGCTATGTGTACACAGACTTTCAACCTTTCAACCCCTATAATAGCTGAAATCGTCTAAGGTTGGAATATTTGACTTCTACTGTAGTTATTAAATTAAACTCTGTTAAATCATAAAGCTTAGGCCCAATCGACGAGTTATATCTTCCCCTACCTATTCGATAATGTTTGTTTTTTTATTGATTACCATTTATCTACATCCTTTATGTATAGTCTCTTAATTCAATTTTATTTTTCTTGAATATTTTTTTAGGAAGATTTTCCTGGCATTCGAATTGGACCAGGTAAAAATGAAATATTCTATATTTCTATACATATCAATACTTCTTTTTTTCTAGAGCCAACAACTGATTCATTTATTGCTATCATGCATAATGAACATGGTGGTGTTGTACCAGGTAATGCATTAGTAGTTGATCCAACAAAACCATTTCGACCATTATCAAAATTTGGCAATGCATTTTTAAATCGTTTTGTTTGTTCACAAGTGCGTAATGAACTTTTAGAAACAATTACATTCGTTGATACACCAGGTATATTAGCTGGAGAAAAACAACGTGTTGATCGTGGCTATGAATTTAGTCAAGTTCTTGAATGGTTTGCTGATCGTTGTGATCGAATTTTACTTTTATTTGATGTTTCATCATTGGATATATCAGATGAATTAAAACGTGCTATTGAAGTTTTAAGACGCAATGACGATAAAATACGTATTGTCCTCAATAAGGCTGATTCAATTGATCAACAAGCATTAATGCGTGTTTATGGTGCTTTAATGTGGTCATTAGGAAAAGTTCTTGGTACACCAGAAGTTTGTCGTGTTTATGTTGGATCATTTTGGTCTAAACCTTTACAATATGATTCAAATCGACGTTTATTTGAATTAGAAGCAAAAGATTTATTTGGTGATTTAGGTATGTTAAATCAGAGTTGAAATCACTAGAAATGAAACTTTTCATATTTTACTTTAGAATCTTTACCACGAACAGCAACACTTCGTAAATTAAATGATTTAATCAAACGTGCTCGATTAGCTAGAGTAACGAATTATTCTTTTTTTTGTAAATCATATAAATACATTTATTTTGTTTTTTGATATTAGGTACATGCATTCATTATGAGTGAATTGAAAGAAAGTATGCCAAGTGTATTTGGTAAAGATCAAAAACGTCGAGAATTGATTAACGTAATATTCTTGTATTTTTATTGAAAACAAAAATATTAAGAAATTATTCTTTTTTAGAATTTACATTTAGTTTATGAAAAAATTGAACGCCAACAAAATATTCCATTAGGTGATTTTCCAAAAATAGAACGTATGCAAGAGATATTACAAAATATGGTTCGTATAATTGAGTATTTTTCTTTTTTTTTATAGAATTTTCTTTTATAGGATTTTACTAAATTTAAACCATTGGATAAAAAATTACTTGAACGTGTAGATAAAATGCTTGCTGAAGATGTACCAAGATTAATGAGCATGTTACCACGAGAAGAACTTGCATATATGAATTCAACTCAACCAGAATTCGGTGGTGGAAATTTATCACAAGGAAGTACAATTTTTGCTGATCAACAATCAACACCATTTGATATTGGTGGTGTTGAAGGTATTAATGCTGGTATTGGAGAATATGATTGGATTGTTGAACGATCAAGACATGAATATGATCAAGTATTTGCTAAACTTTCACCACAAAATGGTAAAATAAGTGGTGCTGCCGCCAAACAAGAAATGGTTAAATCAAAACTTGTAAAATTTCATTTCGTTTTTATATATCTCAATTTTTAAGGTTTTTTTTATAGCCAAATAATGTTCTTGGTCGTATATGGAAATTGAGTGATGTTGATAAAGATGGCATGCTTGATATTGATGAATGGGCTTTATCTCAACATCTTAGTATGTATTTTATTTTAAAATTCTCTATACGAACAAATTACATATGAAAGTACACTGTCAGATGTTTGACGATGCATAAAAGATGAGGATGAATGACAAATATTCCACCTTTCTTATGTCAGAAACATATTCGTCTGTTACCATAGTAGGAGGTCTATATTTTCTTTATAATCATCATATTTCAAAACATAGTGTCATGTACATTATTAGAATACATTGTATTGATCATTTAACCATATGAAATTTTTCTTTTTATTCTAGTTAAAATCAAAGTAGAAGGTGATGAAATACCCAATGTATTACCTGACCATCTTATCCCACCAAGTAAACGTCATTTATCTAATAATACTAATAATAATGGACTTTATCCAGCAATTAATAACAATAATTCAAGTGGTTATAATTGATTTAGATGATGATGATAATGATTTTAAACAAACTATATCTATTTAATTCGTTTTCTTTTTTTTATTCGTAATTTTAATTTTTTTTTTCTTTGACTTTGTATCTATTTCTGCCTTTTTAAAGTAATAAAATGAACACATGCTCAAATTACATATATACATACATAGACAGATGTTTTACAGTAAATAAATGACCAGGAAAAAAAGAAATCATGACGGATAACAACATTTATTCAATCTATCTTTCACTTAATCTTATCATATTTCAATAAACTAAACTAAATGTTATATTTAAAGTTATTTCCGTTAAAATATTTGTGTAGAGAAAGAATAATTTTGGAGATAAAGATAATCAACAGGACATACACATACTTCATATATATATATGCATTAAATTTGAAGAAGGAAACAACAGAAGTAGTGATAAGAATTATTATACTTAGCAAAAAAAATTTTTTTAACAAGATAGATGTTCATATACTTGTCAGTAACTATACTAATAAATATATTTATCCAAACATTTGAGAATATATAGACAGATTTTATTTGATCCTCATGTCACTTCTCAGTTTTTTTTCTTCTCTTTTTAAAACAAAGAAGAAACTTTCTTCTCTCCCTCCCTCTCTCTCTCTCTGGCGCCTTTTTTCACCACCTTCATTCTCTCATTTTGTTCACTAGGGAAAAAAGTTTTTTCTCCTCGTCGGCGACATTCTAACATAGACTAATCATCCATTGCTCTCTTGTTTTAACTGTTGAGTATGTGTGTCTCTGTTGTGTAGATATATTCTCTCATAATTTTTTAAGACATAGAAAAACGAGAGAAAGAAGAAAAAAAAGTGAGACTTATATACTAGATAGAATGCATGTTATATTCATTCAGTTAAAAGCAACGAAATGAAGTAGATGTATTCAATCAAATAAAGTAGGGAAAAAGCAAAACGGTAAGTTTATTTCTTTATTAGTTCAACACATCAACAGATAATTATACAAAAAAAAACTTTAATACATCATGTCAATGCAAGTATGTATAGTTATATATATATTGAAGTAAAGGCATAGAAGAATGGAGAAAAAGTTCAAAATAAGGATTAGATATACTAGAAGAAGCCGAAAAAAGAATGAGAAGAAAGAAAAGTGAAATGCTTAGTTCCCGTTACCGTTGAGTTGAAGTAAAGGGAAAAATTGTCGAAGAAAGCAACAAAAAAAAAGAAAAAGAAGAAAAAAATGAAGACGAGTGTTAATGATGAACTTTATTCACTACATTTATTGTTTTAAATGACGATTAGAAAACTACCGATAATAGAGAGAAAAAAAAACGTTTTTCAACTTATATATCTTTTCATGGATGAACACCTTTTCATATCAAGTAAGTAGAAAAAAAAGAGAAATGAGTGAATAGGATGTTTAGGCATGCATAATAAAAAAGAAAAAGAAATGAAGATGAACACGATTCAGTCGTGACAATAATGACGATTTCTTTGTTATTAGACTGTCGACAACTTGTTGGTTCAACCATCACCAGTAATGATTGATAAGGAGTTAGTTTTAAAAATCTAATATTACTGTTGTCGGGAGCAAGCTGTTGTTTGAACTTAATTATCTTTATCAACTTCTTTTTTTTCCTCATGGGAACAATGATATATATAAATACAATATTATAGTAAATTAATTGCTTTATTTTAGTTTTTAACAAATGACGTTCATTTGGAAGACCTTTGATTTAGTGTTCTGAATATTTTATATCAACACTAGGTTCAATGTCTTCTACCTATTACGTCTAATTATTCGACGATATTTATAAATATTTTAGAATTTATTGATTGAGCCTAATTCTTAGTCTCATAAGTAATGCATCATTTTTCGAATGAATGAATTAATCCGTTTATAAATCTTTTTTTTTTCTCTTCAAAATAAAGAAAGTTTGTCAATCTATGTGACAAAAAAAAATATAACAAATTAAAATTGATTGTTAATATAAACTTACGTCATTGCTAGAGTTGAATTTATTTCAAAGTAAATAATCTCATTTTGTTTCATAATACATAAAAGCCTGAAGATAATTTTTGAAGAATGATTATATTAATAAAAAAAAGAAAGTATGTTAACCTATGACAACTCAACAAATATTCAAAAAAACCAGTTCCATATTTTATTCAAAGCGTTTTTTTCATTTGTACATAATATTTAATTGGCACCGTTTTGTTCTTTTTCTCTAACAATAAATATGGCTGACATGAGTTTCGATCTGTTCTGTCATTTTGATGTTGTTGTTGCCATAGAAGAATTTCTTTTTTTTCTCTTGTCGATCACTTATTTTTAACTTCATGCATACGCATGTCATAGCAAAAATCATTCACATCTATTAATTTCATTTTAAAAAATGGATGACAATCTGACAGGTGAGAAAGAGAATATAAAATAAATCTATATCGTACGATTTGTATTTGTTGGATAGAATTTCCTACACGTCGTCTACGTTTACAGCCATGTCAATTTTGTGGACGGCAATTTAATTCAGAAACATTGGTGAGAATATGATTATTTATTTTTGTTGTTGTTGTATCTATTTAAAATACAACAAGATGATTGAATTTTTTTCCAATATATGTTAATAAAATGTTCAATTGTAGCCCAAACATCAGACAATTTGTCGAAAAGTTTCGAATAAAAAACGTAAAACATTTGATGCTGGAAAACAACGTGCTACTGATTCTGATGTACCGTATAAAGCAACTAAAGAAACAGCTCAGGTATAAATTTTCTACGTGAACTTATGTCTCGATATATATATGATAAATTCAGATATATCAAGGTGAGATTCGACCACAAGATGAGAGAGTAAGAAATGAATCGTTCATATTTGTAATTTTATTCAAAAATTCTAGTCAAAATATGGACGAAAACCAAATTGGAGAGAAAAACATAATCAATTAATTAAATCGATTCGTGAAGCTCGTCATGTTACTCGTGCTATGAAAGAAGGAGGACCATTACCTGCTTTTCGACCAAGTGAAGTTCCATCAGGTAAATTCAGAAAAAATTTTATTTTTATTGATTATTTTAATTAAGATTATGCAAATTGTCCATATTGTCATCGTAATTTCAATCGACATGCAGCTGAACGGCATATCCCATTGTAAATAAGGAAAAAACAAATTTTTACTATTCATATTTGGTATCTAATTTCTTTAGTTGTCAAGCACAGCATGAACGAAAACACGGAAAAAATATTCGCCCAAATCCGCAATATGATCGAGTAAATATTTTTATTTTTATTTGATAAAAAGAATTTATATTCATTTTAGGGACGAACTCTTCCACCACAACAACCTACTCAATATCGAGATCCACAATTACATAGGACAAGTACAAATGCAGATTCACATGATATTTATAATAATGGTTATAAACATAGTAATTCTGCTCCTATGATTACTCGACGACCTCCACCTGAGTAGTTCTTTGTTTTTCCTAACAAACTTTAACTTGTTTTCGAATATTTAGTTATCGACAAGCACCACCATCACCACCCCCTCAACCTCCACCACGTAAAACAACAAGTGGTGAATGGGGTGGTTTTCGAAAACTCTTTGGTTTAGGTTCAAAACAAGATCCTCCACCCCAACCACCACAATATTCATCACATCGTTATTCAAACCATGTAAGTTGTTCTATAATAAAAAAAGAAATATTTTTTCAGATATTATTATTATACATAAGGATGATGATGATTATTATGATCCACCAACACATCGTTCACAACAAAAACCGGTACTTATGCGTACAGGACGTACACAAGAAAATACAAATTTAAATGTACATGCTCGTCAGCGAAGTGATGGTGGTGGTGTATATTTACGTCATGTAAAACCAGAACAATATGCTCCATCATCTTATAGTCAACCACGACAACAACAACAACAACAACAACAATATGCTTCATCGTCCTATAGTCAACCGCGACGACAACAACAACAACAATATGCTCCATCGTCTTATAGTCAACCACGACAACAACAACAACAACAATATAGCAATAATCAATATAGTTTCACAAGACCAACAGCAGTTGGACGATCTCAACAAGTAGCTATTCAATGTGGTGATTGTGGTAGTATATTTAAAAATCTGTCCGCAAGAAATTGTCCACATTGTGGATCAAGATGTTAACATCGAACAATTTTTTGTTCTTTCGTTTATGTTTAAATTTTCATGAAAAAATAAATAAAAAAAAAACTATTACTTTATCATTTACATCAAGTTTATATTTATTTATTTCGTAATTAAAAACAAAATATTCTAATCAAATGAAAATGGAAGTTCATTAAATAGTTCCTGATCTATAACAATCGGTTTTTGTTCAATATTCAATGATTCATCATCATCATCATCATCAATGATAGTATCTTGAGGAATATTAAATAATTGAGATATTTGTTCCAGATCATTTTCAGTCATTATTGGTAATGTAATTAGTTTTCGAAAAGCCATACAATGTAAATTCATTACTTTAACATATGATACTAAACCAAACCCAATCTGCTCAAGTGCTTGTCGCCAAGATTTTTGTCGATTACCACGTAAAGATGAATCTGGTTCTACGATTAATAATAAACCAAGACATGTAAGAAGTTCATGAGCAATACGACAAGCAGAAAGTCGTTGATGACATGTAGGTAAATAATCGAGAACAAGTGAAAAAATAATTGTATCAAATGAATGTATCGAAATCAGTGGTGGTTGAGGACCACGTAAAATATCGATACGATGTACTGATTCATCAGCTGGTGCAATATCAATTGCTATAGTTTCGAGATCATTAAAACTAGAAAATGCGTTGTAACAACTCCTAGAAAAAAATATCGAAAATAAATTTTCTAAATTACAATAGTAAAATATAAGTATAACCCAACATCTAATACACGTGGTTTATCAATGCGTTGTCTTAAATAAAAACAAAAAGAAAATAATAATATTTAAAATTTTTTTAATTTTTACTGAATTTTTATTTGACAATTTGAACAAATATCTGTCTTAATTTGTTTTCGTTGATCTCGAGCACATTTTCTTTGTAGACCACTGATTTCATCTCCATGAAAATAATTTTTTATAGTTTCATAACACCATGTTAAACGTGTTTGACCATGAGATTTTTCTGCCCAATGATGTTCAGCAAGTTGACGCATTGATTGTGCGTAATTATTTAATGTATCAATATTCGATACATGTGCATTCCAAATCGATTCAATCGCTTCAGGTGCTAAGAATAGAATAAAAAAAACGTAATTCTCTTTATCTCAAGATAGAATTATTTTCTATACTTTGATTTACATCACGGCGTAATTGTTGATGTACTTTTTTAATTGAATTAGCAAGAATTACATGTTCAGAAGACATTTCTATTTTTTTTTCTCTCAGATCTAATAATTAGAAGAAAAAAACTATATGCATATATAAACTTTTATTTTATTTCTTTAGAAAAAAAAAGTAATTTTTTATGGTAATGTAACATCAAATAATGACATATGACGTAAATCAAAATTAGCTTGATTAAAATCTGTAAGTGGTGTCCATGAATGAAAACCAACAGTTGTTGTTGGTTCAAACATATGAAAACCATTTCGTGAGAAATAACCAGTTATATTTGCGGATACATCAAGCCAGACAAATAAAGCTGGCCGTTCAACTGTAATTGTTATATTAAAATCTGTTGGTGATATTTGTTTAAAACTTTCAATTTTAAGATTAGGATTTGATAATTCATAATTTTTTGGTTGACTAAAAAATAATGTTTGTCCAATGTGTTCTTGATTATAATTAAATCCACAATGCATAAGACATTTTGAACTATCCATACAATTTGCACGTTTCATAAGTAATGCATAAGGAAGATTATCAACGTGTTGTGTACCAGGTGAATCCATTGAAACATCACTTCCATAGGATATACGAGGTGTAAATGTATCTAATGAACGAACTTCACATATTAAAGTACCACGTATTTTATTACTCAATTCATTTATAATATAAAGTGAAATTTGAGCATTTTCATCTGTTGCATTAGCTAAATAAGGTGTAAGAGTAGCAATAGGATAGACAGGTGCATATGCATGCTGTATATAATAATGACTCATTTTCCATTTCAATCCATATTCAATTGTTGACCATGTAGGCGCTTGCCATATGTCATTTATTTGCCAATACATTAAACCCATTGTATTACTAAAGAAAAAACGGAGGGAAAAAATAAGAATAATAAGTAATGATTTAATTTACCCTTCACTTGTTTTGTTATTAATCATATCTTTTGATGAATGAACTCGACAAAAATCACTGATACTTTTCATTGTCATTGCTTGATTTATTTGACTTAGATAAATAAATTGACCAAAATTGTTTAATGAATCATTTGTTTTTGGTAATGGTAAATTCTGTTCAATATGAACCCTATAGAGAAAAAGAAAAAAGATAAGATATTTTATCACAACATAAGAGATTATACAAACTTCATTGCAATTGTTTGACCAGAAGAGTGTTCTCGGTGTAACACAAATGAGCTATTGAAACTTAAATCGGATATATTTTTTGTTACTTCAAACCATGTATCTAAACTTGGCATTGATTGAATACCTGATTCCGAAAGAAAACGACTTATTGGATATGTTGTTGTATCCCATGAATCATCTTTCCAACCATAGAAATGAACATCACCTAGAGAAAATTTTATATGATAAAAAAATAAAATAAAATTTTTATTCTTATACCATAGAGTGAACTTTGAGGATCTGTAGCAATATAATTTTCAGTAATTGATTCAAGACCATTTGATGGTGATGATGTAACAAATGGTCGATTAGTACCTTTATCCATTTCTTTTACTGCAACCATAACTGTATCAACATATAATTTCCGATATTCATCTTTTGTTCTATTCATATCTGCTGGTGCTACACCATACCAATTTTGAGCAACAGCAGCTTCATTTTCATTATTTCCTGCCCAAATAACAATCGATGCATGTGATTGAAGTCGTTTAACTTGATGAATTACTTCCTCATGAACTCTGTTTAAAAATGGTTCATCAACTGGATAACTAGAATTAGAAAAAAATAAAATAAAATCAATATTTCCGATTTTAAAAATAAACTTACAGAGCACATGCAAACATAAAATCATGCCAAAGCATAATACCTAAACGATCAGTCATTTCATAAAATGAATCACGTTCATAGATTCCACCACCCCATATACGTAACATATTCATATGAGCTACTTGACCTGAACGAAGTAAACGTTCTAATTTTTCATCACTAACACGTTCTTGAAATGAATCTGATGGTATCCAATTACTTCCTTTAATATAGATAGGTTTAGAATTAATCGAAAAATAAAATGATGTTCCATTTATTCCTGCTCCATAATTCTCTTGAACGAGTTCAACTGTACGAAAACCAATTACACGTGAACCAATAGGTGTTCCTTTATTTGAAATAGATAACGTATATAATCGTTGATCACCATATCCATTTGGCCACCAACGTGCAACTTGATTATCAGGTATATTTATAGAAAGTGATACGTTTTTCGTGAATGGTACAACAGCTTCATATGACCATGTTGTATTTTCTAATACAAATTTTAATGTACTAGAAAATGGATCATTGTTACTCGATAACATCACATCAACACGCCAAGTTTTTTGTGTTGCATCATAGGAAGCAACATTGACACTTTCAAGTTGGATTGTTATATCACTAGCATTGGTAGCTTCAAGATAAATATCACGTGTTATACCAATTGGAGCAAATGATGGACCCTAATAGAAAAAATATATTAATTTGTTTTCGGATTATTTATCTCGTTTTAGTAAGACTTACCCAATCCCAACTGAATGAACATGGTTCTTTTCGAATAAATTGTACATGACATTCACCATTTTGAGCATCAGGTGTACAAGTAGGTGGTACTGTAACATTATATGCAATAGATTCTTGTAATGCATAAAGAACTGGAGAATCAAAATCAATTTGAATTGTATTTTCAAGTTTTAAACATGAATTTTCAATATTGAATGTATGTGGTATAAACATACTATGAGTTCTACCAACTGGACATCCATTAATTGTTATATTCGAAACTGTATCAATTTGTTCCAAATGAATTATAGTATGATTATAAGCAAGAAAATCGGATGTTAAATTAAATTTCTTTGTAAATACCCATTTTGTATGAACTAGATAACGAAAAGTCACATCATTATAATCTGCATATGGCTCAGGAATTTGACCATCAGCCAAAAGAATTGTATGAACAGTACCAGGTACACGACCTTGTGCAGTATGATTGATATTATCAGTTATTGTCCAATCATTACCAACTAATGAAATACGATTTGAATTAGATAAAGAAATACAAATAAAAAATAAAAGAACTATATATTGTCGAAACATTATCAGAATTCTCAGTTAACTCCAAGTCGAAGCAACAGTTTTCTTATGCACACGTTTATATATATATAAACATCTTATCAAAATAAATAAGATATCTTCTCTTTTTTTAAAACTTTGTGGTTGTCTCTTTTTTCATTTAGTTACTTTTTCGAGAATAAATAGAATAGATGATATAATTGATAAGATAATACTAACCTGTGCACTTTTAACGAGTTCTTCAGAAGATATATATTTTTATCATGATGGCTTGAATTGAATTTCAAGAAAAAAGTTGATTAAATAACTAAAGATAAAATAGAATGATTCATTGATAAATTCTACATAATTCAATTTGAAATTACTTTCATATATGAAATCTATTGGTTTAATAAATAAACCCATTTGCTATATTATCCGTATGACTTATGATTTTTTAAATTTACATTGTGCATTACATTCTATCATATTTTTCAAGTTTATACTCGATCTAAAATCTAGCTGTGAAGATTTTATCCAAGAAAAATTATATTAAAAAAAACCGTTTATTAAATCTGAATAAGACAACAAAACTTTTATCATTCGAATATCGACGATATACAATAAATCTCATTATTATAAGACAGAAAAAAAAGTTCGTATGTAAATAAACAACACGTAAGACAAAAAAAAACATCAATAATTATTTCTTTTTCGTTTTCTTTTTTGTGATATCATCATCCGATTCATTTTCACTCTAGAAATAAAGAAAATATGAATCGAAAAAAATTTTCACAAAAAATACGAACTGATGATTGATCAGTAGTTGTTTTCTTCTTATGTTTTTTCTTGGATTTTTTATTTTTTTTTATTTGATTATCTTCTGATGTTGGAGTTGGTATATCACCATCACTATCTTTTGTTTCACCTTCATCACTTTCAGGTACAGTTAACTGATTATTTGAATCCGTAGGTACTGGTTCAGATGGTTTTTGTTCTTCAGATTCTAGTGAATTTGTTTTTTCATGTTTTCGTTTTTTCTTTTCTTTACGTGCTCGTTTATGCGAATGACTAGTGGATATTGCTTGAGTATCAGCAATAAATTGTCGATGATATTCACCAAATAAATGAATACGATCAAATTCAGATGGAAGAGCTTGATAATCATTATCATTTTCAATTTGTATTTTAATATCTTCCCATTTCGATTGTTCATTTAATGAACTAATTTTTGTTTTTAATAATTGTTTAAAATTTGATTCAAGACGTTTTTGCTTAAAAATAAAATATATATTTTATGAAAATTTAACAAAAATTTTAAATTACTTTTCGTACTTCATCTTTTAAACGTTCTTTTTCTTTCGATTGAGCTTTTTCCATTAACTAAATTAAAACTAAGATAAAATAAATCAGTTTTTTTATATTTTTCTACTTACACTATTAAATGTTAATTTTATATTTCCAGCATCAAGAGATACTGTACGTTTATCTGTTGATATAATTTCAACAAATTCTTCAATTGTTGAATTAACATCAATAGTAAATGATTTATCTTTTAAAATTTCTTTAATAGTCTTTTTTTCATCATGAAAACGTGCTTTTAAATCTTCGACATAGAATTTAAATAAATCTAATGGAGTTGAGCCTAAAAAAAAATATGTTTATTATTGAAGGCCTACAACTTTCAAACGAAAGTTAATAGCGATTTCGACCATTTGTTAGAATACAGATAGGGATACAAGTCTATGCGTGGGGAATGTTTTCTCCAAGTACTTATCTGGGTAAGTTTGATCACTCGAAGTGTTGTCTTCAAAATTGTGCTTCCTGGAGATGCTGAAAGGTTTTTAAAAAAGCAAGTGCAAGAACTATTCGAATTCTGCACATCGATATTTCTCACCTGTTAAATGATGAAAACTGCACATTGCTATGACTCTGGGATTCTTGAATTTTACCAATAAGACTCTCGTCAACTTGAAGCAACTAGGCATTCGCCAGTCGGTAAAAACCCGATTGTGCATTGACGAAAGTTCAGTGGACAGTCATCAACTAGCGATAATCTAGTGGTGCATTGGTGGAAGTATAGTGGACTTTCGTCAATTTGGCGAATATCCACTGAACTCTCGACATTGGCGAAAGTCCTATTGGCAAAATTCATGTTAGCCCTGACTTTCCGTTCAAAAGTTATAAGCATTTCTTCTACCTACCTCCTTTTAGAATTTCGATAGTGATAGATCTACATAAACAACTTCCATTAGCGTTTTATCGAGTCTTAGATTTTCCATCAAGAAGAAATGTCATATATATTCATCTTTAGAGTATTCTAGATTTTAAAAAGTTAAAGTATGCAAACCTGGTTGTCCCAGCATTTTACTAAATCGTTCATCATTTGATATAGCATTGAATAAGTCAGTCCATAATGACATTGAATGAAGTTTTCCTTGATCGTGTAACTCATCCAGAAAATACTTGAAACAAAAAAAGTTATTTTTATAAAACTTGAATTATATTCTTACTAGGAAAGTTTCTCGATTTTTTCGATGTGTACGTCGAATATGTTTTTTTTGTATTTCAATATCATCTTCATGAGTTTTTTCTAATTGTCGTATATGATCTTCAAATACAATTAATGCATCTTCTTTATCCATATCTAAAAACCAAACATAAAATTTAAGAGAAAAAACTTAATTATTTACTTTGTAATTCAATATCATTCACAAATTCTATATTATCAAGTAAAAGTCTTTGTGCTTCTTGCCATGTTGTTTTATATATTACTTTTGACATATTTATAAGTATATCTTTTAATGCTTTAACATTACGTTTTTTTAAATTTTTAGCGTCATCCTAAATAAAATAAATGAAATACAAAAACTAATTTTTATTTATATCGAACTTTTTCTTTTTTCTCTAAATAATTAACAACATCTTCATATAATTCTCGTCTATCACGTTCTGGTACAGCCGTCCATACTAGTAAATGTCCAAATAATTGTTCTGCTTTTTTATATTTAATTGTTGAATTCATATGTTCACAATTTTGTAAATATAATTCAAAATCATCTTTAATCTGTTTTAATTTTAAACGTTCAGCATCTTTTTCTTCTTTTATACGTGAAACTTTATATGCATTAAATGTTTGTTTTTTTTCATTAATATGTTTGATAGCTGCATAACGTACATCACCACTAAATAATTTCAATGCTTGTTCCCATGTAGAATTGGATGGTACATTTTTTTCACGAAGTAATTCTTTAAATGCATCCATCGCTTCTTTTTTTGTTGCATACTCAATTTTAACAGGAAATTCATCTTTCGTAGTTGACGGACTATTATTATCACTATTCGTATCGTCACTACCATCTTGACTATTATCATTCGATGGTATATCGATATCATTCAATGATGGAGAATCAGTCATTGATTGCATTGCAGCATTATTCATCATTGATGCTGATGGAAAACTACCATATGGCATACCCATAGGTGGTGGCATGAAATTAAATGGTGGCATCATAGGAGGTGGTAGACCAGGTGGAACTGATGTTGTAGATGAACCATTACTATTAGAAAAAATAACTTGACTATAAAGGGAAGTCTGTATTATAAATTTAGGTTACTTACATATTCGGTGAATCATTTGTATTTGTTTTTTGTTGTGCAATCATTTTTTCAATATCTTCGAATTCTTTTGGTTTTGTCCATCGAGATTCTTTTGTATCAATATTATGAAAATATATACGTCCATTATCAGATTTATATTCACGCCATGGACATTGAGATAATATAATCTAAAAATGTATATTAATAAGAGAAAATGTTTTTTTTTCTTAAATAGAATTAAACAAACTTCAGTAGATGATTTAAGTTCATCAGGTTTGTCCCATCGAGATTCTTTTGATATGGAATTATAATAATATGTTCGACCATCAGGTGCTTTATGTTCTGTCCATAAAGTTTTTCTTTCTTGTGTAGTTGAACTACCATAATCTTCATCACCCTTCAAAATAAATATTCAATTTACTTAACTTATAATCAACTAAGTTTAATTTACCTTCATTGAATTATTATGTACTAAAATAAAAAGAAAAACAATATGTTTAATGGAAGACAAAATAAAGTTTTACGAATTGCTTACATCCAGTCGATGGTGGTGGAAGAAGTGGTGGTATCATCATCATAGATGATGCCATCATTTGATTTGAAGGATATTGACCATTATTCCAACCTGATGATACATGCTGCATTTTAGTGATTTATTTTATAATAATTTTTCTTGTTCATCTAAATCAATCAAAAAAATGACAAAAAGAATTTTATTCCTTCCTTCTTCCTTCATTCATTCTTCGTACTGATGATAAATATATTGGTTTAGGGATTATACCATTCAATAATCATTCTAAAGATGTCATTGGAGGTCATAAATAAAATGGGACAGTTTGTTTGATGAATATACCATCACAACATGTATGAAAATGGCTGTCATTCAAGGCTGTGAACGAATTTCACTTCCTAAATCATCAGCTAAGATTTGTTCGACGTGTAATTGTGTAACGAAAAAAAAAGAACATGACTGAAAAATCTCGATCATCATCAATTCAATATATCTATCCACTTCGTTCACAATCATGTCGTGATTGTCGAGATAAAGTAACTCGTAAGTAGAAAAATATAATCAATTTATTTTTTGTTTTATTGATATTATTTATTTGATTAGGCACAGCTAGTGACTTACATCGACATACTGTTGATCGTGCTCAACGTCGTTTTGAACGACAATTAGCTAATAGTGAACGTGAATTAAGATCAGCTATGAAACAACGACGTGATCATTCATCATCAGCTGCTGAAAAACGTCAAGCAACACAAAATCTTGAACATCTTCGATCAACACTTAATAATGATTATTCACAACTTATTCAAGTAAGTCTAGTAATTCTTTCTAATCTTCTTACATTAAATTATTTGAAAAAAAAGAATTCAATAAAACTTTAATGAATATTATACAGGCTTATGTTCATGAACATAAGGTAAATCTACTATATTAATATTATTTATAATTTAAAAAAGAGATAGTTTTGACATTTGTGTTCTATTAATATTGAAAACTAAAACCAATTACTTATATCTAAATAAGTCGGAAATATTCGACAGATTGAATAAAAATGACTTTCGAATTTTATATTATTAAACAATTACTAATATTCTCTTTGTTTTATTTTAAATTTGATATAAACTTATTGTTTGTACATATGTAATTCATTTCTTCTTGTCTATATAGGAAAAAGTTGATGAAGTAGAAAAATATATGCATACTCAACGTTATGATGAAGAACGTCATTTCGATAAACACAAATCTGAAAAAAAACTTAAAGTAGAAAAACATAATTGACATATTTTAGTTTTGTTGATTTAAAAAATAGGAAGCTCTACAAGAGACTCAACTTCAAAGTGAAAAAATGCGTCTTCAGTCAATAAATCAAATAATACGTGAACGTGATGCAGTTTGTGAAGAAAAATTAGCTGCACAAAAAAGGTTAAATATGATTCATAATATATTTATTGTCTAAGAATTTATTTAATACTATTCAGTCTTTATACTCGTCTTCTTGATGAACAAGCACGACGTTTACGTGCTGAACAAGCACTTCAAACCAATATGACATCAGTACCTACTGAACATTTGGATATGGCACAATTAAAAGGTCGATTAACTCGTGTAGAATATGAACATCGTGAAATAAAACAATTAATACTTGATATGCGTACTGATCTAGCAGCTTTAATTATACAACAGCCAACATATAAAAATGCAGTTCACATACGAGATTTTCCTGTTAAACCATAACGTTTCATTTACAAAATGAAAAATAAACAAAAATACATAGTAGACTTTTACATTTAAAAAAGATTATCTTAATGTAATGTACTTTTCAATAATTGATAGTACATATTTGAAGAAAAAAAACCTATTTTGCAACATAAGCATATGAATACACATTAATTAATAAATATTTTCTTGTTAGAAGTAAAACAGAAATATGAAATAAATCAAAAGTTTTTTTTTATATTATGCTAACGATTTTGTTCATATCATTTCGATAGTGATGTTCATCTAAGTCTACTACTTGTAACTGTTTAACTATTCTCTTCACATTTTCTTCAATCTATAATATCTAATAATATTTATAATTAATATTATTAAATTCATAATAGAATAGAACATAGAAAAAAAAACTTTATTTAGATATTTGATGAGTTTCAATAATTACCAAAAAAAAAATATTTCTTAAGTGACATATGGTAGATGGCTACCTAAAGTCATGAATACTAAAAAATGGATTGAATAATTAATTAAGAAAACATTAAGAATATGAAAGTACTTTAAATAGTATTTATTATGAGTATCTATAAAAGAAATGAATATTAAGATAAAACGATGTATGATCGTCCTACACATCTTCATATGTCATTATGCTACACTAAAAAATTATCATGCTTTTATTCTATTAATTTATTGTGTTTTGATGCATTTGAACGCCTTAATATAATAAAGTCATACGTATGTTTTTATCAAAAAATAAACTAAGCGAACAAATATATCTGAGAAGATGTTTCATTTCAATAATAGATAAGACACATAATACAAATTGCGTCGTTTTATATTCTAATTTTGAAGATAGTGTATCACAATCGTACTAATGGAATAAAATTAGTTGAAATAACATACACGAATAGTAACCATAGTTTTTAATTAATAAATGTAATTATAAAATAATTTAACTTTATTTATTTTCATTTGCTGAATATTAAAAATATGATATGATAATAAATGGTTACATATTATTCTATAGAAGAGAATTAAATAGATTATATAAATCAAGAATAAAAAGCACGCAGCAATCAATGATAATTATATAATATATGAAATGAATAAAAAGAATGTATTATTGTTTTTTTTTATCAATGTGGAATGGAATATTTCATGCAAATCTAAAATATAATAGAATTAATAAGACTATATATTCTATTTCTATCGTATTTATGCGGTTAAAATGGTAATGTTGGATGCGATTATTTATTGTCTATTGCAGTTGGTTTGAATAATTGTTTATATAGAGAATATCTTTAGTAGTAATATTAAAGAAGTTAGATTTTATGAAGATTGTTGCTAGTTGAAGTGTAAATACATGACTTCAGAATTCATTTTCTTTTCTTTCTTTCTTTCTATGCCATTCTCGTATTCTTTATTGTTCAACGAACTAAATAAAAGGATATATATATATATATATATATTCATATTTTATTTACCACATAAACATTCTATATAAGCAAGTAATTGTAACATATTTTTATATTAGATCATGGTTCGATTATTCATAAATATTATAATTCTTACCGTTATTCTTATGTGTATTGATTTAAATGAAAGTAGATCCTTACTAACTGAAGGTATACGACCAGTTCAAGCTTATTCTCCTATTGATCGTTTAGTAAGTTAATTATATAATTTGATATAGAATAAAAGTACTATAGGATAATTTTTTTTAGAATTTTCCAGATGTTTCATCATCATCTACTGAAGAAGATACGATAAATACCGAACGACATAAACGAAGTAAATCAATGAAATTTTAAAAAAGAAAAAAAAAATGAATATGATTATTTTAATTAGATTGTTTTCTCTATGCTGCGAAGTCAAAAAATCGTGCACCTAAATGGATGTGTTGGTAATTCATGAAAATATTTTACAAAATTTTTTAGTGTTGTTTTCGTTTTAAATAAATAGAAAACAGCTATAATATTCATTTTTTTCTTCTTTATATTAAATTATCTAATACAAAAAAAACAAGAATAATGAGCAATAAAATGTAATTGATAATATTTTTTGGAAAAAGAATTATTGATATTTCCCTTGAGATCATATTTACTTTGATTAATTATTTTATTATTTTTGTCTAATTTGCATATGAAAATATTTTATAGAAATTAAAAACCTAATATATCATGTATAAAGGGTAAAAGTTCTCATCGAACATTATTTAATATGTAAATAATTAATTGATGATAGAAAAGTTGTAGTATATTCTAAATAGACGACATATGATCTCTCTGTGAATTCTTTAACACTTTCCGGCTGGATGTTGCACTAGGAGAGTACGGTATTTTTCGAATAGGCGGCTTTTAAAATAACAAATATATGCGACATTCCTTATCATTTTTCCTACGCTAAGCTTCTTATGAAATGATAGAATATGTACACATAGCGCTCAATCTGAGATCGACTAGTCAACCTTTTGTTACCCACGTTTTTATGTATAAACTTGACGAATTGTTTGTCAAAATTTATTTTCTGTTACCACGGAAAATAATTGCAAACCTCAAGAATAATACAGTGTCTATTAAAATGATTATGAAAGAAGTATGACGACAGACATTTAAATCAAACTCATTATATAGTTAATTACATTTTTCTATGATTGCTTATTTGTCATGCATTATTTTGAAGATGTGAATGCTTTTGAGTAAAATCATGAGATTCAGATGAGTTCATTTAAGTTCTTGGGAAATACAAACTATAAGAAATATTAACTTTCTTCTTCTCACCACTTATACACCCAACGATGAGTAAGAGGAGATGTATTTAAGCCATTTATCACAACTAGAAACTTACAGGGTATACGATCGTCACCCTATACTCATCTCTGAATTCTAGAAACTATTTCAGCGAAGTTTATTTTTAACCGATGATTCTTCATAGTAAATATGCCATAGGTACTTAAACGTTTCATTGAATCTTATGACGCATGAGTATTCATAAGATTTTTCTTAGAAAAAAAAACGCATTTTGCTGATGAAAGTTTTATTTATTAATGTACCGATATATTTACATATATGAATGTAAAGTTTACTTATTCCCTATACAATCTTTGTTAATTGATTTAATAGTTTCTGACATTATACTAAAATCGAAATATCTTTCGATAGACAATCTACTTTATTTTTTATAGAAATATTCATTATACATAAATTATAATTCATCAAAATACAAAATTTTATTTTACACGTGTTCGTCTACATTTAGTTGTTGTCTTTGTTCGATTACAACGTCTTGATAATGATGATTTCATTTCATAATCATCATCGTTATCTTTATCATCTGTTGATAATCGTCCGGGTGATAATGTTAAATTAGTTGATGAAATTAATGGACTTGATGATGTACCAATACCCAAAATATTCTTCTTTTTTTTCTTATGTTCTCGTTCATTTGATTTATGATGAGATTTCGAAGATTTTGTACTTGCCACCGATGTTTGATGACTTTGATAATGACTATTTTTAGCAAAACGAGCTGTTATTATATCATCGGTTAATAATTTTGTACCTGAAACAATCAAAATTTATACGATTAGTTTTATCTGAATGAAGAATAATATTTCGTAATAGGAAAAAGTAGTATATTCTTATTTGAGGGTATTCTAATGTTTTTATCTAACCTTTCGATCTTGATAATGTCATATTATCATCATCTTGAAAATCATAAGGAGAAGATTTTTTCGTTCGTATTTTTTTCTTTGGTATATCATTTGTTGTCATTATAACAGGTTGACGTGCAATATCAATTTTTTTCTTTTGTTTTTTTGCTTTATTAGTTGTTTGAGTAAAAAAGGCATGTGTATCAAATATAGCTGTTGAACTAAATAAAGGTGCTTGCGGTGGTACTGGTGGTAACATTAATTTCTTTAGTTTAGTTTTCTTTTTTCTATCTTCTGGTTTCGGCGATGAACATTGATCAGGATCAATATGCTTTGAAAAAAAAAGATACAATCAGTAAATAAATTAGTGTTCTATAATAACATACAAATGACATTTGGGTAATATTTCCCAATGTTTTATTAACAAGACGATGAGGTTTAACAATCGTATCATCGATGGCTAGATGAAGTCGATCTGATGGCGGTGATCGACATCTAAGAAAAACAAAAATAAAGATTTAGATTTTGAAATGTATTACAAAATAAACCTACGTAATTGAGGGTGGTGTTTGAAATGGAATGATAATTTCATTCAGTGGTGGCGGTGGTACTAATAAATATGTATAAAAACTAAGATACATATGATTATTCTAGATAGATTACTTACAAGGTGGTACAAATTCATGTTCTTTTATTTCATCAATGATATTCTCTGTAAGAATTGGTGGGTCATCGATAGGATAATCATTATTTATAGGCAACGGTTCAATGGGTATTGAAATATTAACAAATTCATTATGTTTAGGTATAATTTCTTTATCTCGTTGTATTTGTAATTTTCGATATGCATCCCCTATACCTTTTTTCCATTGTTGTTCAATAGTTAGTTTTAATCGTTTTCGTCGTTTTTTAATATTTACAGGTTGTGTTTGAATAGGAATTTCATTATAACGAGCACGAAAATAAGCATTACCAATAAGAAGTTTTAGTGCAAGATGAATTAATTGTTTTTTTACACGAGTATATTCTTTAAGAGTACGTTTTTGTTCAGTTTGACATGAGGTAATACATGAATTTAATTTCTATAAAACAAATTATTTTAATTAATTGTAAGATTAAAAAAAAATGAATAGAACAAACTTCATTTATTTGAGCAAAATCAATCGGTGTTATTTGTTTAAGTATTTGAGTAATGTCTTCTTCAACAAGTGCTATTTCACGATGTAAACTATTACAATGTTCATGCTGTTGAGCAAGACGTAATTCATTTGCAAAACGGACTAGATTTTTCAAGAATTATAAGATGAAAAAAACAACGAGAACTTACTGCGATATTGTGTAAATAATGATGGTTTTCCTAGACACCATTTTTGTTCTATTACCATCGTTACACAAAAAATATTTTATTTTGAACAAAAAAAGAGAACAATTGATTGAATGCATGCATGGAGATTATTGAACAAAGACCCGCATTAATCAGCTGTTTTCATGTATTTATTATCGATTAAATATAATAATCAGTTTGAAAAAAGAAATACAAACTTTTTTTAAGAAATAAAATCATAGATAAATCTTTTAAAGTATTCGATATAAAATTAAATGAAAATAATTCCCAATAGAGGGCGTTATGGTTCTAGTATATCATCAATTGTAATAAGAATTTTCAATAGACACATGAAATGCTTTGCCATTTCTAAACTGATTGATTTTTTTAATGATTTTTATTACTCATTATAAAAGAAAAATGTGGATAAAAAGCATTACTCTTAATTTTGATATTCATTAAATAAATTAGATGCTAATGGACGTAATAAAACATATGATGAAGCACATAAATATTTTGAGAAATTATTCATTAGTACCAATTTAAATCAGTAATCGATTAATTCAAATATTCGTTCTACAATTTATTTAATTGTTGCTAAAACAAAAAATTTAAATTATTCATAATTCTAATACACAGCAATATTTGACTCATGATACACTTAATCATTTTATGATTTCACCTTTAACGTGATCGTTTATTGATTGAATTTCGTTATTTTGATGATGAAAATGTTCAACATCAAGTACTGAAATATATATGGTATGAAGTATAATACTACATTATTGTATTGTAAAAGAAAGAGTTGAAGAAGTTCGAGTAAGACTTTGACTATTAAATAAACTTAATACTTTGTTTTTATTTGTTTATTCTCAGAAATTTTATGTTAATTATCCAAATTAATATTCGTCGACTTGTTCTTGAACGACACGAATGTAGTATTAATGACTTTCGTAGTGTTTGAAAATAGTAAATATATCTTTTTCTTTCATAGTTATCTGCGGTATCTTCTTTATTCATTCAAAATGATTTCAATGTTTTCCTTTTACATAAATATCAGAGGTATTTATCAGCAAACTACTAAAAAAATAATATGTCATACCATCCTGTACAAGAAGATTCTTAATCCTATTCCAATTATTCCACAAAAAGGGAACAAGATGAAAAAAGATTATCAATACTCATTTCATACTCACAACACCTTAGTTGATTGAAATTTTCATGATTGTATTATTTAAATGATCAAATATGTAATAATAAATGTTATATAAGCTTGAACTAATACTTATTCTTAAATCGGTTCAAATATAGTTTTTCTTATTTATTTATTTTATGTTCGATTGAAATTATTATGTTTTACTCTTTCAACCATGTCTGTTTACCATTGCATTCGTCTTAATCCTTCTTAATTATGTTACTAAATATAGATGTCATCAATATTCGATTTTGAAAGAGTCATTCAGTTCTCTTTACAGTCGTTCATAACATCATAACAATAGATATAAACTTTGATTTTTATCATCATTCAATTGGAAGTAAAACGATGTATATATGAGCAGATGAATATGCGTTTTTTGGACGCAACATTATTCAATTTATATTGAAAAATAATCATATATCATTGGATGATGACTATTATCGAATTAAGATTCTTCTTCGTCACAAAACTCTGTTCACAAATATTCGTAAAAGAAATAATCAAATATTTTTACTTTATCAAATTATAATGCTTTATAAATCCTATAGAAAGATAAGGTTTTAAAATAAGTTTATTACTTAACATACGTTACATCATCATTTGGATATTCTTATATCTGTAATTTATCAGTTTCTTTTCTTATTGTATCGCTAGATGATAAATATACATATTAAAGATATTATCGAGTGCGAATCAAGCAAATAATGACTAAGCAAAATACGTCACTTTTCTACTCAAAAATATCGAAGAGAAATATATGATTTTACTCCCCTATGATCACGCCATTTGGGCATGT